GCTCGACAGAACGCGCTTTTGAGCCGATGATATGCTGGATAGTGGTTTGTTCTGTAATTTGCGAATGCCTTACGTAGATTTTAGCACTAGAGACTCTAGCTCAGCACGTCCTGTGCCCCAATAGGGGACTTTACGGGCCTCACGGCCCCCGGACGAAAAATATACATACATACATACATACATACCGCACTTTTCCCTGATTTTTATGCTATCTTCTCCTACAAAAGATCATTCTACGTCTATAACACTATGCTTTACCATTTTAGATAATAATTAAACACATGGTAAGAGGCTTATGAGTCTCGAGATATCTGGATGCAGTGTTAATCGTGTAACGCCGCTGATTGCCGCATTTGGGAGAGGATGTCACGCAGCGGAAATTTACGCTCTTAAGCTAGAAGTTAGAGTTATCATGCATACCAATATCACGGGCGGAAGCTCAATCATGTTCATCCAGCAGAATTTTCACAAATAATTCTCGTCATTCTGGGCAATGCCTTGACCGAATGGAAGATCAAAGCCTCAATCTCGATCTGTTGTTGATCGTCAATTGAGAATACAATCATTACACGATGATCTTCCATGATTCTCAGTCTCCAGCAGCGATCGCAATTACATCATCACAAAGGTCCAGTACCGAAGCAACGCACGTGTGTCGAGCTTTGGCCTCGCATTGCTAAGATTACCTCAACAATAAACACGAACATGACCTTCACCGACTCTGCTTTACGAGGTCTCCTAAGACAACTTCGCATTGAGTTGAAATGCAAGGGCAAGGGACAAACAATAGTTCCTGCTGATCCGCTCGTATTGCCAGAAGCTCGTAACTGCTTCTGGCACCAGATGCGCAGGGGTTCAGAATCTAAGAATAAATCACGCCCTGATTCGCTGAAAAGGCGTCCCGCTAAACTTGTACCGGTTAAAGCTCAGCCGTAGCGCTCGGGGTTCCCCAGGTCTCGAAGGGGCTGGCCGGAAAAAAAGACGGGAAATCGGCAGATGGGGTCAGTGAGAGAAATGTCTGGTCTATTCTGTCATGCCATGGAAATGGGTTCTAGAATGTGAGGCTGGGTCTAAGCCTGGATCAAACGTTACCATCAACTGATCAACTGTAGTATCGGCTAGAGCGACATCAGAGCTCAACACTATGGAGCCGATGAACCGAGAGATATGAAGTCATGAGTCTATTAATACCTTTGCAAGATCTATAAAGACTGACTGATCAACCTGCGATTATTAGCATTCTCATCATCAATCATCTCATCTCATCTTCATTACAAACACTCTTCACACAAACAAACAACTCTTCCCAACTACATCTCTTCCACTTTCAACCATCAAAATGAAGTTCACCGCCGCTCTCATCGCTCTCGTCTCCGCCACCGGCGCAGTCGCAGCCCCTGCCCCCGCCGACTCCGTCTCCATGATGGCCGCCTCTCCCCAGTGGACAATCCAGTCTCTCTCCCGCTCATGCGACAAGGCTGATACCACCTGCACCTGGAACTTCAAGATCAACACCGGCAGCGGCGCCGCCACCGCCTGCAAGTACGTCGTCAAGGGCAAGCCCGCCTCCAAGGCCAACGGCGGCCCTGCCAAGTGCGGCACCTTCACCATCACCTCTGGCTGGAGCGGCCAGTTCGGCGCCGACAAGGGCTTCACCACCCTCTCGGTCGTCAGCAGCAAGAAGCAGATCATCTACCCCAGCTACACTGATAAGCAGCTCGCTGGTGGCAAGGTTGTCAAGCCTGACCAGAGCTACTCCCCCGCTGCTCTCCCTTAAACGGTTATGAGATTACGATTTAGATGGAGGATATGATTTAGAGGATGAGCGATAGTAATGTTAATAATTAGAGGGTGGATTAGAAGAATATATATCAATATAGACTAAATAATCTGTTACACACCATTTCATGAACCTGCCCATCTTGGTGATCTCAATTGATCTTCAGCTTACAACTGCATGTCGCGAGCTGCGGCTCAAGGTGTACAGGCAATTGCATCTTTGCCGAATCATACAAATACCCGATAAGCCTTCGGCAATACCCGCCGATCGCCAAGCAATCACATCAGATGCGGGGTCACATCAAAAAGGGCGCAAGGCGGGAGAAACGTGGACACCAAGATCTTATCAGATCAATCTAACTCGCACCATCACCAGATCGCACTAACAGCAGTGCCCGACTCTTCTCATTCGCAATGGTCTTTTACCCACCATCATGGGTGCCAAAACTGCCGATAGGTACCTACAAGGTTGCATTGTTCTGGCCAATTCGCTAATCTCGTCCAGACCCTCCGGATTCCATCAGTGTTGCCGAGTTCATGAGCCCGGAAGAGTATGGCCGGTATCCCATTGCGAAAGCGCGACATCCATACACGTGTGGATTGACTGGAAAGACGCGTACAGCTGAAGAGGTTATCCGCAGAGAAGACCTCCTTGCGCGGGGCATCGGCAAAGCCCTTCAACTTGACTCACAATCCGGGTCGGAATGGGATCGTGTCTGCGTCATATTCTCTCTCAACACCGTAAGTAGACTGATTCACAAGCGGCTGAATTATTTGGGCTGATCTTGAGATAGATTGACTATATCCCCCTCACGCATTCCATCCATCGTCTAAATGGCGTCGCCAGTCTGAGCAGCGCAGCCCTGTCGGCATCTGAGTTGGAGCACCAGCTCCGCGCCTCCAGCGCAAGAGCACTCTTTACTTGTGTACCTCTTCTGGATACTGCGCTCAAAGCTACAGAGGTAGTGGGTATATCGCGACAAAATGTGTTTCTGCTTCCAGTGCCCGGCGACACGAGCAGGCACGGTTTAAAGACAATAGACGACCTCATTCAAGACGGAGAGAAACTAACTGCGTTGCCGTCGCTGCGGTGGACAAAGGGACAAGGCGTTCGACAAACAGCCTACCTCCTGTATTCGAGCGGCACATCCGGCTTGCCAGTAAGTCATCAGTCAGCGCGTTCTATCTTTCGCTAACTGTTAGGAAGAAACCCGTCATGCTCTCGCACTACAACATCATATCAGGCATCATTCAGACATGCACATTCGACTCGGTCTCCCGAAAAGCCGACGGCATTGATACACAAGTGATGCTGGGAGTGTTGCCATTCAGTCATGTCTTTGGGCTGATGCTTATCACTCACTTGGGGACCTACCGCGGCGACGAGATTATTGTTATGCCTCGCTTCGAATTCGAGCCCTTTCTAGCTGCGGTCAGTCGCTTCAAGATACAGCAGCTCCCTATTGTCCCCCCCATTGTGATTCAGATGCTAGATAGGAGGGAGCTATGTAGCAAGTATGATTTGAGCAGTGTCAGGTTTGTGTATACCGGTGCTGCACCGCTTGGAAAAGAAACTGTGGATGATCTGTTGAGTGTCTATCCGAAGTGGCGTCTTGGACAAGGTTACGGTAGGCCGATGAGAACCACGGTATTTTGTCTGTCATTAACTGGTACTAGGTATGACCGAGACTGCTACCGTCTTCATACAAAGCAGCGAGCATGATACACAAGTCGGCACAACGGGATCATTGCTTCCTGCAGCCAAGGCCAGGATCGTTGACCCTGATGGACAAGAGATCACTGAATACGAAAAGCCAGGTGAACTGCTTATCCAAAGCCCAACTGTTTCTCTTGGTTATTTCAACAACCCAAAGGCTACTGCTGAGACCTTCTTCGAAGATGGTAACGGCCGCTGGATTCGAACGGGTGATGAGGTGCTGGTTCGCATGTCTGAGAGTGGGAACGAACATTTTGTCGTTGTTGATCGAGTCAAGGAGCTCATCAAAGTCAAGGTTAGCAACAAGTATCATCTCCAACCTTTCTCGCCTCACTGATGACCATATGAATAGGGCCATCAAGTCGCGCCTGCAGAGCTCGAGTCACACCTTCTCACCCATTCCGCCGTGAGCGACTGCGCAGTCATTCAGATTCCCGATGCAAGAGCTGGAGAGGTTCCAAAAGCATTCGTAGTCAAAGCAAACCATGCATATCAGTCTGATGAGGAGCTGGCGCGGGATATCCAGCGCTATGTTGAGGAGCATAAAGCTAGGTATAAGTGGCTGAAGGGCGGAGTCGAGTTCATCGATGCGATACCGAAAAGTCCGACTGGGAAGATCTTGAGACGCAAGCTGAGGGATAGGGAGAGGGAGGCTAGAAAATCGAGAGGAGCAAAGTTGTGAGTTCGCTGGCATGCTCTGAGGGAACTTTCAGGCATGGATAGACGATTCTTACTTCTGATCATTGACAAACAGAAATTCGTTACTTCATATCGTTAAAACATCAAGACAAATACATAAAATGAGAACAGTCCATCCCAGTCACAAGAAGCCACATGCAATTACAGCGCGCTCTCAATCTACAGCTCCTCGGTTCCCTCAGTCTCCTCATCTCCTCGAGTCTCCTCGGCTTCCTTCTTAGCACCTTCTTTAGAAGACCTCTGAGCGTGCAACTCAACCGTGATATGATCTCCAATCTGGACCTTACCACCATACCCAAAGGTATACCTGACACCATCACCCGCCTGCTTCTTCTTATCCCAGTTGCTAAAGTCAACAAGATCATCTACTCCCGTTAGTTCAAACCCCTTCACGCGTCAAAGTCACTTACCCTCACAAGCATCCTTGCCAGGCTCAACCTTACTCCCCGCAAACAAAGGCGCCAACCACGTAACAACACCCGGCGCAAAGAAGGCACTCCCATCAATCTCAGCGATGAACTTGCGCTCCATCTGCTTACCCTCCTTGACAAGCTCCTCATGATACTTGCGTACCGCCCAAGGAAGATTCTTATAATCAGTCCGCATAACCCTGAATCCATCGGGATGCATGAAGCGATCAAAATCCCCAGGGTACGGAAGATCACGACCGTCGTCTGTCTTCCAGTGATTATCGAGGAAGTTCATCGCCCATGCGATTTCCTTAGGTGCGCGCGAGGGATCTTGAACGGTGTAGATCTCAGCTTCGAACTGAGAGCTGACGCGACAATCTGTCTTCCAGAGAGACTTTTCGTGCGCAGCATCTGCGATGCGGATTTGATCCATTAATTCGTGAGCTTTGGCCGTATTGCCGTTGACTTGGGCTTCAGCTGCTTGGCGCATTATGTCGAGCCTGGCGGTGTCGCCTATCCGAATGTCGATGAGCTGCGCCGTCGCCTGCGAGGCGAGCACAGAGAGGATCGCGTTGGTTGGCTTCATTGTTGTTAGCGGTGAGATTGTGATGTGAAACGGTGACAGGCTGACAAGGCTGGGTGGGAATATTTATCGCAACAGAGCTCGGTCATTTCCTGTTGGAGAAATTACCGGTTAAACGTCTGAGCCAATGACTTGCTGTAGGATTAGCTACTGGTGGCTCGGAGCGGGTTATTGATTTTACTCTTTGATAAGGCTGACACGGCGTTTAGCTTGACTTGACGTGGCACAGCTCACGATAAGCGTAGGATCAATGCACGCAGTCTATGGTGACACTAATATTAGGCAGTAGTGCCCTTGCACGGGGGTCTGAGTCATGGAGTAATCTGGTACTTTAATCACCAAAGGCAGAAAACTCGAACAGTTCAGCCATCGTCCCGCACAACCTCATCTCAAATCTCAACATGTCGGATCAATCACCATGCGCGATTCTTCCAGAGTCTATCGACATTCCCCGCATCACGTCTACGAAACAAGAGTCAACACTCAATTACTACGGCCCTGTTGACGCTTCACTTCCTACCGAGGCGTCAAAATTCCTCGCTCGCAATACCGACGCAGTCGAGCAGGAATTGGAACCCAGCATAAAGGCGTTCCTAAAGACTACTCAAAACGACTGTTCTGGCCTTACAGAAGAGAAAAAAGCATGCTGGCTTACTATCCGCATCACAAAGCCTTGTACCGCATTCAAAATCCCGAGGTGGCATCAAGATGGCCCTATGTTTGAGTACGACCAAGGACGCGAAGATGTTGTGAGAAGCAAGTATGCGCTCACGTTACTCGGACCATCTACGCTCATGCTGCAGCCGGATGAACATGTCTTCACCAGGCAGCATGAAGCGGAGGCGCGGTATTACTGGTGGCGAAACAAAACCGATGGCCCTGAGCCCTCCGAAGACGAGATGTATGAAGCAGATGACCTATTGCGGGAGTCGCTTGGCAATGTATTCAAAGACACTCCTAGAGTTCAGGTTGGACATGGTCAAGTCGTTCGGTTTAGCTGGGGAAGGGATGATAGCCCCGTGCATTCAGAGCCCGATCTTGTTTCCGATAGGGTTTTCATGACTGTGTTGTATGGAAGTGAATCGGAGTTACGAACCATGAGTAAGTGGAGAGAGGCTGCGTACGGAGTGTTCTCTGTAGAGTAGCTGTCTGTCTTCTTCAAGGTTCTCCAATCTTGGTTTATCGTTGCGGGACGGTCGAGAGATATAAGTAGGAAGTAGATGGGTTTCTTATCTCCTAAGACCTGGTCTCGATGGACTATCATTTTTCTTGTTTTATGTTACGTTTGGAATTCAGATGCAAGTTCTCAAGAGGCCATGCGTGCTTATTGAAGAACTAGAAATCCCTTCTATCTAGGGGCGTAAGCATGACCAAAATGCCAAGGTTATATATAAGGCGGGGCTGCTGCCTAAGAATATTCTCATTTCGTCGTCCCACAAAACTGATTGACTTGAGACGGAGAAACGCCTTGCTCTACTAAACTCACTCAAGCGTCAAGGTCGGCAATATGAGTTTCCATTCGCTGCCCGTTGAACTGGCCGAACATCTCGCGCTCTACTGCACGCCCCAAGACCTCTCGCGTCTGTCTCGCGTTAACCACGCGTTTCACGCTATTTTCAACTCGGCCCTCTACAAGCGCAACGCCGCTGTCACAGGCCTGCCATCGTGTTATCCATGGACCAACAAACACGATCCACAGTATTGTAGGCAATGTCCCGTCGATAAGGCCTCAAGGTCATGTCTTCATTGGGCCGTCGATCACGACTCACTCTCTACAATCAAGCTGGCCGTTGCTTATGGGTCCGATATCAACAAGATCAACGACGTTGCCGACTATATCCCTTATGAGGAAGACCCTCACTCTATTCCTATTTGCGGGAGAATCATTCGGGTGCAGCTCGCAACGCCACTGCATCTTGCCATCTTTCAGAAGCGCTTCGAGATTGTACGCTGGCTTCTTGACAATGGCGCTAGTACGGATGTATGGCCAGATACGCTCTGCAATTGTCGAAAGAATGCAAGAGTGGTCAATAGGTATGATTGGTTACCACTACACTATGCTATATGCCACAGCACCCATGAAATCTTCCAGCTGCTGCTAGAGCGAGACGTTATTTACTCTGCGATTTCCGATGATGGACACATCTCCGGGCTTCATTGCGCTATCGCAGAAGGGTCTCTTTCTGCAATTGATGCATTCATTCAGCATAAAAGTTTCAGTCCTACTGATCGAGACGCTACGCTTCAGACGCCGCTCCATTGGGTTAAACATTGCAAAGACCAGGAAGTAGCCTGTGTGATAGTTGAGAAGTTAGCCCAATGGGGTGTTCCTCTGGATGCTGAAGCTGAATCTCAGTGGGGAGACTGGCATGGCGGCACAGCCCTAAATATGCTTATCGGAAGGAGAAAGTTTGAACCTGCTGTTAAACTACTACAGCTTGGAGCCGATCCGACGATCCAGCAAGTCGAAGATGGGTGCCTGCGGCTGTTGGACAACTGCATTGAAGGTCGTGATAGAGAAGACATGTCCAATTGTTCGCCGGATCGTGCGGAGAGAAGGAGAGAGGCCGGGTTGGAGTTACTGAATCTCCTGATCCAAAAGGGAATCGATCCTGGCAGACCCCGTGAACTCGGCAGACCCCACGATCTGGAGAACCTAGACCTCGAAGAGCCAAGACCGCTGTTATCAGCACTCATAATGTCCGACGCGCGATGCATACAAGTTCTTCTCGATGCCGGAGCAATGGCTCGTGAAGCTATTTATGAGAATCACCATGATAATCTTCTCCGAGACTTTGTCGAGATGATGGTGGATGCCATGGAAGAGGGCATATCTCTTCGAGAAATGAGAGACGAAGTTGAGTCGCGCAAAGAGTCTGTGTGTCTGCTTCTCGATGGAGGGGCTCGAATAGACTCGAGAGACGGTCAATACTCGGCGTTGAGCAAGGCGTGTGAGATTGAGCAGGGGTTCGGGATAGTTAGCTTTCTGGCTGAGAATGCAACTCGCAGGAATGCGGAGGTGGAATATGTTGTTGCTTTGAGGGACACGTATAGGAGGGATGAACCTGTATGGGAGAAATTGGATCGGTTCTATCATAAGTTGATGGCTGAGAAGAATGATCGAGAGGGAATGCAGGACATCAAGAAGTCTGCATGAAAGAATGCATTACTATCGGTACATGCGGATTATTACATTCTTATCTAGGTTTGCAACAATTCGACGGGACTAGGTAAATGATTGCATATGATAATCCGTGAATGAGAGTATCAGAAGCCCAAGTATATCCAGCTAAACTTCAGGATGAGAAACGCAATTAATACACCACCCAAATACAAGAAAATAGTCGGCGCCGCCCTTTTAACCTCCCGAACTTGCTTCTTCCAAATCGTTCTCGCAAGTGCAGACCCTTCATTGACACGTGGAAACGGTACATCTGGAACATCTCTTCCGAGAAACTCGCACAGGGGCTCCCACCCAGGACCAAGCTTGTACAGTAACAGATTCTCAGGAGGAACGAGTTCTTTGACGGTATCGTTGTGTCTGTCGTATATTACACGTAGATTGGAAATGGCTTCGTCAACGTTCTGCGAGCGAGTCCATCCTAGCAGCATCTTCTGGAGATTCTCAACATATGAAGTCTGCCCTTTACCTCGTGTAAAAGGTTCGACCCAGTCGCGGATGAAATTCTGCACTGGACCAAAGTTCGACTTCAACAGCTGCGTGACTGATGGTTCCCAGCGGTCGAATGGCCTTTCGCAAAGGATAACCTTGGCGTCAGGATAGTTCCGAATAAGAGACTCAGAAAAAGGGCCTGCAATATCTGTGATGGCTTCACATGGTCCGAAGAGCTGATCACCCAGTCTTCTGCCACCATGCCCTTTCCGTTATAGGATTGGAGGGTTGGGAAGAGTCGGTTTGAGGCTTCGCCGAAGAACATCCAGTGCTCAAGGTTGTCTAACGTGTGCATGCAGTGATAGACATCTTTATAACATAGCTCTGAGAGGGCGAGACACATAGAGTAGGAGCCTGTTCGGGGGAGACCAACGCTGAGGACCTTGAGCGGCCGGTTTGGTGGCTGGGGCGCTGAGGATAGGCGGATTTGCTTTTCATACATTGTGAAGGACTATTATACTGAAGTTTGTTCCACATTGACTAGCCTTACTGGACGATGACCTAGACATTATATAGCAATGGGATCTATTTGCCCCCAAGAGAGCACTATCTCCAAGCCATACCCATTGATTGACCTGAAATATGTCTGGGGTAACACCGAAGACAGTATAATCCAACCTCTTTCCAACCACCAAGGAGGATACAGGCGCAGCGCTTGACAGCTGCTCTATGCTGACACCGAAAGCTGTCGGACGTTGTAGTCGCCATCCCACTAACTGCTCCCGCTAATAGGAAATAGCAGACAAGAGCTACAAGATTACCTTCTGAAGTTGCCAATCTGATGGGACTGGCAACATAAGCCATGTAGAGTTTTGGGGGCTATACGCCCGATCGAACTCGGGTTCTTGGCTCGCCACCGTTATGACTACATCTTATGTCATGTGAGTCTTGGCTCTATACACGGCATGCCTGGAAGACAAGCTGTATTCTATTGTGGGCTTTCTCCTTCGATCTTGGCCCCCAATTACTGGCGGAATATCCGACCGCTGGTGGCTAATCCTCCGCTAGGTATCGGATTATGACTGGGCGTAAGCTTGAGAGCAGAAAAGCAGCGGTAAAGGAAGAGAAATCTACATCGTGAGAGGGTTCAGTCGCGCTTTTGGCTGTTTTCGCTTGATACATAAATGACTTCTACGCTCGTTAAGAAAGAGGGCACATCTCCGACCTAAATAGTCTATCAATTCCATTGAACCTCACATCTCAAGTAACAACAGAGCCTTCCATCAAAGCCCCAAAACATCCCGAGTAAAATACACAGCTTCATAAAGCTTGAAATAGGAAGCAAAACTATGCTTACAGCTCTTACTCGGATGAAAACTCCCGACATCCCAATAACAAGCATATTTCTTTGCAGCAGTCGTTTAATCCTCAGCCGCAAAACCCCTGAAATTAGACCCTCCCACTATTCTGATTCAACCCTAGCAGGTGAGCTAGCGCCAGGGGTCCTACAAGTTTATCGATTTTTGGGCTCAATAGTGCTGAAAGCTATTGAGCCCCGAACGTTCCAAGGGTCCACCAATAACGCCTAAAAACACCAAAATCCACTTAGAAATGTCACGATGAGAGAAAGCGTTAAGGCTTATTCCATTTCGTCTATTTACCTCCGCGGATTTTATGAGACGACTGCAGTAGTTGTCTGCTAGTTGCCGGCTGAATGAAACGCCTCATTGGGAAATATCCGAGCGGTCTTTGCCGCAGCTAAATGAGTATGCGCCTCGTGATATTGGCGATGGCTTTATAATACCGATTTCCCTCTCATTCCCGCCACACTCTTGTCGTGTTACCTGTTTTCCTCTTGCGTTCACCCAGTCACTCATTCACTATGCGTTCCATTCTGGCATTGGCGGCCCTCGCCGTCGTTGACTTCGTCGCCGGAAGCGCCTGCAAGCCCAAGTCCAGCAACACGATCTCCACGCTCGTTTCATCCTCTTCCGACGCCACCAGCTCGTCGACCGCTACAAGTGTCGTTACCCTCCCTAAAGTCCGGAACCTGGCCACCAATGGAAACATGGCCGAGGTCGATCCCAACAACCCTCTCTCTGTTCCTGGTTGGGAAGTCGATGGCGATGCTCGTATTGTGGGGGGTGCTGGACGTGAAGAGCCTGGAAGTACTGAACGAGGTTGCGCTGCGATGAGTGCTTCCAATAATGGCGATGGAAAGCGTGCTTTGGGTATTTCTGTTAGTATCTCGCAGAGCATGTCCAACCTTGATCTCTCGACGCCTTACACCATTCGCTTTTACTACCTCGTCGTTACATCACCTGCAGCCATCAACCTGTGCCAGCTGACGGGCTTTCTCGGTGGTTCCGTGTTCTACCAGAACTGGGTTTTCAGCACTGGTACAGCCGTGTCCTGGAACGAGGTTCTCCAGGCTGTTACCCCGGCACAGGTCAACGCTCCTCTCCGCATTGCGATGAACTGTCTTATTGGTGGTGGAGCGACTGTGCTTGTCGACTCTGTCTTCATCTCCAACGCTGTCACGCCACAGAACATCAACGACTTTGCTGTCAACTTTGGTAATACCGGTACTGGTGCCAACCCTCCTCTTGATCCTCCTGTGGTCGGTCCTCAGACGACCACCAGCTCTTCTCAGCAGGAGACAACGTCTGCTACCCAAGCACCAGAAACTACGTCTGTCCCTCAAAAACAAGAGACTACTTCTGCTGCCCAAGAGCAAGGAACTACATCTGCCTCTCAGAAGCCAGAAACTACGTCGGCTCCTCAGAAGCAGGACACCACATCTGTATCCCAGAAGCAAGAGACTTCATCGGCATCCCAAGAGCCAGAGACTACGTCTGCCGCCCCAGTGCAGCCCACTGAGACAGGAACCACTGGTCAACAGAACCAGGCAACTTCAACCCAGCCTGCTTCACAACAGACCTCAACTGGTAACTCCTATGTCGAGACTACTAGCAAGCCAGTCTCTGAAGCCCAGTCCTCAACTGTACCTGTTGTAGGCACAACTAGCACAGCACCTGAGCAACCGTTCTGCTCCAAGGCTCTCAATGGCGGCTGCTGGTGGAAACGCCCCGACAATGGTAACGACATGGTCAACTGCGCCAGCCGAGGTTCTTGGCCTGGATCCACTGGACAAGGCCGTCTTGTCCCTCGTCCCGACAACTACCCTCTTCCCTTGAGTCAGCTTTGGTGCTTGGGCTGGTGCTCTCTCTCCCCTGGCTGCAAGTCTGTTGCATTCATCCCCGAGGACCGCTCATGCCGTTTCTCGGAGCATCAAGTTCAGGACGCTGACTTCGTTCCTGGTCCTGATCCTAATCTCGACACTGAGGGCGTGTTTTACTGGCATGATCTTTCTTGCTTCAACTGTCCTTGTAACGATGAGCCTTCTCCTACCTCTGTTGCATCAACCACACAGTCAGCCGAACCTACCGATCTTGTCAAACTGCCCGCTGCGTCAACTTGCCCCAAATCCCTCGAAAATGGATGTCAATGGAACGAGAGGTCTCAGGGCGGCAGTCTCACCTCTTGTCAGTATCGCGGTCGATGGCCCGGAAGTGATGGCGCTGGCTTTGCTGTTGAGCAACCCCGTGACTATCCTACGGCCTGGAGCCAGATGTGGTGTGTTGCCTGGTGTTCCCTCTACCCCGGTTGCAAGTCTGCAGCTTGGATGCCAAGTGACAGATCGTGCCGCTTCTCCACTCATCAAGTCTCAGATGCTGACTTCGTCATGGCTGCTGATCCCAACTCGGATTCCGTTGAAGATGGTATTTACTACTGGCACGACCTCGACTGCATGACTTGCCCATGTCATGATGACCCTACCAGCGAGACCATCTCTTCGCTTCCTGCAGAGTCTACCACTCTCACCCGCGCTGTCACACCTAAGCCAAATACCCCAACAACTGTCACGGCCACTACCAAGGCTGTCACAGGAACCCCAACACCTGGCCCCGTGGAACAACCCTGCGATTGGTCATTCGGCCAGGGTATCTGCCAGCGACCTTTCGAGAAGGAGCAAGGACCCTGTGGTGGAAGGCTCATGATTGTTAATCCATCACAGTACACAAAGTTGCCACTGAACTGGAAGCCCGAAATCAGAGAGCCTGTCCAATGTGCGATCATGTGTCATACCAACCCTGATTGTTACGCGTGGGGTTTTGAGTGGAGCAGCAACATGAATTGTGTTCTTTCCCTTGGACAGACGGAAGTTGACCAATTGGAGGTTGTATCTTCAGGAGCTCAGTATCGCTGGTACTCCCATACCTGCTGGGAGTGCAGAGACTGTGTTACTCAGTGGAACTGGTCTTGGGATTCTTTGCCTGCTGGAAACTGAGAAGCGTAGATTATAGGCATATAAGCAAAAGGCGCTGATTTAACTTCTAATATTAATATATTCATTTATTCAGTGTAGTGTTGTAGTGCAAATCTGAAACATTACGTGAATATGCCAGGAGAACTAGTAATGAGAGTTTGTTTCAGGCGGATTCGTGATTCACTACCTTGCAATCTCTTACGCCCTTGCTTCAAACTGATTGACTTGTGCGTATGATGCTTTTACCACGTCATACGTGGCGACTTTTATGAGAAGAAGCGCCTCGACAGGGGTGTCATACACTCGATGTTTTTGAACCATCGCTTTACCGTTCCATCTACCCATCGTACATTCAATTTCCAACCAATGGTGCTTATACCTTTCACCCTTACCTGTTCTTGGGGACTCTAGTACTGTAAAATTCGTCCACTGACTCATTGTAGGTAGATTATAAGATTGAGGGGTGAAAAGAAGATTCAGACTCCGTACAGCGGCAAAGAGCATATATTAAAATACAACAGGGAACCAACCTTTACCTCTCTCTGATGTTTAGCATTTGGCTTTGAATAAAAAGCCAGGTACTATCACGGCCGAGAACCCCCTCTCTGATGCAGTATGAAGAACATGGCTGGTAAGTCACTAAGTTCTATGTGGTGATCACAAGTTCTCGGCCACAGGTCTCAACTGCCAATAACACATCTGTAGCTCGCTCACAATGCTTCCACGAGTATATAACCCGCGATAGGATATCCTCAGTAGAGAACAGTATTCGCAATCACAACTTTTGGCTTTTGACCTCGACGACGTTACAGAGCCTTTTGTCCAAATTCCAAACAAAATGACTTCCTCTATCATGGCCCAGAAGGCACCTAAGCCAGATCCTCCAGCCAAAGGGAAACCGGTTTCTCAGAAGAGCAAGACAAACACCACATCCACTATCAAAGGCGATAAGACAGGCAACACGCCGAAAGTAGGATTGGGAATGCCTGGGGTCTCCTGCCCTTGTAATTGCGGATGCGATGAGTTGAACACAACATTCACTGTGCCTAAGGAACGCTGAAGCATTTACGGATTCAGTTGCTGCCCATAGGGTTAAATTTTAGGCAACTAAGACATATAATAGAAAGACACTATCATTGTCACGATACAAACTTCCACCTAAAAGATCCCTCGATGGCACTGAACCATGGAACCCAATGTGTATCATTTGCAACTTGCTTGGGCACGGACCGCAACCAACGTCGACTCTGCTTGTGGCCCGTGAGTATTTTTAGATGGGAATCTGGTAATATCTACAACAACAGATTTACATGTAAGATGACATCAATATGTCCAAGAACCTTGCTGCATTGTCAATTTGTAGTCAGTAATTCACCTGGACCCGCCATCTAGCTTCGGTGAGATGGCCGAGTTGGTTATGGCGCCAGGTTAAGGTCAACCTTAACACCAATTTCCTGGTGGAGCAATCCTCCTGGGTTCGAGTCCCAGTCTCATCAGATCTTCATTTTTGCACTTCCTCACTTCTTCTGTACTCTGATTCACGACCAGATGAAATATATAAATACCTGTCATCCTTGTCAGTTCCTCTCCGCCGCCTTCTCATTGTAATAAAAGCGTTCTATTGACTTTTAACTTACAACTCACTATATATATATATAACAAAATGACTTTATCAGCCAAGAACCCATCCTCTGAAGCTCCCAGGAACGGCGATAAGAAATCCGAGGCTTCTGTTACTAAACCAGATGTTTCAACAAAGACGACAGTCCCTGCCCTGCATAACAAGGGAGACAAGAAAGAAGGCTCTGCAAATCCAATTGTTACCTTTGCTGCCGGGGTATGGTATTGTAGATGTGGCTGTTCGACGCCACTGACCTCATATGGCAGGTGCCCGACGTTTATGGCATACTGCGAGATTACTTCCTAAGAAGCTTCACGAGAGGTAAAACTAGGTCTGCTAGTAGAGCGTAATCTGAATACTGAGATTCTGAATATATCTCATCGTGCTGTGTATGCTAAATGCAATAGTAAATGTTGTGTTAAGAAAAGGACATCGGGCCAATAGCAGACACCTGGTAATTTAATCTAGTCCTAGTCATAAGTAAGCTATACTAAAAGATTCTACTATCATTATAGACTTCCTAAACCCTCTGAGGCAAAATAGTAGTTATAATTTATATTATATAAGACCTTAATAATTCCAGTATACCTAAAAGACTAGGAAATAAATTTAATCACAAGAAAAGCTTACAAAGGTAACTTTAAATAAGAAGAAGGCCTTTTAAACTTAGGGAATGCTCAAAAAGATCGACCACGCCAGGAGTCGAACCTGGAATCTCTAGAGATTTCTCGATTTGCTCGAAAGCCGAAATCTAGCGCCTTAGCCATTAGGCCACGCGGCCGGTTTCTTGGATGACGATGGCCTCGCTCCGAGACTCCATACACTGGGACGTTCAGAAAATTCGATGGAGACCGATGGAGTTTGTGTTTCTGGCCTGGAAATTATACATAATTTTCATTTAGCTAAAGGGGTTCAATAGTCAATGCGATCGGTGATTCTGAGCCCGAGCGCTCAAAGACGCGTGATAATCATCCAAGGTTCCAAGAGACAACAACCGGTGGATCAGGCTTTCTACGATGTCAATGCCGCTTCGAAATCGTTCAGGAATTTCCACAGAGTCTTCTCCTTCCAGCCCTTTTCCTTCCAATCATTCGCTTGCTTGGGGAACGTATCAATAACACCAAACATGGTCATATCATGTGCAAACACGAAGAAGATATCATCCTGAGCATCTGCTTTCTGAGCCTCTTTGATCGTCTCTATAGCGAGTTCCTTGTCGAACCCAATGGCTGGGTCAAAGAACGTTTCACCAGCGGCTCGTCCACGCTTGACGTTCATGTTGTCGAAAGCACTGCCGGGGCACTGTGAGAGGTGAAGACGGAGAGAATCAGATAGTGATAGATGCCCTGAGAGATTTGATGGGTATGGTAGGTACTTTGATGGACGTAGCTCGCCACCATGATGGCATAGATCGCCTCCCATGAAGATGAAGGTATCGGGACCGGTAGTTGTACGAGCAAGACCTGCTAAATGGCCAATATCATGGCCTGGCGTATCAAGAAGATAGAATGAACTATCGCCGAAGAAGTCAAAGGCACGAAATGGGCCAATCTGAAGGGGTTTGTCGTCGAAGTTTATCTCTTTCAGCTCTCTGCCCCTGGGATCCTGTCAGCTGTTTCAGAGAGAAGATCGCGACGGTGATACCTACTCATAGTCTACTTCACGCACGGGAGAGTCTGGGTCAGCGGGATAGCCAGGTAAAAAGGCTTTCTTAAATCCGGGCCCAACGATGAGGTTAGTTGATCCGGGGAAGGTTGTGATATCTCCGATATGATCAAAATGGTGATGACTAGGCAAACATCAGTAGCTGACTCACGACATGGACATTCTATACTACAAACCTCCAGATCACACTGTCAATCTCTGAAGGCTGCACATTATTCTCAGCAAGAATTTCTGCGACATTTTTCGGAACATCCACGTCCCAATTCGAATTTCTTCTTATTGTATCAGCGTACTTTGGCGAGAAATTCTTCAACGGCTCCTTCGGAACACCCAGATCAAAGATTGCTTTCTTTCCAGAAGGGCTTTCAACAAGAAATGACCATGTCGTCAAAGTTGGCATCGCATCGAGTCCTTTCATCGCAGGTTTCATAAGATGAGTGACCGGCATACCCGACAATCTTAAGCTGGAGTCGATGATGCTGACTTTGGCTGCTTTGCCGTCTGGCACGTCAAATCGTGGCCGTTCAGCCATCCTCAAGAATTGATTGAACAGGCGAGGATGTATGCTAATTGCAAATTTGCCAACGAGAAGGCATTGTGAAAGGATTTATACCGATGGTCGGATGACGGGTAGTAAGGTTAGCACGGAAGACACGGCTTATAAATTACGACGTCATAGGCGGCTTACTCAGGCAAGACGGACTTTGAGCCATTGCCCGCTTTTGTAATCCGTCTCTACAACTGATTTAAGAATGAACTCGTGGTTTAAGAAACGAAGTCGGCATTAGAGATTGGAGGTTTGTCATGTGGTTTTCCCGTGGTGGTGTCACAAAGTCTCTTACTTGCATCTCAATTCGCGAAGCCGACCAGATCCACATTCAACACCCCCCAACTTTCGTATGTGTCAGTAACTCTTCGATGCGACTAAGAACGTCAGCAGGGAAGTCATCGCTTGAGGAAGTAAGATCCTCGCCAAGAATTGCTGTGATAGGATCAGAAAGCTCAGCTCTTACGGCTGCAGGGTAAAATGAAAGAAATGACCCAACACAGTAAGCATATTCGCCAAAATCTTACCATACTCCACAACAGCTGTGACCACAAGACGCACTTTGCGGCTAAACGAAAAACCATTGAAGATTTGCTAATGTTGAGTCAGAGAGGCACGGCTCGCTCTGCTATTTATGCTTAAAGGTAGGGCGTGGGTGACTTACAGGCCATACCCTTGACCATGTCATGTCCAGTTCAGTCAGCCCTATGCAGAAATATGGTATTTAGAGGCTGAAAAGCCCTTGTTTCCCCCATGTCGACTCTTCGTAACCAGCTACGATGGAGGGATTGAAGCGCCTACTGCTGTTCACCAATAGTGACTTCGGTCAAGCCAACGTAGTTCTCGCTACCGCCCACGAACTCGGTATTGCCTGTGAAGATGTCGAAATCCATATTGCTTCATTCCAGGACCTAAGAAGCGGAGTGGATGATGCCTCAAGATTCATGCAGACAACTGCAGCTCAACAGAAGAAGAAAACCCCTCGACCCTTCGTGTTTCACAAGATCGAAGGAACGAGCTGGGGACTGGCTACCAAGCGTCCGGAAACAGCAATTTTCGAAACACTCGAGCTGACCCCGGGAGTTGTGAACTCGGCAAAAGGCGTGGCTATTTTACCGGCTGTCATGATACCCTGGAGCCCGAGAGAGTTTCTCGATATGTACAAGGAAACAGAACGTGTATTCGATGAAGTCAATCCAGATCTAACTATCGTTGAACCGCTGTTTACCCAAGGCTTGACCTTTTGTCATTACCGAGGTGCCAGGTGGATGGTCCTTTCGCCGAATACGATTAAAGAGTTTGCAGTTCCAGTGCAGCCAAAACTAGCTGCTCTGTGGAAGTACCCCATGCAAGTAATCCCTCCAACTACAGATGAAAACACTTGACTAACCCTAGTAGTGCTTGCTCGGCCTTGCCTTATCCTATACCATGGAGCCTCATTCCATGGAATATTTACTTTGGTTTTGTGGCTGGCTACACTCTACTCACAGATACCCGACTGAAAAAGACGACTGAGATTCTTAGAGATGAGATAGACCCTTCCATCTCGCTCATGACAATGATGGAACTAGGCGTTTTGAGGCCAGCGCCGCCAAATCTTCCTATCCTCGTGGCCAGTAGTCCTGATATAGACTACCCGTTCAGTATCATACCCCCGCAGCTGACATCGTGCGGTCCCATCATACGAGCTGCTCCGCCTATCAGGGAAGTTGACGCAGGTTTAGCCGAATGGCTCAGCCAAGGTTCAACTGTATACGTCAATCTGGGCACGCATCACAAATCGAATCCCACTGAAGCTCATCAAATGTCCAAAGCCTTCAGAAAGGTCCTCGAACACGCTGATACACTGCATTCTGCGGGGAAGCCTCTTCAAATTTTGTGGAAGCTAGGACGCGTACCTGACGAAGAAGGCAACGCCCCAAAGCGAGACACTTATACCGGCGAATGGGCTCTGGTGACTGATGAACTACAGGCTTACATCAAATCAGACAGGGTGCGTCTCACGGACTGGCTTGTTGCTGAACCAAAATCTGTCCTGGGATCGCAAAGCATCGTTTGTTCTGTGAGTCACGGGGGAGCCAATTCCTTCTACGAGGCGCTATGGTGAGTTCATTCCCGAAAATGTGTCGCGTCTTCTGACAACATGGTTAGTTCTGGCATCCCTCAGGCGCTTCTACCTGCTTGGACGGACTGTTACGATTTCGCGAACCGTGTTGAGCTACTCGGCATTGGGCTTTGGGCGAATAAGGAGGCGAAGCCCCGATGGCAAGAGGACGAGCTCGCCGAGGCGTTGTTGGAGATTTTATTCGGACCGGAGTCCGCGGGGATGCGAAAGAGGGCAGAGGAGGGTGCGAGTCGTCATCCGGAATGGGAGGGTCGGCAAATGGCTGCTCAAGAGATTCTCAACTACTTGACGAGGTTGGGATAATAAGAGAATGGGAGATCTAGGCTCAGTGGTAGACTTGACAAAATCCACAGATGAAGCTATATGATGCCACTATGAGGTCAGAACTGCAACATCGAATGGCATCTCGATGTAGCGATTACTTCAATAGCAACCGTACGGCTTAATGCGCGGCAAAGTCTATCGATAACGATAATACAATATCACATTTCGATGAGTTCTGGCGTTACTGAATGCTGCTGGCATGGGATCTCCGCAAAATGTAACATGACGTTCTAGCGAAGGATTGAAGGATCGGCAACCTCGGCACGTTTTAGGTGAGGAGAAAGACTAGGGAAGATCCGAGGCGCGTCTCACTCACCTCAACTTAATTCTAAACACCCCCCAAAACCATCCAAAACCACCTGTAAATTGAACAAAACTCCTATTGAACCTCAAAATGGCAGATGAGGTTGAACCCAAGAGGCTGAGCCAACCATTCTCAATCCCAGACCCAACCAGCTTCTCCAACTTCCAGCGCGACATCTACCAATCCTTCCGTCCCCCAATCTTCTCAACAAACCCCACAGAATGGGAGTCCCTAGCCAAGGAAAAGATCCCCGCTACCAATTTTGGCTACGTCTACGGTTCAGCTAGCAGTGCTGCTACTGCGAAAGCCAATAGTGAAGCGTTCAGCCGATATCGGTTGAAACCGCGTTTCCTTGTCGATGTCACCAGGCGCGATGTTGATGTTGAGCTATTCGGTACAAAGTACAAGAGCCCGCTGCTTGTAGCGCCTATTGGCGTGCAGAGTATCTTGCACCCCGATGCGGAGGAGGCTACGGCGAGGGCGTGCCATAACGTCGGCATGCCGATGATTCTATCGACTGCTGCGACGCGCACAATCGAGGAGGTCGCCGAGGCGAATGCGGATGGCGATCGATGGTATCAGCTCTACTGGCCGAAGCCGCAGTTTGAGGAAGTCACAGCTAGTCTTCTCGCGCGCGCAAAAGCTTCAGGCTACAAGGTCCTCGTTGTCACGCTGGATACCTTCTCACTTGGCTGGAGACCTACAGACCTCGACACGTCCTACTTGCCGTTCATCTGGGGCCAGGGCTGTCAGATTGGCTTTTCGGATCCTGTGTTCAACAAGTTGTTTGATGAGATGCAGAAGAATGATTCGCGAAGTATTGCCGAGAAGCTTTCTGAGCTCTGGACGATTATGAGACGACCTGGGACTGTCTACGGCGCTGCGAGGGTTCTCGCTAATGCAAAGACTCTGATCAAGTCGAAAGCTTGGATTGATGTGATAAACTCTGGAACATACCGCTCGTGGAACGACCTGAAGATCTTGAAGGATCTCTGGGACGGACCGATTGTTCTCAAGGGAATCCAGACAGTTGAGGACGCCCATCTTGCTATTGAGCACGGCATCGACGGCATCATAGTCTCCAACCACGGAGGCCGCCAACTCGACGGCGCTATAGCATCCCTGGATGCACTGGCGGATATCGCTGCGGACAAGAAGGTCAAGGACTCAAATCTGACCATCATGTTTGACAGTGGTGTTCGAACTGGTTCAGATGTGCTGAAGGCGTTGGCTCTTGGTGCAAAGGCGGTCTGCATTGGAAGGCCGTATGCTTATGGTCTTGCTGCTGGTGGACAGGAGGGTGTTGAGCATGTGTTGAAGTGTTTGTTGGCGGATATGGATAATATGCTTGCGAATGCTGGGAAGAAGAGTGTGAGGGATTTGAGTAGGGATGATCTTCAGATTTTGCAGCTATCTAAGATTTGATCGCTCTTATGCGGAGTATCTATGTTCTAGCTAGCCATCCCAACTTTGTTGCAATCCATTAAATACCCAAAAGTGCCCCAAGATCTACTAAAGTATATATCATCAAGATGATGAGAAGAAAGAAATACTACCCTTGAACCCTTCGTAAAACTCATAACTCAAAGGTTACTTAGAGCAAGGTTTGCCATCAGTGTTACTGCACTCGTTGGTATCGGTGCACTTGGACCCACAACCATAGTCAATGAAGTCAGAGGGAGTAGTCTGCTCCCAGTTATCCATGCACTGAGTCTCATCCCCATTACCCCAGTTACACCTCTGTCGACGATATCCCTTCTGCCTCATGACCTCCTGCTGGGTCCAAACAGTATGACAAGCGCCATCATCCCAAGTACAAGCAGTCAGGTCCTGAGCCTGCACACACTTGGACTCGGTGTCGGTAGTCGTGAAGTCAAGACCAAGACTGAAGCCCTCGATCTCACCGCCGACGCTGACACTCACGCTGTCAGATCTCTCCTGGCAGACCTCGTTTCCGACGAGCTTGGTGGCAGTACAGACTTGAGTGCCGGTGCAGTAAATGTTGCCGGAGGCCTTCTGCCATGGGGTATACTCCTTGGAGGTCTCGAGGACGAAGTAGTCGTACCAGCATTTGCGGACTTTGGGGAATTTGTAGGGATGGGTGGTTCGGTCGGAAGTCACGTAGGTTCCTTCACCATCGGTGTAGGGACCTTCGTAGGTCCTGGAGGTGTCGTCGCAGACTGGGAAGCCATCGCGCTTGGCGAGACCTTGGCCAGAGATGGTTGGACCAGCTTGGGCGATGGCCAGGAGGAAGGAAGAAGAGAGAAGGCTTTTGACGAGCATGGTGAATGAATGTGCTGAATAGCTTTGAAAGACTGAAAGGTTGAGTGAGTGAATGCATGTGGCTGATGCTAAGATTGAGGCGCTCTGCTCTGGGCTTTATAGTCATCCTTCGTCAGTTGATTCTCCTATTGATCCATTTAACTGTCCTATACAGTATAGATCATCCCATAAGCCGCCAAGGACTCAGGATCGCCGAAGCTGAGAAGGAAATCTCACGATACAAGACAAGACGAAACATGATCATGCATCTTCCTTGCTCGCCAAGTCCAGCAATGTCCACATCTATAGCCAGTCAACGGCTACGAGTAGCAAAGACGAAATTAATAGTAAGCTTTATGATCTCAATGGCTGGAGCTGAAACATCTGGTAGTAATACAGTTACTGAGCATGGTAATTACACAAGAGGTTGCCGACCAGCTTCGCAAAACTTTAGATCGTGAATAGCTGATACATCTATGTTCTACATATCTTCTTGCATAACAAGAATAAGGCGTCATTTCTCCATTAGGTTGTACAAAGCCAAGCATTCTACGAACTAGTTAACAATAGCTTACTCTACGATCTTCTCGAAACCTTCTCCTGAAGTCTTGGCCCCCATACTTGGCAGCTTACTTTCGGGACATCGGGCTCCACTCGTTTAATTGCAGATAAGCGGCGACCACAGCTGCCAAGTGACGATCTGCCGGTTTATCCAAGCACACCTCACTCCTACATACAAAACTTGGCATTATCGGAAGTCAGCGGCTATAACCCCAATCGCGGATCGTCGCTTCACGCCTCCTTTTCGCATCCGCGTAAAAAGACAAGAGACAGAATGAAGGAGCCTTGAGATCAGATTTACGTCAAGATGTATCTGGCACGTTGCAAGGGACTGTGCTTTTGATGATTCCAGTGGCGGACTTCCATGCTCAGTCAATGACTATGAATAGTTCCTCGGCAGGACTGGCAATTTGGCAAGCAATGGACTATGAACTTAAAGAAGAGGCACCGCCGGATCAAGGTCTCCTGGAAAGAAAGTCTCTGTAAAAGTCTCACCGCACCTGTCCATTCTTCCATCGTCTGTGTAAGGCGAGCAATACAAGCATGAGCTGTCAGGTCTATCGACTCAGAATAACACTCTCAAAAACACCATTCAGGCAGCATACCTAACTACCCACATAATAGACTTCCATCTTCACTGGAGAGTCCTTGTCACATCGGATCTGGGAGCATGTTTCCACGCCAGAGGTTGAAGCCTGCACCACCAGCCCGGCCCATTGAACTGGTCTTTACCCCTCGCAACGTTTTTACCCGATATCCCAGCAGTAGACTATGTAGTCGATTGCTGCCTATAGGGTTAAGCTTTAGGCTGCCAACACAGGTGATAAGGGCACGATACAGCAGTAGAAGATACCTGCAAAACTCAACTCAATCGGCCGAGCATAGATTTGCAGCGAGCAAGGGAACTAAATGAAGTGATCTTGCTTGAAAGTAAGGTTTATCGTTGCCAGGACCCTTCCATCTGTTTTCCCACTTCATTGCGAGTCCAGACCAAGATTCTCAAGACCACAATGCTCGTATACCTATGGTAGTGATATACAATGACTATATATTTAGCAATTCGTGCACAGAAGCGTTCGGTCCTCATCGGACGCATTTATCGCTATGTGCCATAAGTCAAATATGTGTGTGGTCCTCGAGAAACAAGATAGAGAAGTTATTGTTGGTTTCTGGTGCTCTAACGATACGGGAATCTCGAGAACCAGAGCTCCTACCAGTTGTCAAATATGTGTTTAAAGGTCAAGTTGATAGCTAAACTACGTGGGACCTAAGGGTCGGCTTTGCGTTGGCTGACGTCCACGTCACCGTCGAGCCCAACAACATGTCTGAGCTGGGTAATTAGAAGTCACGTTCAACTTAAAATAAAAACTTGTCCTGAAACTCCAAATGCGAACATACCGCGCCATTTTGACTTTGTTCACTCCAAAGCCTGTTTAGACAGAGACCGAGAGATCTACTGTAATACATTACTTAGAGTTGACTTCTTAAAAGTTTATCGCAAGGACTGTCTTTGAGTTATAATACTTACCTCATAACTCTAACATTCACTGGAGATGAACTTTTCATTATTACCTTTGAAGAAAGTTATCTTGTGATATAAGAACTATAAGAATTACACACCACGGTAATAGAACAGTGTTTCATGTCGCGCTTGACCATAGGAGTCTGAATACCATGTGTGCCAGCTACTTCGAACACTTAAAACTTCACCCAAAAACACTTGCTTGTTTCGATTTCTCATCAACCATGGATCCCAAGCCAATCGAAGCGTTCGGCGCCTCCCTTCAGGGGTATGTTCTGACTGCTTTTTATCTTATTGACTGACTCACTAACGCATGTAGATACTATAACAACAAATGTCTTTCAGATGTCGTGATTCGATGTAATGGCCAGGAATTTGCAGTCCACAGCCTTGTCCTTTTCTGTCATTCTGACTACTTTAAAAAGCAATTAACCGAAACGTGGAAGGTGAGTCCTCCTATCCTCACTCACAACACAAGCTGACCAAACGAAGGAGAGCGCAGACAAAATCATCGAGATCACAGACTTTGATACAAATATTGTCGAGGCTATGCTTCGTTTTATTTATTCTTTCGATTGCGACGTCCGTCCTAATACGCCCCCTCTGATCTTCCACGCCAAGGTCTACCAGATCGGCGATAAATACGGCATCGAAACACTCAAAAAGCAGGCCTCGAATAAAGTCGAACGCATCGTTAATGAAGCTGAAGTAGCCACTAAATATGTGAGTGATTTGGTCGATGCAATCACAGTGATGTATACCACCACGCCACCAGGAGACCGAGGCCTACGAGATATCGTCGTGTAAGGCTCCCATGAAGGCCTTGACGAGCTTATGCCACAGAATCCATTCAAGGAGGGTCTAGCGATGATTGGTGATTTCTCAGCCAATCTTCTCAGTTTCATGCATGAGAATTGGGAAGAGTATTGCGAGTGCGAATGTTTTGCTTGCAAGACTACTTTTACATTGAAGATAGATTCTCTAAGTGGTAAATACCAGGTTTTCCATAGTCCAAACCCAGTCTTCTGTCCTGTCTGCGGGTCGAAACCGCCGTCGTCGTCTCGAGACTCGGATTGACTTTACTATTTCAGAAGACTTTCTGTTTTTAACCAAGGGGACGGAAAGGTTATCATGGAGATGTGGGAGTAGCATGAATAACAACCACAGATAAACTGGTAGATGTGTGGTTACGCAGTGGAATATGCATTAGATGATCAATACGTGTGAGACTTTGTAAATATGACGCTTGCATATCATCGTTGTCTATGAACCTAGGCGACTCCTAGCCAGACTCCGTGGCAAGCAATTCACCACAGAATGTTATTTTGTTCTTGCTGGTGGACTTGCCTGATGCTTAAGCTTATGTACATCTTCCAGTGCACTAGTAAATATTTCTGTTTAGTTAAAGTACAATTCGTTGATTTTCCAATGAACTAGGATGTTAATCTACATGAAATCTATATCGAGTCGTCCAGAAGCCCCGCAGTGACCTCAATTTGTGGCTGAAGTTTCTGCGGGAGGCCTACCATTGTGTGTAAACATAAGAAAGGGCATCGTTCCTTTACCCCCTCCGCCTTCTTCTTTTTTCCCCGGATACGTACACCGTCTATTTTGCCCTGGAAATATCAGAGTCGACTGTTCCCTGGCACAAAGATGCAGTCACCGCCATATGAAGAATTTGGCGCTTCATTGAAGAAGTATGTTCTAATATCTTCACCCCGACATATCAGCGATTAATAAAAACAGTTACTTCAACAATACAACCCTTTCCGATGCCACCATCAGATGCGAAGGTCAGTATTTCTCAGTCCACAGTCTTATTCTCTTTTGCCACTCCGAGTATTTCAGAAAACAGCTCGATGGACCATGGAAGGTTTGAGAAGTACCTTTTTCCACGCAACCAACCAAGTCTAACAAATAAAAGGAAAGCTCAGAGCGAGTGATTGACATTCTGGATTTTGATCCGCCTATAGTCGAGGCGATGACACTTTTCCTCTATTGTTTCGATTACGAGTCGCCAGCTGATTCGTCAGCTATGATGTTCCATGTCAAGGTCTATCAGATTGCTGATAAGTATGGGATTGAAGCTCTGAAGAGACTCTCTGCGACGAAGTTTCGCGCCAGCATTGATGAGAATTGGAAGACGGATGAATTCCCAGTTGCAATAGCATTGGCGTATACGACCACGCCTCCGGAGGATAGGGGATTACGCGATATCACTGTGCAGGTCGCTTTCAACAATATTGGGACGCTGATGAGTCGGGACGCATTTTGTGAAACACTGAGCGATAACCCTGATCTCGCTGCCGATATTATTCGTTTCATGCATGGGAAATGGGAAGAACTTGAGGAATACAAGTGCTCAACTTGTGAGAGCGTCTTTTTAATAGGCACTGTTACGATTGAGATTGGCGACTCGCCACCCATGTACTGCCCAAGATGTAAGGCACGTAAAAATTCTCGGCGCTAATATAATGATGAATGTACTGTTTAATCCTTAAATTTTCACCTTTACAGTCTAAGTTAAAAGTCTTCTGTCTGAACGAAGATTTGAAAAGGTACACTCGATATCTCGCTTCTAATTCAGTATCCATTGACGCCAACTCTGAAAAGCGAAGCGTCACTCTCGATCTTCTTCCGAAGAGGTCCCGTCTTGAGCTCATCGACATCCCACTTGGCCCATACAAACCGACCGTGGAGGAACTCGGCTTCTTCAGACGCTGCCCAAACAGCAAAATCGCCTGGTAGTTTGACTGCACCTTTGTCAGTATTGTATAGGCTTATGAGAATCAGTACATACTATCATCCCACTTGAAACTGTTCTCATCGGCGAAACGTTCGAATGATTCAGTATAGTGTAGTCCTGGCTCAAAGGTGATGACCTGCATCTCGCTGGAGGGGACGGTCATGGCGATGTGCTGCATCATCATTGTTCCAGCGCTCTTGGTGAGTGAGTATAGAGGAATGGGAACAGACATCTGGGTATTATGAATTGCAATGCTGGACAAGTTGAGAAGACACTGGGCGGCGTAAGATTATACAACAAAATGTGTCATGAGGGCTCATCAGCTTACCAACTTTCGCGATGGGTCGGTTTCTCGCTGCTTATGAAACAAGCTAGTCCAAAGATATGGAGCAACAAGATTCACACCGAGTCCATTCTTGAAGGTCTCATATCCGAGTCCAAGAATAGTATTGGGCAGCCACATTTTCGCAGCACTCAAAACGAGAACATCAACAAAGATGCCATCTTCCGCAAGCTTCTTCCAGAATTCTCGTGTGGCATCCTCATCAGAAAAGTCATTGATAGTCGGGATGACCTCAACGTTGGAGTACTTCGTCTTGATCTTAGAGGCAGCTTTGTCCAACGCGTCCTGGCGTCGGCCGGTGATGATGAGACGAGTCGCAGAAGCTGCGGCAAACGACTCGGCAATGCTGAAGCCAATTCCAGTAGAGGCTCCAGCGACAAGTACAGTATGGCCAGCCTGAGAAAGCTCAGATCGGGTGGGTGAGATCGCCTCATATGACTCGCGATGTACTTTGGTTATGAGATTGCTGCCGTTGGTAGGTGCCTCGACATTCTCCCAAGGGTTTTGCTCGGGCCTAGTCTCTGCTGCGGAAGGCATATTGGAAAGCTGTTGCAATGTATTTGGATATTGAAAGCAAATGAATTAATGATGAGATCTGGATTTATAGCTTACGATAGTTGGATACTCATTCATTATATACAAATCTTGGGGTTGTTCCATTTGTAGCGTCATGAAGTATAACATAATTTTGACATGTCGGAACTTTGCAAGCGAATCTATGGAAACCCGCCAGAAACCCGCCTGCTTTTCCGAAAGCGCTAAATTTTCCAGGAGCAATAAGCTTATCTCGGAGGGGTTTCCGCCAAAAGCCCGCAGAATCTCCGCATGACAGCTGACAAAGGTCGCTAACGTTAATCCGATCTCCCTAAATCTTCCTCGCAGTCAACTCCAGAAACCCGCAATCTTCCCGCATCAACATAATCACAATGGGTTCTGCGACAAAGCTCAAGGCGTGCTATTCGTGCACGAACGGAAAGCGGAAATGTGACAAAGCTCAACCTATATGCGGGCGCTGCAGTGATCGGGACGTTGAATGCCGATATCCGCCTACGAAGCGGAAGAGGCTGCACTCGTCAGCACCAGGAGCGGATAATGGCGGAGAGAGCAGACTCAGTGTCGGACCACCGAGTCTGATGCAAATACCTTTCTCAACACCAGATAATGGCTTGATAGACCTCACTCAGTGGGCGGCAAGTTTGAGCAATTGGGACACTCTCCCTGCTGCTGAATTGCCAGACGACTCGCCCGCGACGAGCAGTGAGACAGTCTCCAGCCAGAAGGATGCTGTCGACTTCTTCCTCAGACCTGATGCATGGGCCGTTCGTCACATCCCTTTTACGACACCATCATTCCCAAACTCGGTCTGCATGAATTATGTCCACGGTATTCATGAGTTCTTTACTGAATGGGTCACCAACTCTCACAGCCCGTTCATACACAACCAACTCTACGCCGATGCCGGGCTGCCATCAACAATACAGGATGCATTCACATGCATTGTCCTGCATAACTCCAAAACACCCGCGAATGAGACGGTCATTGATGAGCTACTGGCATCGAAAGTATCGGCATTACTCAAGGCATATTGCCCGGACCTCGCTGGTCCTGAAGCGACGATTGCCATTCGTGAGCACCTCTCTCGAACCCAGGCGTTATTCGTCCACCTTGTTCTAGCGCTGTTCTCACCTTCCATTGGAGCGAGAGCCAATGCAGAACAGCAGATACAAACCCTTTTGTCATGGACTCGCCAGCTCTGGGAAGCCGCTCTTCGCGACCCAGATATTGGCCTACCTTGCGATGGCGGTGACAACTCAGCAGCTGCTGCCTCTGCCAATGGCATCGTTTTGGACTCCATCTTCGACGGTGACCCGCTACCCCGAAAGTGGCGTTCCTGGGTTCTTTCAGAGAGTATCCGTCGCATATGGCTAATGGCAACATCGACTATCGGAGTGTACCTTACACTTAAACAGAAATGGGCTGAATGTCATGGCGGTATCTACTTCACGGCTCATAAAGACCTATGGGAAGCTAAAACCGGCTTTGCATGGGCAGCAGCATGTCGGAAGGCAGATCCACTCTTCATATGTAGTTTAGACTGCGAGGGTCTGTTCCTGAGTGCAAAGGCATCGGATGTAGATCCGATGCTGATCAATCTGTTTACGATTATGTGGGGTGTTGAAAGAGTTGAGAATTGGGTTGCGAGAACATGTGAACCTGGAGAGGATGTAAGGGTTTGGAGGGGGACGGATTTGCCTATGGAGAAGGGAAGGATTGCACCTTCATGAGATTTGATATGTGCTAGATAACGACCATATTCTAACCATGCTCACTTATTCTGTGAAGAAACATCAACCGTGACATCCACCACATTCCGCTTCGATGCAGGAGACTTGTACGACTCATCAAAGACACTCCGCAGAAACCCAAACGCTCTTGGCTTTCCGTTCTCAATCTCAGAAACATGGTTCCCCACCGTATTCCTCTCAAACGTAATGTCCGCTCCTTTCTCACAGAGTCTATCAACCGTCGCATCAGTAAGGTCTATAGTGCAGAACTGATCCTGTATAGCCTTGTACAGAAACATGGGCATCGTGGGCGTGTCTCTGTATCCCAGCTTTACTTGCTTATCGTAGAGTTCTTGTAAAATCGGAGCTCTTAATTCCGCACTTCCACCTTTGAAGAAAGCGTATATGTCTTTCCCTGCGTATTTGCCGACATTTTGAGTGACTTCGGTGTTCACTGCTGCCATAAACTCGTCTTTCATCTCTGGGACAAGACAGCTTTCCAGATAAGCTCGTGCCTCGGGATATTGCGCCGTAATTCCTATCAAGAGGGCAATCAGAGTGCCAGCGATCGGACTCCTGTTGATCTTGTCCAGGGCGGCGGAAATGTCATCCACGAGACCGCCGACAACCGCTGCTGAGATACTGAGATCTGGTGAATTAAGATGGTTGTAACTCAGCCGCGGCGAATGTAGCAATCGAGCCCCCGCTGTATCCCCAGATTGCAGTGTTAAAACCCGGGTGCTTTCTCAGATTGAGAAGTTTGTTAACAGCGCGTAAAGCGTCGAGGGACGCATGGCCTGCCTGAACACTTGCGCCAAATGCAGCGGTCGGCCCAAGGTGATCTGGAGTGTTGATGATCCACCCGAATGACAGCATCTCAGTGATTAGAGAAGTGCTCGACTTGATACCAAGATTCGGTTCGCTTTTTGCCATCACTCCAGATAAAGCGAACGATGGGCTAGAGTCGACGTTGCATGTATTGTATGCGAACTGATACGACAGTATCGCTGCTTTGCCTGATGGGGAACAATAAAATGAGGTTGGAACGAAGAGCGTAGTGACAGCCCATGATGCCTGGCCCCTTGAATCAGTTGAGCGGTAAAGAATATGGTAGACCGCTGCTGAGCCCTCAACAACATTAGTGAGGTTCGATGCAGAACGAATGCGGAGAACATCGCCAGGTTGTCTGATCTCCCAGTCATCGGGGGCAGAATACCATGGGTCTTTGCTTGGTGGAAGCTGATTCTCGAGAGGTGCATCGTCAGTGATAATACCGCTGCTGGAGGCTTTTGCGACGGCGCGCAGATCGAGTAGCCATTCTAGAGAAGCCATTTTGAAATAAGCTTTGTTGGAAGAGCAAGAGCAAAGTGAAGGTCAGCATGAGATGTTCTCAGGCCACCGTGCCTCATGCTGACATGCTGTTACAAACAGCAGGGATCGCCCACCAGAGAGACAAATCAGAAAACCCTGGTCGGATAGGTCCGATTATCCCAGACGGAGGAGAAATATAGAAAGAGTAGTTGTCTGCATCTCGAGCTCTTCATTTGGCCATATTTCTCGATTGAATTCATCTCGGGAATTTTAAGTCAGGCGGCCCCGGAGTGAGCATGCTGATGATTGCCACCTGAAGAATGAGGCATTGCAGTGCTAATTCTTGTGCAAGGAAGAATGGTGGTGTTGGAGGATATATCGATTCTGGGTGTATTCGCTATTTTTTTATCGATAGGTAACAGTCGTGAGAGGCCAGAGTATGTATCGGCAGTCTTTTCTTTTAAAGAGCTAGCACTCAGTCGATGTTACAAGCAAAATAGAGCTACTGGCAATAAGAAGCTCGCCGTACAGAATTCCCCAAAAGCGTAATATCACACGGACCGCCAACAAAGCGGAAATCTCCACCTGCGCTGTTTTACGTGAGACAAAGTCTGACGTGTGAGATTATAGTTCTCACTACAACTACCGAAGGAGTTTGCAAAGCATTTATAATTAAACCCTGACTTTTTTATTTCTTTCTGACGGGCTTCACATTCAACACCAACATCCAACATGACGAAGCCGCAAATCGTCGTGAAAATACCCCCAGGCTCCGATGCGGAGGATAAAAGTCTCGTATCAGCCCTGACTGATATTGTCAACACGGCCTACACGAAAGCCGAGTCAGATATCTTCATCCCATCATACCAACGGACCTCCACCGCTGAAATCGCCAAATTCTTAAGCAACGGCCAACTCGCGGTCGCTTACCTCCAACCAAATAACGAGCCCATCGGCTGCGTTTTCATCAAACTCATAACACCCACCCTCGGAGAGTTCGGCATGTTGGCACTTGACCCACAGTACCAAGGCACTGGTACAGGGCGACAGCTAGCGGTCTTTGCGGAAGATGAATGCAGACGAAGAGGTTGTACGACGATGCAGCTAGAGATTCTTGTGCCAATGACGTTTCATCATGAAGGGAAGGCGAGGTTGCTGGGGTGGTATACGAGGATGGGTTATGAGCTTGTTAAGTTGGGGAACTTTGCGGATGACTATCCTGATTTGGTGAACTTGCTTGCTGGACCGACGGAGTACAGGGTTTTTGAGAAGAGTCTTGTGTAATGATGAAACTAGCTGTGGTATGAATATAAAAAGGCTAATGAGTTCATGATTGTAGTCTGGCCGCTTTGATAGTCTCTTCTCGCAGCTGAAGATCAAGCCGGACATGTCAATGTCGGAATCTAGGTCTTGGCATGAATATCAACATCATCCAGAATAGCCTCATTTCTCTTCGCAGCCGCATCCCTGGCCCTCTTAAGCCGTCTCGTCGCAACATCAACTTTCCAAGTGAACGACCAAGTGATAACGTTCATGACAATAGCCATACCAATAAACCCCATTGCGATTCCAAACGACGTAGTATACCTTGGTGCGAAGCGCGAATTGAACAGCTGTGATCCGACTGCACCTCCAATCTGGCCGTAGCTATTCGCAAATGCAATGGCAAAAGCTGACCCGGTGGCTCCATCTGTGGTTTGAACTCTCCATGGCCACATCATTGTGTACCTAATTTGTCAGAAACCTGTAGTTAGAAGGGCAGGGCTTATGTGCTTACCAAGCGATTGAGAACCCTCCTGCTATTACAGTAGCTGCATACACACCGCCTGTGCTGGGGAAGGTGTATAGAACAACGTAGCATGCTTCGATGATTATCATGAAGCTCAGCGGGATCAGAGGTAAGGGAAAGCGACCGGTGTTGGCGATCCATCCGAATACTATGGTGAGCACACAAGCAAAGATGGCTGGGGGGATGTTTAGCAGCTGAGCTTCCGCGATGCCGCTGCGGCGAACCAAATGTCAGCTCTTACGCTGCCTCAAAGCATTCCTTTGGATACTTACGTGAATCCCAAGTTCGCAATAACCGTAGGTTGGTAAAAGGTGAGCCCCGTCGTGCCAATGGTATAGAATGCCCAGCAGAGAAGAAACAACCAGAGCTTGTGGTCTTTCAGTGTATGCCAGAACTCTTTCCAGTCAAAATCCTTCTCGGAAGCTCTGGGGGCATTGATGGGAAGTCGAGCTTGGACGAATGCCTTTTCTTCTTCGGACATCCAACGAGCTGTGTCTGGGACTGGCTCTAATGTTAGCAAAGGTCAGTTGAGAGGTGATTCTGTGTTCTTACAGTCTGGCATGAAGATGTATGCGAAAACACCCAGAAGGATAGTGAACACTCCCTCTGTCAAGATAAGCCTAGAGCTTGAGTCAGCCTAGCCTTGAGATATGTTGGTGGGTGCATACCATTTCCATCCCGACAAGCCTTGTGCGTGGACACCATCAAATGCAAAGGCAAGCACACCGCTAACGACGGCACTGAAGTTACCAAGAATAGTGACAAGAACAATACGCGATGCCATTTCATCGGGTCGATACCAGTAGCATAACTGCAGAAGCATACCAGGCCAGAGACCAGCCTCGAAGAGACCAAGAAAAGCGCGGACTGTATACAAGCCTGCGGCATTTTTCACTGCGGCGTGACAGACGAGAACGATGCCCCACGATATCTATTGTATCTGTCAGCTTAATGGGCTGGGCACGGAATGAGGAGACGAACCATGATTCTTGCTTGCCAAACTGATGGCTTGAGCCGCTTTACTAATAGGTTTGAAGGTGTTTCTGCTAGGATATATGGGATCTATCAAGTCATTAGTGATATTCGCGAGAGTTGACATCTGACACATACATAGTAGGCCATAGTGACAAAGTTGTAGTCATCAGCCGAGATGTTTAGCTCAGTCATGATATTCCTCGGCGTTCCGCGATCCATGATTCGAGCATTCGAAACCTACAACATCAGCACCTTCACGTGAAATCTGGTGTTTCACTTACGTTGGCAGCATCAATCGACTTAACCATGTACATAACCGAAAGCAAAGGAATGAGATGCCAGTCAATTCTCCGCAACAACTTCTTCTCCTGCTGACTACTCAACCTAGTCCGTGCTCCCATAAGTTCTCCATCATAGCCGACAATATTATCGTTTATATCATCCGAGGTATGGATAGATTCTCCGCGGGTGACGGTGTTGTAGTGTTGCTTGACGGGTGGCTCTCCGGGTGAAGAGTCGGCAAGTTCATGAGTTTTCTCATCCAAAGTTTCATGGCCCAATTGGCCTTTGGAGATACCGAAAGTAGCCATTTTCGTGATGCTCTTCTTAAGATTCGCAAAAACTATCAAGGTACTCCGATAAAGATATAAGTCCTGACACCTCTTTTCCCGTGTATCCTACTCCTCACCCAACGGTATGTCGACATCCGCGATCGGCATTCCTCATCTTGGCGTGGGGGAGGGGTATAATCGCGCAACCCATTGACTCCAGCTGTTATCTCCAAGACTATCTCTCAAATAATACTACTCCGAAAACTCATGCGGATGTTTCTATAAAAGGTGTTGCCATCTCGGGTTGGAGATAATATATCCCCGCTTTCGGGAGATTTCGAAATACTCCACGTCAATGGTGACATCTGTACAACGATAAAAGAGGAAACTGATTGGCTTTTCGAGATTGCTTATCAATTTTGGGCGGTCAACGTTGTATTGTTTTATCAGGATACACGGAACAGGAATTCTCCCGTCTTTCGTATCTTTTTACCCCTCTTTGTTATCTGCAGGCTGCTATCGACCATGAAGTTCATCAACACCATCGTCTTCACTGCCGCTGCGGCGACGGCGTTCAACCTGGGAAGTGTCCAGTTTCCGTTCTCCCCTGGATCTCTCAAGTCTTCAGCACTTCTTGAGCTACACAAATCACTTGTCGAGCGACCCTCAATCACTGGCTCTGAGAAACACGTCACTGACTTTCTCCAAACATATCTCCGAGAAGTGGGTTTCACCGTTGAGACTCAGTCAGTCGCCAAGAACCGCGATAACATCTTGGCTTATTGCAATAATACGAGACAAACAAAGGTTCTCGTGACTTCTCATATTGACACTGTTCCCCCATTCTGGCCTTATGAGCGACGAGGTGATGAGATCTGGGGGAGAGGAACTGTCGATGCAAAAGGCAGTGTCGCGGCGCAGATCATTGCTGTTCAGGAACTATTTGAGAAGAAGGAAGTCAGTGAAGGTGACATAGCGCTGTTGTTCGTCGTGGGTGAAGAAACAGGCGGACCCGGAATGGGCAACGTCAATGATCTAGGTCTATCCTGGGAATCTGTCATCTTTGGTGAACCAACAGAACTCAAACTTGCTCGAGGTCACAAAGGTGGTTTGGGATTCACTATCGAAGCGAACGGAAAGGCTGGTCATTCTGGATACCCTGAGACGGGAAGCAATGCGATTGATAGCCTTGTTCGTGGATTAGCGGCTCTTCAAAAGATTGAGTTACCTGGGAGTAAGGAGTTTGGGAACACTACTCTCAACGTGGGTAGGATTGAAGGAGGTGTTGCTGGAAATGTCATCCCGGCGACTGCTTATGCTACCGGAGAAGTCAGAGTCGCTGGCGGAACTCCAGAGGGTATTAAGGACTTGATACTTCAAGCGGTTGAGGAGAGTGATCCGAGCCTTGTCGTTGAGTTCTCGTATGGTATTGGACCAGTACCTACAGACTATGATGTTGACGGTAAGTAAGATCACAAGAAGATGGGACTGTAACTGACATCTGATAGGCTTCGAGACTATAGTTCTGAAATATGGAACAGATATCCCTCGGTTGAAGGGGAGCCATAAGAGATATCTGTACGGACCTGGCTCGATTCTCGAGGCGCACTCTGCGCATGAGCACTTAAAGGTTTCGGATCTGGAGCAAGCTGTTGAAGGATACAAGAAGTTGATATCTCATGCCCTTGATCAACCTTCTGAGCTGTGAGGGGGGATAAGTCAAGATCAATTTAGATCCTTGGCTCAGAAATTCCTATGTGACCATCTTCCAATAGATCACTGCCAGTCCTCAGGTCTGGTAGCAAATAAGACATCAAAGTTCCATAACTTAGAAGGTATGAGCCTCGCTGTGTATAAAGAAAGTCAATTTCCTCCTATATCCAAACGCCCGCTTTACTATCCATGCTTAGACATCTAAGAACTCTTTCCATGCTATATCGCCAGATGCAACCAGCACATCTGCCCATGACTAAGCCTCTTCTGGCTTCCGTCCTGTGATGAATCGATAACTCGTGATCAATCTCAACTCACGACTTCGAAACTCCCTCTTCACACCCTCCATCAACACCATAACCTGATCGTGCGAATAATTCCATACGCGCGTGAACAAAGCTGGTGTATGCGACTCAACCGACATTTGCATATGCGTCAGCTCAAATTTTCCCAGCTCCTTCAGCGTCGGATCTTTCGCCCATGGACCAATGGGTATCTGTAAAGATCAGTAAATCATCATCGAGACAGTGAGATAAAAACTTACCCTGTAAACTCTCTCAACAACATCTTCAAACCCAGCATCAATCATCCACTGCTTATGATACTTTGCAACATTAATCTGCTTCCCAAACATCTTACTCGCCTCATCAAGCTTGTTGACCCACTCCATCGTCCACGGCGCCCTATCACAACTATCGTCGTCGCTGAAGATCCACGCATCATACTCCTGCATCTCCATGTACCCGCCTGGCTTGAGATTATTAAGCGCCTGCTTGTAAAACCTCATCCAATCTGCACTCGTGCCACTGAGCGCCCGACCGTGGATGTAGTCAAACCTTTCACTCTCGCGGTACGTCCACTCATCTTCGTAGTCGTCAACGTGAAACATGCAGTTGCTGGGTACCCAGTCCGGCTGGATCGGGGAGAGATCGACGCCGGCGACTGTTGCGTTGGGGTACTCGTCTGCCATTTCTATGGCCCAGATGCCAGTGCCGCAGCCGAGATCTAGGATGCGGTATTCGTCGGGTGAGTCTGGGTTAGGTAGTGGCGCTGTGTGCAGGGCGCCACCGAGGAGTAAGCGCCAGATGTGATGTTGAAGATCTAGGCGCTGTTGCTCCTGGTCGTCATTGGGGAGGACGTATTGACCCTCGCGAAAAGCGTGGTAGCGACGACCATTTTCATACTGGTAGTCGTAGATTGATGACGTGGCGGAAGCAGTGTAGGTTGAGCCTCGGTCAGAGCCATAAGTAGAGTCTGCGTCATCGCCAGCTATTTCATCCTCCTAAAAATGATCAATACGATAAAATTATTCATGTGTCAATGAGTGAGAGCGTACATCAACTTGGAGCGGCGCATGCTCTTCTGGCTGTTGGTCCTCGTCATCTGCGGGCGATCGGCGCGTCTCGCCAGGATCTTGACCCGACAGAGTGGTAACGGGTGGAGGAGACCCTGACGCTACGGGCGACGAAGAAGTCTTGGGTTTGGAATCCTGTTCAGAGCCCATAGTGGTAAAGTTATCGCCCAAATAAGCACTATTAGGTATGTGAAACCGTAGTCGATAGCGTCAAGTCTGGTCAAGCGGAAAATGAGTGAGGGAAAAGATGATCAGCCACGTGGGGAAAGGCACGGGACACACGGAGGAAGAGAAGAAGAGCAGAGAGAAAATTGGAATTCCAGGGCCATGGTACGATTGGGGAAACACGCGAGGATGATCTCGATTGGGTTTAGTAATATCGATCTAGGAATGCATCTCCGTCTTTAAAGAGGGGGCCCAGACTCTAGCAGCACTAAAGCCAGGCCAAATCGGCTAAGGAAATAACCCTCACCAAATTTCTCCCTTTCTCCTCTTTCCTTTACAGAACCAACAAGACAAACGGCAAAAAGCAATGGCCAACGATAAACTCATCTGCGTCATTGGCGCCACAGGCAACCAGGGCGGCTCCGTCGCCCGTCGCTTTCTCAAAGCGGGCTTCAAAGTGCGTGGCTTGACCCGCAACACCGCCTCACCCTCCGCCCAAGCCCTGTCATCGGCGGGAGCCGAAGTCGTGGCTGTTGATCTCAATGACGTCTCGACTCTCAAGAAAGCGTTTTCCGGGGCGAACGTGATCTTCAGCGTGACTAACTACTGGGAACCGTTTTTCCGACCAGATTGTCGGGAGCAGGCTGCCAAGGAGGGTATTTCGTGTCGAAAGTTTGCGTATAATGTTGAGGTGCAGCAGGGAAAGAATATTGTCGATGCGGCTGCTACCGTGGTGGACAGCCTGGATGATAACGGATTTTTGGTCTCGACGTTGAGTCAGGCTGAGAAGTGCAGTGGAGGGAAATTCAAGGAGTTGTATCATTTTGATGGCAAGGCTGATGTTTTTCCGGCGTATGTTGACGAGAAGTATCCTGAGCTTGCGGCCAAGATGTCGTGCATTCACACGGGGTACTTTTATACGAGCTTCAACATTTTGCCCGACTCTTATATGAACAAGGTAGGTTCATCCACGTTTGCCATGGGCTGGCACTGATAAGAAGTAGCTCCCTGATGGAACCTTTGAAATGTCTTTCACTACCTCCCCCGACAGTCTCGTTCCTCATCTCGACCCAGTGGGAGATCTAGGCAACTTCACCTACGCCGTGTACCAAATGCCTCCAGGCAAGGCTTACATGGCTGAAGGCACAACCTGCACATGGCCAGAATGGATCGAGACCTGGGGTCGCATCAACAATGTCCCTGTCAAGTACCGCCAGGTGACACCAGATGAAATGACAGCCGCTACACCTGATCGAGATGCGGGAATTGAGACAGGATATATGTTCTCGTATACTTCTGATCCGGGATACGATGGCGGCATGAAATTGCTGAGGGCAAAGGATATCCGAGAGGTATGTGTTTTTTTCTGAGTTTGGAAAGATGCTGACTTTACAGGCTGGCATTGACTGCCCCATGACAAGCTGGGAGGAATGGGCCAAGAAGTACGACTGGTCTGCTATTCTTAACAAATAAGGGTTACAAGATATATAGGCATGGTCATTATTAGCGCAAAGTCTGTTGCAGAAAGAACTTATTAGAGTAGACTACATTACGGCCGAAAGCATGATAAATAAATATGAGAACTATAGGTATTTTTTTTTCCAATTCGCTGTTGCATTTCACTTCATGTTACCTGATGACCAAGCCGTTATGAACTCGTTACTCCTCCAGCTGCCATTTCGCAGCGCCTTTCGCATGTAACTGAACGGTATCAAACATGGGCATGTCAACGTCCCCCGGCTTTAATATCATCTGTAACTCTGTACATCCCAAAATAACTCCCTCAGCACCCCTCCCGTACAAGTCCCTGATCTGATCCAGGTAAAACTCCCTTGACTCAGGCAGTACCTTATTACACGAAAGCTCTTCGAAAATCACACGATCCATCCTCTTCCTCGTCTCCTCCCTCCCTGGCACAAGTACCTCAACCCCAAACCTCCTCTCCAGCCTCCCCTTCAAAAAGTCCTGCTCCATCGTAATCTGTGTTCCCAGCAATGCAACTTTCTTCAACCCTTCTTTAATAATAGCATCACCCGTAAAGTCAATGATATGCAGCAGTGGAAGACCCGTTGCATTTTCAACATCTTCCGCCCAGCGGTGATTCGTGTTGACGCAGAGAACGATTGCTTCTGCGCCGATGGACTTGAGATTCTTTGCCGCGCTGCAGATTTGGCGGGATACTTCGTTGTAGTTGCCTGTTTGGAAGAAGCTGAAGAGCTCGGCGTGGTCGAAGGAGTGGAGGAGCAGTTTGGAGGAGTGGCCGCCGCCGAGACGGTGTTGGACGTAGGCGTTTATTTGTTTGTAGTAGAGGAGGGTTGCGTTGTAGGTTGTCCCGCCTAGAAGACCTAGCACGCGCATCTTCGCTGGGTACCGTGCTGGCTTTTCCCCTTGATATGATGGAATTGAGGCAGAGAGTTGAAGCGCAACAGTTAGTGATGAGGGGAGTTTGTAGTGATTAAACCACTTCACCCTTGAGTTGAGTGGAGGTGGGGTTGGTTGTGTTAGTGCAAGACCTCGAAGGAGCTGGCTCTAGCACGCTGGAAGTAATCCTATTGGCAGAAAGTTCCTTATCGGGTGCCCTGACACCGTTAGTCTTCTCGCTGGACCCACTGCATTGTACTACTCTAACGGCCACATTCGAGTGAGCATTTCTTCTAAATAACAAGTCAAGATGCTTGGAACATTGATATCGAATCTCTTGGATAAAATTATTGCTGTCATGTACACTTGCACTAAGCCGTAGTCGGCTGGCCCTAATTTCACTGCCTCGGCTTAAAGTCTCGCTTTCCATATACCAAACCCTCCAGACTCTAGTGCTCCTTATATTTATTAAATGGGAAAATAAAACGGAAATAAAACACTTTTTAAGTAGAAAATGTCCAAATGAGAAGATTGTTCTTTCTTCTATTATACCGAGGAGGCAAATGGCTTTGTTAATTAACGTATACGTATTCTGTTCAATAAATAGAGTAATGTGCTACCGGGTAGTATCACCAACCTCAGCAAGTGATAAGTGGACGCGACAACAGCACCAGCATTCTCCGTTTGCGCAGTTCTCACAATTAAATAGGAAGATTCCGACTCTCCTTACTAATTGATAGTATGCTGAGCTCTTCAACTTCTCGTCCGAGTCTCCAATTGATAGCTTTCTGGGATCCGTACGATGACGCCGGAGGTCCGCGGGGCTCGGAGATGGCTCCGCGGTGATGTACTGACATAAATGACACCAACTCGGATAACTGCGTTTTCTGCTATTTCCGACCACATTTTTACTACATAACGACAGATATAATTTCTTCAATAATCTCTCTTTGAATATCTAAAAATGGCTTCTGCATCATGCCACGTTGACTGGACATCTTCTCTCGACAAGTACGAAAAAGGCTTTGAGAGTATCTTCATCGGCGGACCAGAAACCACCCAAGCCGATCTCGAAGGTCTCTTTACTCAAGACTATACATCAATTGTGGATGGAAAGCGTATCGAATTTCCCGAATTTGTTGAGCACATTCAACATCTGCGCCAGGTTACGACAGCTATCAAAGTCCAAGTGACGCACTTCCTTCGCGAAGGTAACCAACTCGCCGAGCGTCATTTTGTCACTGCAGAATTCTCCAACAAACCTCCATCTAAGTATGAGGTCTTTCTCTTCGCTACCGTTGACGAGAGTGGAAGGATTGAGAGACTGGTGGAGACTTTGAGGCAGACGGATGGTTTGGAGGAGCATAGGGATCTGGGCAGCGCTAGGTCTTAAGTAGTTCAATCAAAGTACTGGGAAGATCCAAAGCAAGAGCATCGCGGGGAATGATCTTAATTCCATCAATTATAATCATCATTAAGACTCCAAGGGTATAATGCTATCTAAACTTTCCCAAATAACTATAAACAACCAAGACAAAGAAAATTATTAGGTTTCCTTGACTGCCTCAATCAGCTTCCATTCCCATGTCGTCTGATGCTGGATGCACTCTTGAAGAATCTCAGGATCTTCCCACCACCAACGTTCAGCGACGATGTATTCTCTCCACACTTCCATCCAGAGCATACGGCCCACAAGATTACGAAGTTCTTGTCTCAACCCTTCTTCAGATATGTGGCCTTCTCTCACATACTGAAGCTGACTATTGTTAAGAGGAATAGCGAAGAAGGATGTCGTCTCGATACAATCGGGATCAACACGCAGTGAGGCACCATTCAGCCAGAGAGGGAGTAACTTGCTTGGGTTTGTGCAACGAAAACTAGCTTCCAGATTGAAGAGAAGATGATCTTCGATCCAGGCCCGTAAGAGAGGCCCGAGAGTGCTAGTGACGGGAAGTGGATCAATGATGGTGAGTTGTAGTGAGCCACCCGGCTCAAGACATCTATGAATGTTTCGTAAAAGAGCGGGGATGTCTTGTGATGGCATAGCGAGAGGAAGACGTAGTGAGTGAACGGCTTCAATGGTAGATGGAGCGACGGGGAATGCGGAAGGTGATCTGACTGGTGTGAGAACAGGATGGATGTTTGGGAAGGAGGCGGGTGATAATGGTGCTGCTGAGAGATGGTAGACTTGTTTGCTGTGATTTACGGCAGCGAGATATGAAGTCACAGCTGGGAGATGTTAATTGAGTGAGATGAGTACGTGAGTGAGATTACTTACCGGGCGTTTCATAAAGAGCAAGGATCCTCTTCGGCGGATCCGTCGACTCATCATCGAGATGATCATCATTAATCTCAGAATACTCTGGTCCGTCCATGTTGAACATAGCGGAGAGCATCCACTGCATCTTCTCAACCTCCAGATCCTGACATAAACTTGGTGGATTATTGGCGCCCTGCGACTCAGCGAGACGCACAAGTCTCACCATATTGTCCTCTTTGGCAAGTTGCTTGACACCCAACTGCATCGCGTTGAGTTCCTGGGGGATGGTAGCTTCTGGCTCAGGGACAGGTTCGTCTGGGAATTGGAATGACGGCTCTGTGGGTGTGCATGCCCACTCACTGGGAGGGCGCCAACTATCGCTGCTTTCGACTCGTAGTGAAGCTGTGGATGATGGCATGCGTCGTGGAGTCTTGGCTTTAGTTGGTGATCGACTGCTCTGCGGACGCTGAGGTTGAGATCTAAATGAGGTAAGCGGACTGACGTTGCGAATGAAGATTGAGACTGACTGAGTACTTGGTGAACGAGCGCGATGCTTAGACTTGATACTTGGTGTCGCCATTATAGTAACACCGCAATTGATGAGATACGGCGTGTCGGAGGATGTACGTGGAGATGTTGTCGCTTCTGTACTTCGCGCAACAAAAGAATCATCGCTCAAAGTTTGAATGAGAGGCCAAGGCCGGATGATGACACGCTCAAGGGTTTCTGTATCCCACGGCGCAGTCGACGATGTGAGCGTTGGTGAAGGCGGATCAAGAAGCGTATTATCCTCAACGTATGCCTCTACCAAAACATTAGCATGAGACGTAACAACCACTGCGCGTTGTCGCAAACCTTGAGAGCGCTCCAGAATCTGCACATTTCGCCTTGCGCTGAGATCGACAACCCTCGCCATATTAATCGTCGTCTGCTCACTCCCCGTCGAAAACGTCGAAGCTTCATCTGCCTCTAGTTCATAATTCCCCGCTCCAGCGCTCGCTTTCGAAGACGTTGACGACACAGAGTCATCCCCCCTCTCCGCATTTTTTCGTTTATGATAAAAGCTCCCTAACGACGGCGCCTCGCTCGAAGAGTTGGACCCGCGACTAAAGATGGATCGCGCCTTTGTCGCAGATTTGCTGGTCGTCGCTTTGTTCTCACGGTGTTCCTTTCGCGACTCCTTGGGAGCAGCCCAACTGACTTCCCACATGTTGAGGCGGTATCGATCAAGGTCTGAGATTCGGAGGGCAAGGTTCGATGCTGGTTTTCGGAGGATGGAGTAGAAGCGGTCGCGAGTGGAGGACTCTGCCGCTGCGTCTGGCTCTGTTAATGAGGACGGCGCCATGGTGTCATGCATGCTGAGCTGAAGGACAACAACAACGACAAAGCGCAAAATTGATGGTGGAACAGGGAGCAGGGGGGAAGAATCGGCAGAGGGCTGCATACGAAATTAAGAAAGAGAGAAACATACCCAGGGGATTGGGTCAAATGGAGGGAGCGGGCTTGCAGCTGGCGAATGCAAGGCTGAACTCTGTCGTCTTGTGGAGAGTGTCGAGGCCTCACTGAGAACGGGATTTGCCGAAGTCTAATAGCGAAAAGTGGCTGGCGGAATGGAGGATCCGAGGGCCTGGGAATGCGGTATGCCAGCGGAAGGGAAGGGGTTATTTACGCGGACCGCACGTGTGACATTAAGAATACGGTAGCTTACGATTTACCCGAATTGAAACGTTAATATTCTGTGAAACCGAGAAAAGACTGTTAAGATGGGGGAGATTTCAGCTTTGCTCATGCAGGGGAAAGAGACCGATCACCCCATGCCATGGGTCTCGATGCGGCCTGGGCGTTGGAGTGGCTTGCGGCTATCAGACGCCCTTTTCATGCACTGGCTGAGCATAACTTAGATGCCATTGTTTGCTTTGACGATCAGCATGCCGATGTTTTTGCACTACACAAAGAGATTACTCAATGAAGTTTGTTAATAGCGTTTGTGTTCATCGTTTGAAATTATCAATAACAAGTCATGATGACTGCTACGTACATACAACACTCAGCTTGTGTTGTTTCACGATAACTTTGATATTCTTAACAGCACCGTAATTGGCTCAAGCGGAAAGAAATGCACGTACCATGGATCAAATACCTCGCACCAATGCCGAGAAAGCAGTAGCTCAAAGCATCACTTTCGCATATCGTGGCTTGAAGTTCTAGACCATTTGCGGGGACGTGATCCCCAGCCCAAACCCGACACGAGTCTAGTCCCACCTGAATCTCGATAAGCCAGCCTGAACTAAAACACCACTGCCACGAGCTCAACACTCGCACAACCTTTTCCGCATTGTTGGGTTCTCGTGGCTTGGCGGAGCAAACAGTACAGTACAGCTCAGCGGTCTGTGGGTAGCACAATCAGGTCATGTTTCCTTTGTTATTTCCTTGGATTAACGGAAACGAGGGTCCGAGGGACGGGCACCTGGTGTACCTAGTGCATTGATTGCACTGAGATATTGGAGCTTATTCTCGCCACTCTTACACCCAAAGATCAAGACACAATCGCCATTTCGTATCATCGAGATAGCGCATCTAATTAATCGGAAACCACAAAAGGAACGGGAATCACGCGATTATTAACTTCCCCCTCGCCAAACTATCGAAAGTCTCGCCCCATCAATTTCCCTTTCGTACCTGAGCAATGTGCAACCACACATATTTGCTTTTTTTACGAGACCAAACCACATGGTAGCAGTGGCTTTTAGCGTTCCTCGGCCAGCCTCACCAACTACCCGGATAACACTTCCACAAAGACCGATTTCGGTGACTCCCGCTAAAAACGGAGTTGGTGTGCAGCCTTGATTCTTATTGATCAGTATTGTTTCGCGTGGCTTGTTTGGTGAGACGTAATCATGCAGAGCGGGAGGTCTAAGCGAGGTGTCAACTATTGTTGGCTGCGTTATTATTTCTTTATCCCATGTTACCCGCCATTATTTTATTCATGAGCTTTATTTTCTTTGTGCTGAAAAAGAAGTTGTTTGTGATCGACAAAGATCAGTCTAGAAGCAATCATGAGAAACCACGCGGCAGATCTGGCCACAAGGTTCAACGGGAGTGTCGCAACCTCCTTCATTGGCCGGTTCTTCAGGCTACAAGGCAGTAGTCACGTATGTTTCATTCCAGTCGCAAAGCACTCCTTACTAATGTGCTTTTAGAGTAAGGAGATCGACGGGACGACATTCTTGAAAGAAGTTCGTGCTGGGGCGACGACCTTTGCTGCTATGACGTATATCATTGCTGTTAATGTAAGCAGTTTGTGAGGAAGAGTGGGAGGAGAAGTGCTGATGAGATGTAGGCTTCGATTCTTTCGCAGACGGGCGGACCTTGTGTTTGTGATGAGACGAATAGGATTGATTGTGATAAGATTGATAGTTATGCGATATGTAAAGAGGGTGAGTTTACATTTACTTAATTAAGATGAGCACTGACGAGATTACAGAGGTGAGGCGAGACCTCGTCACGGCTACATCAGCCATCGCAGGACTGGCCAGTCTTGTCTTTGGTCTCTTCACCAACCTTCCAATAGCCCTTGCGTAAGTACCCATCTCCAAAGACTTCACTCATCTAACGAGAAACAGACCTGGCATGGGCCTCAACGCCTACTTCGCCTTCCAAGTAGTAGGCTACAATGGCTCAGGCAGTATTCCCTACGGCGTCGCATTAACAGCAGTCTTCACTGAAGGTCTCATCTTTGTCTTCCTTGCACTGACGGGCATGCGACAATGGCTCGTCAAACTTATCCCGTCAACCATAAAATCTGCGACGGGAGCTGGTATTGGTCTCTTTCTTACAGAGATCGGCTTGTCTTATGGTTCGGGTATTGGTGCTATTACTGGGGGGTTTAACGCAACGCCTTTGGCGATTGCTGGATGTCCGGTTGATAGGATCAATCCGGATACTCAGATGTGTGAGGGCGGGATAATGACTAGTCCGAAGGTAAGTCAATGACCCTGGTTGTGAAATGACATGCTGACATGGATGAAAGCTTTGGACTGCGATATGTGCTGGTGGTTTACTGACGGCGTATCTCATGGCTTTCCGGGTCAAATACGCTTTCATAATCGGCATAGCATTCGTCTCCATCCTCTCGTGGCCGTAAGTTATCCCCAATCCCCACTGACTTTATGTGTTTCTGACAAGAAGCAGACGAGATACTGCCGTCACATACTTCCCTCACACGCCAGAAGGGGAGTCTCGATTCCAGCTCTTCCGCAAAGTTGTATCTATCAACCCAATGAAGCATACCCTCAACGCTCTGGACTGGAACGTCGGCCAACACGGTACTCAATTCGCCCTCGCGCTCTTCACCTTTCTCTAGTACGTTCCTCATCCACTCTGATCTTCCCTTCACTGACGAACTCAGTGTCGATATCATTGATGCAACAGCAACAATGTTCTCCATGGTCCGTTTCTGCGGCGTTGTCGACGATCGAGATGGAGACTTTCCCCGCTCAACACTCGCTTACTGCTGTGATGCAATCAGTATCTCTATCAGCGCTCTCTTTGGTTGTTCACCCGTTACAGCATTCATAGAGAGTGGCGCTGGTATTGCTGAGGGAGGTCGCACTGGTCTTACAGCTACGACTACTGGTTTCTTGTTTCTTTTGTCCATCGTGTTTGGGCCGATCTTCTCGTCTGTGCCGCCGTGGGCAACCGGACCTGCTCTGATTTTGGTAAGTTGTGAAACAGACATGGGTCTGGACTTGACTAATGTTTTCTAGGTGGGATGTATGATGGCCCGTCAGATCACTGAAATCAACTGGCGTTACATCGGCGACACACTCCCCTCATTCGTCGTCATCGCCTTCGTCCCATTCTCATACAGCGTGGCTTACGGTATCATCGCGTAAGTTACCCTTTACTTCAAACCATTCCCCAACTAATGTCCCCTTAGCGGCATGTTTCTCTACACAGCTCTAAATCTCATGATTTCTCTCACCGTCCGCATCTCGGGCGGTAGAATTGAGCCAGATAACTACGACATGAAAGAATACTGGACCTGGAAAGCGCCCGGAAGGAAGCCCTGGTTTGTACGAGCTTTTAGAAACGCTGCCTACTCAGCAAAGGATATGCATAAGTCTAGTCCTCAAACTTTTGATGCCCATGGTGGCTTGGACTGTGAGATGTTGAGGGTTGCGTCGTCGGATGAGAGGAAGGATGATGCGCGCGTGTCGGTTTCTGTACCTGCGCCTGCGCTTTCTAGATGCTCTCGTTGAGTAACTCATGGTTTCTCGACTACCTGGCTGTCTTTCAATCACGCGGCTGGGGCACATTATTTAATTCTTGTACATGCTTATTATTACTGGACCGGAGATTGATCAATCATTTGTTACCTACTAAAGATGTGTTTATTGAACAAGTAGATGAATGATGGCTGTTCTCTGGGATGCCTTGAGGCAACCGCAAATCACTGGGAACCTTGATGAGGCCTCTTGCACGACTTTGGCTTCCAACCTTCAGGTTTCAAGACCTGTCCAGCCGGATCAAATCCTGGCGCGACTATCACACGTTAGTTCATCTCTCCACTCACTCAATATCATCTCATTACTTACCAGTTGTCCCAACAAGAGTCCAGTCACCCAAACTCCGGGCACTCTGCCACTCCTCCGCCGCAACAACAACCTGAGGTCTCTGTCCACCGAAGAGATCATTCCCCATTACATGATCCCTCGTACAAGAGCCATCATTCTTCGACAACGACAGAACAAGAGGTGCACCAGCATAATAGTGCCAGACTTCCGCGGCGTCGAGTTTATGCCAGAGAGATTGTCCCGCGGAGCCTTCGAGCAGATAGTAAATAGCTGTGCTGATGGATCGATTGGTTCCTGGGACGGTAGTCGGATCTACGAAAGTTTGGACGAAGTAACCCTTTTCGGTGTTTGGCTCGAGTTTGAGAAGGTCGACGACTTGTTCTGCTGAACAGTCTGTGATGGGTTTATGTTTGGTGCGGCGGTCAAGAGATTCGGGGAGGTGGAGGGCTAGGGTGAGGGGGAGCCATGACAGAGCTAAAGCAAAACGCATGGTTGATGAATTAAGTTGAACGAGTTATCTATATAAGAGTGAGAGGATGCTGTCGAGTCAACGGTCCAGCCATTTCAGGCGGACATCCTCCATCCTTTTGTACCTCATCTCTCAAGCCGTGCTTACTCCCGGCAGTTTCGGATCGACAATGATGCGGGGTGGCTGGAGGTGTCAGATTCACCGCTTGCAAGCAGTAAAGCGTGAATTACCAATCTCACTCATGACGTACAGTCTTGCACATCCTCATTTCACGGCTGAATCAGTCATGAAGGAGCAAAATCCTTCCGTTATACGCTCACGTATCTCACACTGACACCGCTGGAGCTACCAATGGGATGTCACTGAGCGTATAGAGCGGGTACCGCCGCGTGCCGGGGTCTGGACCCTTAAATGTCTCAATCGGGAAGCCCCGATATTGGAGGAGTTATCAGATAAGAAAGTCTACTTGAACGACGAGTATTCCTCTCAACTCAAGCAGACTTCGACTTTCTTGTTATACGCAAAATGGCAGCCAAAAAACCTCAAGAGATTCTTGCTGCACTTCTCCAAACGGTCGAGGGCGCCATCGTCCCCTTGACGAGTGATGGCGTCCGCTCAGGCAGCAAAGTTTTCGGCGCAGCAATCCTCTCATCTCGAACCCTCGAACCTCTGACCGTCTCAACGAACAACGAGCGCGCCTCACCCCTTCTACACGGGGAAATAAACTGCATCCAAACATTCTACACACAAACATATCCCGATCCCAAATCTCGACCTAATCCCCGTGAAGACTGTGTCTTTTTCGCAACGCATGAGCCTTGCAGTCTATGCTTGAGCGGAATTACATGGTCTGGTTTCAAAGAACTGTACTATCTGTTTACATACGAGGATAGTCGTGATCAGTTCGCTATTCCGTATGATATCGAGATTTTGGAAGAGGTTTTCCGGGTGAGGGCTGAGGGGGAGAGTGATGAGGCTGTTGCGAGGAGAGCGTTGTATAACAAGAGGAATAAGTTCTTTACTGCGAAGAGTGTTGAGGATCTTGTTAAAGAGATTGAGAATGGGGATGAGAGGAAGCAGTGGAGTGAAGAGGTTGGCAGAGTGAAGGCGTTGTATTCTGCGTTGAGCGATGAGTATCAAAAGAATAAGCAAAGTGGGATAGAAACATCAAGTACTTGGAAATAATTAATGGACTTGGTGGACTTGGAATGAGCGTTGGGTTCTTTATGCCTTGGCACTGTTGAGGTACCTACAGAAGACCGCTGGAGTGACCAGTATTCTATCGCGCTAGCCTAAGTACAGCTCTCAAAGAGAGTTGAATACAACGAATATATGCGTATCAAAATAAACCATCAAAACCATCACTATTAAAAAAAGGAACTAGTAAATTACAGCATGAACAAAAGAGAACGCTTGGTGACGGTGCATCTCACAAGCGATCTCAGCTGAACCGCAAGCCTCACGGGCTAAAAATAACTACCGCGTTTGCCACGCTTTGCCATCTCCAGACCGCGATAAGATAACCACTCCAAAGAAAAATCGACTTTCCCATCGGAAAAACGATCCCATACAAATCTCAAAAGACGGATCAATCTCTCCCTAAAAATTGATGCTTGAACAAAACCCCGATCGAAAAATCGGAGCCCGAGATCTGGATCGGGCCGCTAGCATCTTAGCGTCGGCCTAAAAGCCTGGAAGAAGGGTTATTCCCCGCAACACCGCTACATCATTTGTTCATCACGTACGACCTGACAATTCATGCTGCATTATCGCGAGAAGCGCCTTGCCGTAGACTAGCCATATTAGATGATCCTTTAAAAGCAGAATTTCGATAATGTTCATGCACGATAACGGTGTAGACTGTAAAAAGAACGAACGATGTGAGGTTATCACGACGTGTATGGATATCAGGAGAAAGTTAAATTGACTTACAGTAGGTTTCATGAAGATCATCTTGGCTAGTCTCAACGTCATGGCTTAATATTGCCTTGGCAAACCCACAAAATAATACCGCAGTGAATACAAACTTTGCTTCGTCAACATTCGTTTGTTGACGATGGAGTCCGACATCGCACATGATCTCGACAAACTCAACATTAGCGATATTCTCAACGCAGACTCACGACCTACGTTTATCATTGATCTTGATCCTGATGATGAGACACCACTGCGCTCAAAGGCTATTCAGCCTGTGTTTTGCAACAGTGGGCTTGCGACGCATGAACGACTCTTAGATGCCGTGCGCGGTGAGCAGAGCGAGAGTGAGTATGGGGAGTTCAAGACTTGGGCTACAGGGATTACAAAGCAGGATGATTCGAAGGATGTGTTTCCCTTGTTCTTTCTGTACAAGGGCTTGCTTTGGACGGGGTCGACTGTTGCGAAGAGATGGAGGTTGATTAGTGGGAATCGACTTTGGCAGCACCCCGATACGCCGGCGAGTTTATCATCGGCTGCGCTCTCGAGAGCAAGTACGCCGGGCCTCAAGGATCAGAATACGCCAAAGGCAGAGGTTTCGAAATCGCCAAAGCAAGACGAGGCGAAGGAGGCCCAGCAAACTCCGAGTGAAGATACAACGCAGGAAATGACGCCCACGGAAGCAACATTGATAGCGTCTACGCCCCGGAAATTCCCATTCAGATCTTGGTGGCGAGGCAGTACCTCAAAGGGAAGTTCGGATCGTAACACGGGCAGTTCGAGCAGCGGCTCCATCATACTAGGTAAACCCGAAAAGGCCGTCGCAGACTGGACGGTCACGAACCCCAAAGGTCTCTTATCACCCTATATCCGCCTCCTCCGCGCCATAGACTGGTCCTCAACACCCCTAGGCCCGATGTCCTCCTGGTCCCCCGAACTACGCCAAGTAGCCAATCTCGTGATCAACAACCCCCACCCCGCGAATATCTTCTGGGGAAGCGATATGACGATGCTCTACAACGAAGCTTACGCACTTCGCTTCGCGGGGAACAAGCATCCGTCTATGCTAGGGACTGGAGCGTCGGGGCCTTGGTCGGAGGTTTGGGAAGTTCTTGGGTCAGCGCTGCAAGAGGTTGTGCGGACGGGTGTTAGTTTCAGGAGTGATAATGATGATCTGGCATTGTATAGGAGGGGGTTCTTGGAAGAGACGCATATTTGCTGGTCGCTGACGCCGTTGTATGGCGGGACGGAGAGGATTGTTGGGTTTTATAATGCGCCGTTTGAGACGACGGACTTGGTCTTGAGTCAGCGACGTATGGGGACTATTAACAAGGTCAGCGAGTCGTTGAGGAAAGCATCGAGTATCAAGAGTTTCTGGAAGTCAGTTCTTGATGGCCTTGAGGATAACCATCGAGATGTCCCGTTTGCACTTCTGTACTCTGTCGGCGAGGCTGAAGAAGCAGATCATCAATCTAGTTCGTCGGGGAGCACGATATCAAGCAAGTCGTGTTATTTGGAGGGGACGATTGGGATACCGCTTGGACATGCTGCTGCGCCGGAGCAGATCGATCTCAAGAGGAGTTATCAAGGCTTTGTGCCTTCGTTTCGAGAGGCGATGCGGACGAGAGAGCCTACGCTTGTGAGGATTCGGGATGGCACGTTACCTGAGGACTTATTGCATGGGATTCAGTGGCGAGGATTTGGCGAGGCTGGTACGGAGGCGATAATCTTTCCGGTTCGACCTACAAATGGCGAGACGGTTCTGGCGTTCCTCGTGCTGGGCGTCAACCCCCGAAGACCTTATGATGAGGGGTACATTTCCTTCGCAACACTTCTCAACAACCAACTCGCCACTTCACTCGCATCAACCATTCTTTTCGAAGACGAGACCCGACGCGGCCGTGACGCAGCAGAAGCAGCAGCTCTAGAAAAAGAGGAACTCACACAACAACTAAATCTCCAAGCAAGTCGTCTTCGACGAATGACAGAGCTATCGCCTCTGGGTATGTTTCTCACCAGTCCAGAGGGTATTCTCCGCGAAGCAAATGATCGCTTCTACGAAATGACGGGTCATAGTCGAGATACGCAGGGTGATGTGTCCTGGGCTGATCTCATGAAGAACTCGGGCAGTGTAATGGAAGAAGGATGGCATCGACTAACGCAGGATATGCTACCTTGGTCAGGAGAAGTTAAACTCCGAGAAAGCTTTGAAAACTCCGTTAACATCCACGGTGAATCCATCGACTTCTGGGTTCTCGTCACAGCCCATCCTGAAATCACCGCCGGCGGAACTTTGCGGTCCATCATGGGTTCAATAACGGATATATCTCATCTCAAATGGGCACAAGGTTTACAGAACCGAAGATTGCAAGAAGCAGAAGAAACGCGACGCCAACAGAACGAATTCATCGACATAACATCCCACGAGATGCGCAACCCCCTGAGTGCAATTCTCCAATGCGCAGATGACATCACCTCAGCGATGCAAGCATGTCGCACCAACGGAATCGCAGCTTCACGAGAAGTCATCGAGTCATGCCTCGATGCATCGCAAACGATAGCGCTTTGCGTTCAGCACCAAAAGTCAATCGTAGACGATATCCTCACGGTTTCAAAACTCGATTCTAATCTTTTGCTCATCACGCCTGTGGTCTGTCAACCACAAGCTATCGTTGAGCGAGTGGTCAAGATGTTTGAGTCAGAGATGCTAGCAAAGGATATAACGCTTGAGATTGATATCAGTTCTGAGTTTGAGGAGCTAGCTGTTGATTGGGTTGCCATGGATCCGAGTCGCGTTCTCCAGATCCTTATTAATCTCATGACCAACGCTATCAAATTTACTGCGTCTTCGACAACACGGGTGATTAAGGTCGCGGTGGGAGTGTCCAAAGAGCCTCCAAAGATCGACAACATTCCTGGCTTTGCGTTTGCGCCTACCAGAGGTGAAATTGGGAGTGTCGTTGGATCTGATGAATGGGGTTCTGGAGAAGGTCTATACGTAAGGTATCGAGTACAGGATACAGGCTGTGGATTGACGGATGATGAGAGAAAGTTGCTGTTTCAAAGATTCAAGCAGGCTAGTCCACGAACGCACTACAAATATGGCGGTAGTGGTCTTGGACTGTTTATATCGAAACGGCTGGCAGAGCTACATGGCGGTCGAATCGGCGTTGCGTCAACGGCCGGCAAAGGCAGCGACTTTGGTTTCTACATCCAAGCTCGACGATGTTTACCTCCCAACGAGCAAGACTCCCCCCAACCAATCCTCTCCGAAATACCCTCTACCAAAAAGACAGTCCAGCTCCTATCCCCCAACCCCTCCGCCCGAACCCGTCGCGAGAGCATCCTCGCCGCCGTCTTCACGCCCAACTCCCTAACAATCCACATCGTCGAAGACAACCTCATCAACCAAAAAGTGCTAGTAAACCAGCTGCGCAAAGCAGGCTGCACAGTAAGCGCCACGAACGACGGGCTTGAAGCTCTAGAATTCTTAAAAAAGACACATTTCTTCAAAGCTGGGGGATCAGACTTGTCGGTTATCCTGATGGACTTGGAGATGCCGAACATGGATGGGTATCAGTGTGTTAGAGAGATTAGGAGGTTGGAGAGGGAGGGGACGATTGCGGAGCATGTTCCTGTCATTGCGGTCACGGCGAATGTGAGGGATGAGCAGATTCGGATGGCGCTGGATAGTGGTATGGATGATCTTGTTTCGAAGCCGTTTAGGATTCCGGAGGTTATGAGTAAGATTGAGGGGTTGTTGAAGAAATACAATAGGTAATTGGGTTGGAGTATGGGTTCTTCAGGGTTAGATTTATTGTTAAGCATTAGGCGTCATTATAGTGTAATTCACATTCGACTGGTCCATCAGCATTTAATCTTGCAGACTGGGTAGGAGTATACTTGATAGGCGAAAGTATCATCGGCTCACAAACCGTTTCGGATGAAAGGACACCGCGGGTTATGAAGAGTGAGGCGTGATGGGGTGATCCCTGAATGCCCTCATACGGTTGGGCCTCAAGATCGGCGCTGCAGTCTTGCAGGTCCCCCACGTCCCTGGTCACGCAAGCTCTTATCGTACACAATCGAATGAGTGCAAAATACATGGAAAATGTGATGCTATTGAAATCTACAATCTGCTACGCTCAAAACACGCTATGCTAATGCTCCCTAATAAACACTCCGTCTATCCACACTCCTCCTATCAACACTCATCGCCCTCACACTCCTCCCCCCACTCCTCCCCGAAACCACACTCCGCCCCGGCGAACTTCTCCTATCAGACCCAACACTCTTGGCCGGCATGATCCTCTTGTTCAAATCAACAGGCCTAACCTTGTCAAGATCAAGCGATCTAACCTCAAAGTCCGGCTCCCTCTCCATCTCCGCAACTGTATGTTCTCTCCCAATATGGTTGACGAGCGTATCAGCGGTCGGACACAAAACATCGCCATCGCGGAAGCGAGAGCAGAGAACACATGCGAATTCTCCTTCTGGCGTGTGACACTTGATGACGAAGCGTGGACTTATGTGGAATTCGAGCTCTTCGTCGATTTCGCGCTTGTAGCCTCCTTGTTCTGTAATGACGCGCGTGGCTGTTTTTCCAATTGCCCATGCATCGTCTGCCTCAACGTCGAGAAAGACATCGCATGCTGGGCAGAGACAATCACCCCTCGGTGCAAACGTCGATGCGAGGGGTCGTTCGGGGATGTATTGTAGATCGAGAGCGTAGCGACAGTAAAGAGGATCGTCCTTAATAACAGTTGATGCCCGTTTCGGCGGCGGCAACGCTTTCGGCAGCGCAGGTTCTTCCAGATCCATAAGTCTCTCCCTTTGCTGTCTCAACGCCCCCAAAGATCCCTCCCTCGCCGCATCACTCGCCGCTATCAACCGCGCCATATCAGCCCTATCAAGCTGTCGTCCATTGTAAACCGCATCCTGCAGGACATTGATGACAGTCTGCTGCAGCGCAATAACCTGCGCCTGTAATTTATTCTCAGTGATGACATCTCCGATCGCAAAGCGCTGCCCGTAGCGTTGGTAGCCATCTTCGAATTCGCGGTTGATCAAGGCGCCGGAGCGCTGGAAGGAAGCTTCGACTTCATCGCGGGCGCGGGAGTTTTGCTCGACTTGGGCTTTGAGCTTTTTTATCTCCTCGTCTTGTGTCGTGTCGCGCTTGGCTTGCTTGCGCTTTTCTTTGACGCGGTCCCAGAGACCCATTGATGATGTGAATGTTCCGACGAGGGTGCTGCATAGTGTAGCTATGATGAATGTTTTCTGTATAGTGGCACGCATTAATAAACTGCAAGTCAGTAGAAGAAGGGGGAATAGTTTACCTTGAGGTTTTTCTCCTCAATCATATTGGCGTAATTCATCTTGCCGATGTTGTTTTGCGTAAGTTCTTTGTCTCAGAAGATAATCCTTTTTACCAGTACATAAGATCAGTGCGTAGGTTTGATGCCCAACGACCCGAGACAAAAGAAGAAAAGTCGCAGATCATCGGCGTATATATGTCTCACCCCCGATCCAGGGTCTTCAAGGTTGCACAATGATGGCATTTCCGTCTCAATGGGTTGCACACCGCTTAATACGTGGTCATGAGCGTTATCCCGCGTTTTCTCTGTCATAATACATATTTCCCGCAGCCAGTGACGTCAGTTGCATCGAGATGTGCCAAGTTTTCTGAATCCTTCGCTGATTGGTGGATCTAAATAATGACGATGCTTGTTTCCGACAGTTTATTGCACTTTATCCACCCTCACTTTGTCTCGTTTTGTCTTTGACAGTTTAATTTTAGTGTTTTGTTTAAAGCCAAGATTACTTTAATATTAATCTGGAAATGGTGAGCGTGAGCTCATTTATCCTGTGAGAGTTGGTGTCACGGAACTGACGTCACTCCGATGGACATGGCTCGGCGTTTCGGAAAACCAACGGTCATGTCTGCTGACTTTCTGTGCAAGGTACATGTATTAAATCGCTATCATAAAATAATGCCCAAGAGGATGTTTATGGTACCGTGCTTTGCTAAAATGGGGTGTCAACTCAAGAAGCATACAAAATCTCTCTTTCTGATCAGCTTTATGAATTCATATGTGATGATAATGAGATATTGTTTAAACAAACTTTTCTGTTGGCCACGGGTTAATGCTATACGCAGTTACGAGTTAAAATGCTAGAGCTTGATCTACTACCCTGCGGTGAGATGACTGACCCGGAAGATCAATAACCCGCCCTGATGAGGATGAGGATGCCTGTTAAATGCTGACGATACTCACTTCCTCACCGTCACGGTCTCGCCTGTTCTTCACGCTGCCTATTCATCCAATAATTCAATCCATCGGTAGCTCATCCTATTGACGCAGTGAGATCAGAATGAATCAGCAGCGGCTGATGACTGAGTTCCTTCACCCAAGCTCTACTGCCAAACAAGACCCTTCACCCCAATCCGGAAGCAAAGAGAGAAACCTACCGCCACGAAAATGCAAAGTCGCATCGCGTCACCATATCGAAAGCGGCGCAGCTTCAGCCTCCCCCTTCTTCCTTCTGCCCCCCGAGATCCGTCTCTACATCTATCGCCATCTTCTCATCTCAAAGAACTACGCCGAACTTAACCACTGCTCCAAAAGGTTCCGTCTCATCCCCAAAGAACCATGCGATTGCCCTCTCGAGATTCACCCCAAGATTCTACAGACTTGTCGGGTGGTGAATAAAGAAGCTACGCCCATCTTGTACTCGGAAAACGTTTTTCGGAGAGGCTATTGTTGGCCGCGCCACTATGTTGTTGGTCGAGGACGCAGGATGTGGCCGATTTGTGATACGTCGCCTCTGAGCAAGGTTAATCTCGCCTATATCTCAAGATTACACCTCTTTCGAGATTACGATCACTGGTTCCGTGATGGGGAGCTCAAGATCTTTAATGACGTTCCGCATCTGAGACATCTCGACATTCACATTGATCAAAATGATTGGGCCGACGAGGTCAACATGAGCGCGCTTCCATACCAAACCCTGAAAGCTATCCGCTCAAATCTTCGGTCGTTCAAAATGGAAATCCGTCTCGATTTCCGCGAAAAAGCACATACAGACTGGTTAGCCAAATGCAACCGCAAGACGGAGAACTTCAGTCTTCATTTAGACAAGAAACGTGCGCTGGAGACATGGTTGGAACACGAGGGGTTGTTTACTGACAAGTCACTTTTCTGGCGTTTCAAAGCGCAGCGCTCAGAGTGGTGCGGGCCGTCGTGTTACATCAGTTTTGCTTTTGATGACAAGCGCAAGGAGCATGAGTCTATCGATTTGCAGGTCTGGGATGATAGTGAAGGCAAGTTTGGGAGTCTGAAGACCTCTGAGGAGAATGCGAGTTCATTGGTTTTAAGGGAACAAGCAAAGAACTAAGACACTTTTCTAATGAAACATCGTCGACCGTCCCAAGACTTGAAATAGCGTCGACGCCACTGTCAGCTCCCGTCGTCCCCGGTGTCATAGCGTAGTAGGGTACCTGGGCGATCACTCGCCTGTTTTGGTTTGGTGCAGTATGATTTGACTTCCCGCTGGAATGATGGGCGCTAAATTCATTCCTCAGCTAGAGAGAGGACCAAGGGGATGCAATAAAGCCTAGGACCTCCATGCTAGGTGGCAAGAAGCCTTAGGTAAACTTAGCATAATTTAGTATAGATTTAGAGGATCTTAGACTAAATATTTTTAGCACCGTGATTTAAATATGCAGATCTGGTGGAGGCCAGTCTCGTGTTTTCTGCCTGGTGAGACGGGATCGATCTGGTCCAGAATGAGGGTACTAGACTCGGAACGTAGTTAGACTCATCTTAGCCATGTCTCTGTTAAGAACACCTTGGGGTCCGGAGGGGGGTTGTTTCCGTTTTGTTCCTGTCCTCTTGTCTTGCAGAGCCTCAGAATGATTGTCTCGAGGGTTTTGTTTCTTTTCTGTTTGGCAGTGTTGGCGACGGCCTTTTCGCCGTCAGATGTACCATCATGCGCAGTAAGTACAGTAAGCAGATTCTTTTATTGCTTGTGAGACTGACGGGTGCAGATACCTTGTATCCTCGAGACGATAGACTCGACAGGCGAATCGAATGCGAATATCAGGTCTATGTGCGATAACCCGGCTTTCCAGACCAGTGTGTTGAACTGCGTCACCGGAGTATGCACTGCGCAAGATCTACAAGGTACATTTAGTAGACAATGATTGCATATTGGTAACCAACATCTTGTAGGCTTTATTGTTATGGGAAAGGAGCTATGTCAGATGCCGATGCAGGATAATCGACAAGAGTACCGAGCCATCGTCATTGTCTTCGCCACGCTGGCGTCTATCTTTGTTGTGCTGAGAGTAGCATGCAAAATGATCACCAAAAACACATGGGGCGCTGACGATACCTGGGCAGTCGTCACTTTTGTATGGTGGCTCTCGGTTTGGCGATAACCCTGCTGACGACGGACAGTTCATTCTCATACCATTTACGGTGTTCGCACTACTCGGTAAGACTAAGACCTTTTCATGCTGTATGTAATCCAGCTAATGATGTGCAGCAATAAGTCACGGCGTTGGACTCGCTCCGCCGATGTTCACCAAGAATGACCTGGCTCGTACCCCAAAGGTACTTGAACAAGCTCGCATTAAGATGATTGCTGACTGCTGATGTAGGAGATCTTCATCCTTCACCTTATCTATACCTGCGGTCTCGCAGCTGCCAAGACGTCGATTCTCTTCTTCTATCTGCGCGTATTCCAAGACACTACATTCAGAACCCTCGTTTGGATAACACACGCCTTCAACGCCTTGTCTACTGTCACCTTGGCCACTCTTGGCCTGACGCTTGGGCGGTCCGCGACTTATCTTCTGGGCAATACTTCAGATTCCGTGTCCAATCTGGACAAATGGTCGATTACTATCAAGATTATCGTGGCGCACTGTGTGGTCAACCTAGCGCTTGACATCTGGATGCTTATTCTGCCAATGACCCAGCTTTACAACATAGGACTGAAGCTCAAAAAGAAGATACACGTGATGGCTATGTTTGGCCTGGGTTTGTTGTAAGTCTATTGCCATGTTCTGATCATTTGCTTCCGCGCATGTCTGACAAATGACAGCCTTACAGTAGTCAGCCTGGTCCGCACGATACTTCAGACACAGGTCCTCTCTGACTTACAAGACGCGCGTAAGTCCATCTTGGCAGGTAACCTATTATCCATTGACCAACATTTACAGTAACGAGCCAACAGAAAGTGGTTCTTTGGGCGTGTGTCGAGACATACATGGGCGCCATAGTAGCTTGCGTACCTTCAACACGGCAAGTTGTTCGGGAAGTGATTTATAAGATGAGGAAGCAGAAAGAAGCGCAGTCAACAAATAAACCTATTTTCATCGACAGGTCGCTGGCGCCGATACCGGATGAAGAGGACATGCCGACGTTGAGTGACGTTGGCGGGTTGACGACTGATACAGTGAGTAGTAGTGGAAGGACGGCAGGGTCGGGGATGGAGCATGAGATGGAGACTGTTATGAAGGTAGATGGATGAGGATGAGCATTGCATAAGAAGAGCGAATCGTTGTCCTGGGCATTATTTTATTATAGCGATTTAATACCATGTATATAATCTTGCACAAAAGGTCAGCAGACACGAATGATCATACAAAAGGCTAAAATTAAAACTGTCAAAGACAAAACGAGACAAAGCGAGGCTGCACAGGTCTATAAAGAGTACCAGACCCTCCAGAATCAGGATAATACCACCGATAATATCAGGCTTAGATATATTTCGTATGGGTTTCTTTGCATATAATGGAGGGAGCTTTAATGGGAGAGATATAGAATATTCCGAGATATACAGATTTCTGTACATATTCAATCCTATCTTTTATGAGGTTTTAGTAAACTTCCTGCAGCTCAATGTAGATATATAGTTGAGGACTATTGGAGTTGGGACTCGTAGGGTTTATCTGCGCAAGCTCAGCGTTCAATTTTACCGCGGATGCAAGATGAAGCTGAAAGTTTAATCAAGGATATCGAAGACACAGGAGACATTAGGTTCTGTGTGGCAATTATAAGCTTTTAGCCAAAGGTCTCAACTGCAAATATCGCATTTAGTTAACAACTTTGACATGGGAACACGCAACTGTACGATATTTCATTTTATGAGAATCTGATTAGAGCTGGACAGCATTAGGTCCAATTCCTATGAGTGTCTGTTCACACCAGAGGGCACACCAAGTGCAGTGGCTATTGGAAAAAGAAGGTCTAGGGATAGCATGTTTGGTTCAGTCGGCCACTCCGCAGCATCTTGGAACACTTGATATTCCAGTGTGAATGGTAAGCTCAGCGCAGAGTATCTGTCCCGCGGAGGAACTTGGTGATACCCTCCGTAACGTCGAAGTGAAGTCCTTTTTAGTATTTCCACCATCAAAAGCCAGCGATTTCCGCTGCCCGTGCCGCATGACGGATCATCGCACCAGAGCACACTTTTGGTGTTGTCGTTGAAGATTGGGTGCTCGACTGTATCAAACGTGAGATTGGAAAGCCACCCAAAGCTATCTGGACCGGTGTTCCTTGAGAGCATCACAAGCCTAAGAGCAATGTAATCACCTTCGTAGAACCAAAAGTAACGTGCTCCGCAATGGCGGCAATTGTAACCGTGGTTTGGACACCGCGCCTTTGGGCCGTATGGGGCCTCGCGTTTGTGAACGGGTGTCCCAGAGGCGGGGAAGCAATTGCATTCGTCTGATATCATACACGACACGATGGAATCGATCTGTGTTGACGCATGTTGACAGAACCCTTCAACGCCCTTTTCCTTCAGTTGCTTCAGAAGATACGCCTGCAGTGCTGGCATTCCTGGGAATCGTCGTTGATTGATCTTGACCATTGGGAAAGATCTAAAGTAGTCAATCGCGTGTATGCCTTCTAGGCATGAAGTGCGGATGCTTGGGTGACATCTCGTGACGGCTGATGATTGCTCAGCATCTTTGCTACTCGCAAAGTAGTGCTCGGGATCTGTGCAGTGAATATCCATCTCGTCCTTGCATTTCGGTTGCAGCTTAGCCGACACTTTGACATGCTTGCAAAGTGCAAAGTGGCCCAGCAATCCCACACAGATATTGCCTTTTTCCTTGCCTTGGGGGAAAAGAAGTTCTGGGTGGTTTTGATTACATCCAGCGCAACGGATAGGTTGCCAAAGTCTCTGTAGTCGGGTTTCCAGTTCACCCGAGGAGAAGAGATTGCCACAGGGTTCGCACAGTGATCTTCGCAGGAATATTCGCTTGATGAGCCGAAGCTGGTCGCATGTACTTGGAGTGATGCGCCAAGTCTCTTCTTCAAGGAACAGAATGTGCCGCTGAAAATCTTCAAACTCAATATCGTTTGTCAATTCACGCAGCGTCTGGCAGGTTTGGCGGACCATGTAGAGAGCGCTAAGCGGCAGAAATAGCATGACATGGATCAGTAGCTCTGGCGGGAGTTGCAGTAGTCTAGACCCTAGGTTTTGTTGACATCCCAGCTTCAGGGGCTCGAGAGGCGCTGGAAGGTCTGCATTCTCTGGCACAAGCGTATCCAGGTGGAACATTTCTCCATTATCGGCTTCCAGACGAGGGATCTGATATGTTCCCTGCCTGAGTCGGAATCGGTCAAGAATGCGTTGGGTCCAGGATGATGAATACTGTGGATCTAATTTGAAGTGAGGCATGGCGGCGATGTTTATGGATAGCCTAGGATAAGTTGAAGTGAGTTGAAGTAAAGAAGAAATAGCTAGGAGAGATAAAAGGCAGAGTGAACATGTTTTATAGTATTGCCATCTTCATCATGCTGTTACCTGGTTTGCAAATCAGAAACTTTAAGAATAGAGAGACCTATCAAAAACAATCATATGATATCAGAGTTTCCTTGCGGGATAAATGAAAGTTTATTTCAAGATCATCAAGCGACTCAAGTCTGAAGGTTTCCTCATAACGCGTTTTCTTGAACTTTGTCTAAGCTCAGCGAGGTACCAACTCCATAACCTTTATAAACGCAGGAGCACTTTGCAGTCAGGAAGATTCCCAATACCCAGCAAGATACAATAATTGAGGAAAGCATAGTTGTTTTATACCAAAAAAGGAGAAGGGAATTTATGTGAGATAAAAGTCATTAACTAGCAAGAAATTCAGAAGCAAGAATAGCGCTTCTTTGCTCACCATCCTATGCTCTCTTCTAAACTTTAACTATCTTAGGTACCATCCATAAAAGTATGGAAAGCCGCAGCCCTGAGGTCCTAAAACTTATGGTAATGTGATCAAATCTTTGATTAGAATTTATAAACTTAGGTATGCTTGTTCAAAAAGATGTATAAATTGCCATTCTCAAGCACCATCAACCTTTTGGTCAACCCATGGAAACAGACTCCCCCCAATCAATCAGACCCCAGATGGTCGATTTCTACTTGACATCAGGTCCTGTTTGACATCGCGAATGTACTCAGATTCGTAGCATCTTCCTTGCCCCATTTCACCGGAACACCTGACAGTCTTCTCAGCCAAATGACAAATTGGGCGGCGATGATCAAGCCCTTAACCCTGGCATTGACAGATACCCCCTATGTGGTGCCACACTTCGACTTTTCCTCCAACCTCCAGGAAACCAAACCTCTTTGTCTCTCTGTAACTGATCCACCCTATCAGTCCCCCCCCCCCCCAACCACCTGCCCATCATAGTTCTGAGGCACTAGGTCCATCTACATCAAATAGTCAGTTAATCAGTAATGTTAGTATCTTTCCATCGCCTTTGGCGATTCTCTCCCTTCATCATGCCCAGGCCTTCGGATACATTTAAACCCGGTTTGGTAAGGGTAATTATCTCGACCAAGATGGCCGTCATGCTAGCCATGGTTCCGAGCGCGTTTCCTATGGCTCTTGGTGGTAGTAGTAGTAGTGGTGGTGGTGGTGTTCGTGCTGCTGTGGACATGTGCCAGTCTGGTCGAGAATTTGACCGCTTGAAGCTATTGTGTGGGTAGTTGGTATGCTGCCTGATGTGTTTTCTGAGATTGTTATATTGAGTTCATAGACCTAACAGCTGACACTTGCATCGCGCGATTTACCTGGAATATTTGACCGCAAATCCGTCACCGCCTCGAATGTTTCAAGAAATGCAGAGAAGGCACAGAGGTTGCTGATGCTAGTTCTGGCGCTATTAGGATTGCCTTTTGTGACGGAGGCGATGGCGGCGATGGTGGTAATGGTGATAGCAAACCTTGTTCTCCTTCTCTTTCGGGAGGGCTGTTATCTACTCCAAGCTCTTTCGCCTGCCACGGAAGCTCCAAGAGGCGCCTCGGTGGTGAGGTAGGGGTGTGCCTCCTTGTGTTGGTTGAGCTGATGGGCGAGGTCGGTGTGCTTGAGAGTACTGAGCCGGATAATGAGGTCATGCGGGCACCTCTGCTCAAGTTGAGCCAATCGCACCGACGGAGTGGTGTTGCGAATTCTTGCGCCAACAAGGCTGGTCTCGCGAAGATGCTGTCTGACCTCTGTCCCCAGGCCCTGAATCTCCTTTCGAGCCGCCGCCACTTCTTCAATCGCCGGACGCCATTGATGATGGAAGATTGAGGTTTGTAGGTGAGAGAGAGGTGAAGTTGTTGGTGCGTTGAAGCTTGGATGATAGAATACAAGGCCAGGATGTTTAAGTTGAGATGAAAGGATCTTTAATCACCAGGTGCCGCTCCTCAGTCAAATCCTCCTCCGCAGCCAATTTCATCCGCCCCCCAAACCACGCTCGTGGGGTGGAGTCCCAATCCAAAATGCATATACGATTCTTCTTCTTCCTCCCAGCCTTGGAGACATCGACCATTTCCCCTTATGGTAACAAGTTCACAGGGTGTGCCACGCCGTGAAATATTCGACCACGTCGGTCACCGCCTTGAACGACTCGAAAAACGACAAAGCAGGCCTGGCTGAGCTGGTCCTGTTAATGATACCACTACTGCTGCGAGACCTGAAAAAGGGATTAGTGATAACCGCCGAATTGATGGAGAAGTCAAAAAGCTTACCGTATATTGATTCGACGTTGCGTTGGTCCCGATGCGGTTACCGGCCTGACACCCTAGCGGCGACTAACATGGTGAGGCCCGGCGGCGAGAGCCCTATACTGTAGGGAAGAGGGAGCGAGAAGAAAAGAAAAGTATGCGAGGTTTGTCCCGTCTACATCATAGTGGGAAAGCTTTGTAAGCATGATAGTAGCGGATGACACTTGTAGCTTGTCTGAGCAATCTCGCGAAGGAGTGGAGTATGAAGCATTGCCGAAAGGAGTTGTACCGAGGTCGGTCGCTGTAAGGTGACTATCCCGCCAGTATCTCCCGAGCTGGAGATGCAGGTTCTTCCCCAGTGTCAATTGTAACGTGTGGCATCCCGGGGACTGGTGGTAGATACTTTGGCGATGGAAGCTTTCTCGGCGATCGAGACTTCGTGAGGGACGTCGGCTCAGAGATCATTTGTGAGTGGTATCCAAATCCTGCGCGTCATCTCTGTTGATATTCGTCAGTACTGATGGGGGATATATGTCGTCGACATACTTGGGCTTGATCGACTTTGAAGTTGTAGTCGGAAGTCGGGAGTTTTGAGTGTACGGAGGCAGCTGGTTGCTACCGTAGGAGCTTGGTATGTCATACATCGGGCAGATCATTAACCTTTGACGTTGGAGATGATGGTTCCTGGTAGCCGAGGACTTCTGATAAATTCGCCCAAAGACTGCCAAAAACGAAGAGCTATTGGCTTCCAAGCATGAAAAGGAATGCCGATAAGCCACAGGTGATCCATGGGCAGCAATATATCCGTCCATTCGACGAAAGCAGCAGAAACCCAGCAACCTCAACAAGAAGACACCTGAGTCCACGCCACCCAAGGATGGTCAAGCTGCTCGAAGCTTTCTGAGTGGAGTCGTTGCCCTTTGCCCCATCACAAAAGACGAAAATCAGCAAATACCGCCACCGCAGGAAGATAGCGCCAGTGCAAGCAACGAGTGATGAGGTAACTGGCCGAGGAAGTAGGCCGAGGGGCGTCGCTGCTGAGATAGGCAACGAATATGAGAGCAGATGATTTGGTTGGAGAATGCGATGGTCGCACGGGACGCAAGTTTGTATTGATTGACATGGTTCCAATCCTTTCCCAAGAAGGTCTTCGCGGAAGAGTGGTTTTGTGGATTTCTGTGCAGATAGGGGCGCCTCGGAAGGCATTCCCAGTTGCCGTAGCTCGTCGAAAATTCGCTTATAATTGAAGCTGAAATGATCGAGTTGCGGAAGTCAAGTTGTGACTCAAGGATTTGAGGCAACGACGAAGTTGGACAGTCTGTGACAGACGTAGAAGATAACGAAAGGAAGGCGTACTCGATAACGACTCCAAGACGTAGATAATGTTTGAGATGTCTGATGAAGAGTATTGAGAAGGGAGGAGTGAAAGTGCAGTGGAGGCATCGTTTTTATACCGATATGTTGTTTAGTATTTGTGTAGGAACAACTCGGTAATGGGGCTGCTTTAGCTTCACCAGCAACTGATAGAGTTGTGCTGGCTACTGGACCCGGACAAGGTGCGCTTGATCGACATGGTCATGGCGAATGATGGAGAGACCAGTGATCGGGGAAAGCGCCTGACCTACAGACCCGCGGACCGGGCTAGTCAGGTCTTATACTGTCGCAAGCGACAGATGCCTGGCTAGTTCGATGCCTCCCTCTCTTCCTTTCGTTACTTCAGGGGTGTTTAACGTGGTTTGCCCCGCCACGGGTTGTTTTTACGTGATTTGTCTCGTTCAACACGCGGTGGTCTCAATCAAAGTCGGGGTGGCCGACGTGGGATCGACGCCGGACTCCGTCGACCCGTCGAGACGGGAGAGGCCCTCCGAACCGGAGATGGAGATCGTTGACGACCTCCCGGAGGGCACTGTTCTCTACCTCGACTGCCGCCACTCGCCCTCTCAATACCTCCATTTCGGCCCTCCACCCCACCGGGCCCATCTCCAAATCCTCGGACTCTGCTTTTGGTCAGTATGCACATTGTCAACGTATAGATCTGAGTTGCTTACCGTCCTTCTTCTTCTCCTTTCCCCTCACCCACCGGACAAAATTCCTCCCCTTCTCCACCAAGGTCGCGGCGTGGGCGGCCATGGTGAGCCCCTTCACCACGGCGTCGATGATGACACCCCAGGCAGACATGGCTGTTGCTGTTGCTGCTGTTGGTGTTGGTGTTGGTGTTGTTGTTGTTGCTGCTGCTGCTGTTGTAAAGGCTGAAGAGGAACAAGTCAAAAATTCCCATCGTGGTGTTTGAGAAGTTCATTGCTGCAGTTTGGTTAAGAACCATTGATCCCACCGACGCTATGGGAAGGAGGCCTCACCCGACACTGGGAAGGAAGGAGGCCATCGCGACCCGTTCTCGATAACCCAATCCAACTCATGATGCATCAAGAAAATTCATTGAACAAAACTTCCTGAATATTTGAGACACCTTAGGATGATCTTAGGTACCCTTGGTCTCAGATTTGATAATTTTGCAAAGATTGGCCAATCTTTGCCTAAACTCTGCCTAAACTCATCATGAGTTTATGCCGCCCTGTCCCAACATTTAGGCTCTAGCAGCGACTACAACTCAATGAACTGACGACCAAATACTCAAAAGCCTGACCGTGCTAGTTAATAGAAAGACGCAACCCTCGTCATAACGCCAGCCTCCCTCTCCTCATCACTCAGACTTTCCGCACTCGCAATAAAAAACGTCTGATCAACCTTCAACTTCGAAGCCTCAACCCAGAATCTCTCCCCTCCCAATTCTTTCGGGAACTTGTCTCCAAAAAACACTGTCACAAGTCAGCAACATCATAAGCTCATCCCAGCAAGAAGCACTTACAAAACGGAACAGTAAAGACTTTGAACTTCTCAAGGTCAAAAACCTGAATCTTCTCCTGTTCTGTCCTCGTCACAGCGAGACCAATCTTATTCGGCTTAGCGCCAGCTTTCAACAATCGTACCAGGATCTCCATGATATTTCGCCAGTGGTCTAAATCGGCTGACTTGTGATACTCTTTCGGAAGATCCCAGAGTTTAATGCGACCTTGTTGGCTCATTAACCCCCAAGCCGCTGTATCGACGATGCTGAAGTTGTTGCAGTCGAGCAGTGTAAGGTCAAGAGACTCTTCTTCCTCTTGGAGCAAGTATCGAACAGCGCCGACGTTGGCTGTCAGAGCGGCTATGTGCAGCGCCGTTCGCCCCTTGAACTCCCCCTCTGTGACTTGAGCGTTAAGATGTTCCGGTTCATACCATTTCTGCACGATCAGTCTCAGCGCTGTGTTGGCCATAGTGCTGCTGGTTTGATATTCGGGAAAATACGCAACTTGGTGAAGAGCTGTGAAGCTTGAGTCAGACATGTTGCATACATTCCAGAAGCAAGAATCCGGAAGACCCAGTTGTAAGACCTGCTCAAGTTGAAGAATCGCGTTGGAGTAAGATTTGCAGCGCCGGAGGAGTAGACCCAGAATAGTCTCGTCTGATGTACTGACTTGTTGAGTAAGATCACACAAACCAGTGTCGTAGAACCAGCGAGCTAGAATGAACTTTCCACTCATGAGGGCTTTGGTGTAATGGAGGTAGAAATCTGTCTTGGGGTCTCTGTGTTTCCGGAATACGTCCAGACACTCAACATTATTTGGCAAGCCCCTGAAAGAACCGTAGTAAAGATGCCATTGCTCTGGTGGTAGGCTGTCTGCCTGCGAATGTCGAAGTAGGACATCGAACGTTATCCAATCTTGTGTAGCGCCTGCGATGAGGACAAACTCCATCCATTTCCGTGGTGTTGGCTTGGGTATCTTTCCAGAGCCGAGGAGGTAGTCGAGGACGAATGGCTGTGCGCATTGAACTGCGAGACGATGGATGTCGTCTGTATCAGCGCCGTAGCCAACCAGTATGTCGAAAGTCTTGGTAAAAGCTTCTTGGTGATGTTTTCCATGTAGAAGAATTCTCCGTCCGATACCCTGGGCGGCATATGTTACGCACCAGGCGATGATCGGATTATCCTGCCCCGAGATATCATTTGATCCAAACTTTCGTCGGTACGTGTTGAGAAAGTCCCTTATCTCCTCTTTAGCTACGTTCCCCAATAGGATCTCAAGCATGTAGTATTGATGGTTCATCGCAGAGAACCAGATGGGTGAGACGTGAGCCATGCCTCCAAAAGTATCAGAGTATGAAATCTCCAAGCCGGGAAGATCAAATGGATTCGCACCAGACGTGACTAAGGCCTGGACGGCGACTCTGTTATTTGCTGCAACGGCCCAAGTGAGGGGTGTTCCATCAACATCTCCGTATGTGGAATCCAGGCCTTGTCGATACCGATGTCCAGACTTAGAACGAGCTTCTAGGTCAGCACCAGCATCGATCAAACGCCGACACACCTCATGCACATCTTCTTCATCAAAGGAGCTGAGAAAATGAAGAGGAGTAGTCCCTTCATTACTAGCGACCGAAGGATCAGCACCGCAGTCCAAAAGATGGAACACAACGTCTCTGTGCCCTGCTCTTGACGCCCATAGAAGAGGTGACTCGTTCCATTCGTTTAGATGGTTGACATTCACAAAGCCATGATCCGTCAGTTGCTTCAAGAGATCAAGGCGGTTAGATATCGCGCATAGGAGTCCTGTTTGTTCTTGATTTGCATCCATACCAATACGATGGCGAATTCGAGTTTCGCGAAATAACTCGTCATCGGAGAGAGTCTCTTGATCCCAGTATTGCGGTGGAGTTTCGATTCCGAGACCAGAGTACCTTGTTCGCAGCAAATCTGTTGCTTGGACGTGTAAATCCAGATCCAAGAATTGGATGCGGCGCTTCGCAGTCTCACTGCCGTGGCAAACACCATCTCGCAGCCAGGCCAGCTCTGTTTCCCTCGACCTCGGGAACTCTCTCTCCAGAGAGTGGTAAAGGTGGCTAACAATCCCGCGAGCGCCTGAGTGACCTCCTTCTGCTGCTTGAAGAAGCAGTGAAAGTGATTCATCAATTGTGCCTTGGCTTTTGGGGTGGAGCTGAACAGTTCGAAGGTAGAACATTGCGTACTGCCATGCTGCTTCTGTACGACGACCTGTTTCTTCCTTGGGATCTTTCGCGACTCTCTTTACTTCTCGCATAACGTTACTGATGATCTCGGGTGGTAAGACTCTTAAAGTTCCCATGGAAGAGTCTGCCTACGCATAGTGTTAGATGTCACAGCACAATTCAACCATCACTTCGCGCACCTCGAGTACCGCTCGTCCCGGTCGAAGGGTTATCGCCTCGTCGGGCTTCGGATCTCTCAGCTTTCGCCTATTCAGGTTAGTAACGCCAGCCATAGCATGACGAACTCCTACCATCGTTTCCAGGTTTCGCCAACATGAGTAGCAGCAACCTTCTCAGGCACTTGGTCCATTCCTGGGACATCTGAAACCGAGCCGCCAAGTTTGATGTGGCTGAGAGACTGATTTAGCCACTCCATCGACCTTCCCAAACGCAGGACTCTCTTGACATCGTCTTCGGTCGGTTCGTCAAGGCCTGCTAGATTAGCCGCCATCCTTTACTCGGAAGTTAAAGAATCTTACCTGGCTGAAGCCATATGTCTTGTTCTTGCGGGTTTAGCTTAGTAGGCCCGTTCTTGAAGTCTTCCGTGTAGAATCCACGAAACTCTTCCCATATGAGATACTGATGCATGACGATCCTCATATTCCCCAGCAGCGATTTACTACTAGATCGCGATTTCGGCTGGACCAATGTCATCATGATAACGGAGGCCATGTCGTCAACGACTTTGTGGATCGAATACATGCTTCTAGAAGCCTCTGATTTCTCTTCAGGACCCAGGATATTCTCCATTCGCATGAGACAATGGTAAACCAGAGCTGGAATCCTCTTCTCTTCATTTCGTTTCATCTGTTCGAAGAACGCATCTCTCGTCAAGCCATCATCTTTTACTGCGTCCAGTGACAGGTGCATCATGTCACCACCGAGTAATCGCCAGAGAACAAGGCCGACAGAGTAAACATCCGCTTTTGTAAGTTGTTCGCCGTCCAGATGATCGCGGCATTCGGGTGCTTGCCAGAATCCTGAGCCGAATGAGAGCTTCATCGGAGATTTGATGTCTGAGCGAAGAAGGGATGAACCAAAGTCAGCGATCTTGGCGACGTACGTCAGTTGGGGATCCTTGAAGATGAGAACGTTTGCTGGTTTGATGTCGCCATGTATGATTCCAACGTCGTGCAAAGCTCGAACGCCTGTGGCAATATCCACGGCGAGACCCAATACCTTGCGATATTCCACAGCTTTCGGATTGTCCAAGTATTTTTCCAGGTCAATTTCGGCAGCCTCGAGTACGAACGAAGGCATCAGAACTCCGTCTTTGACAGTCTTCCAGCAGATACCCAAGAACTGTACAATGTTGGGATGGTTCTTGATAAATTTGTTTCGCAGGATTTGCAACTCCATGGCCATGGAAGACCACATCTTGCGACTCCGAGCACTGTTGAGATCACCATCTGGCCGCGGAATTTTGACTGCGACAAGCTCTGGTAGATTTCTTGCATCTGGCAATATGTCATCGTTGCCATTGAGGAAGCGGGCCTCGAGGAGATCTTTCGACCTTGCGAGACATACTGAGAAATAGCCTCCTTTGTTGGACCGGACTTGAACGTCGATACTGGCATCGTCAATAAGAACGCTAAGTAAAGTCAGAGAAAGATCGAGACGCTGGTGCGTGACGAGAAAGGTAGACATGAATGATAGAAGATCATGATCGCGCTGTTTAGCTTCGCTCGCCATTGTGCAAACTTGAATAACGTCACCACGGTACGGCCCGTTTGAAGCCGTTGGACCAAAGTGGATATGGAATTGGGGACGTCGATATTTTGAAGACCAGAGCTGAGACGCAGCTCAAGACGGCGGTTTCAGCCGCACTTCACTAACTCAGTTAGCTCGTTGCACTCTTCAATATTTGGTGAGCAATATTGATAGTGGCGGCGCTGCCCCTCACGAGGCACACTGAACAGTAGCCAATGATACCAATCGTCAGCTCAGCTGGTTTCAAACCCCCCGGCTTCCTCATCGGCGTGGTGCCGGACATCCGTGTTGCGGGTAAACCAGCCTACTTTCATAAGTCTCCATTTCCTCTTCTTGTCAACATTTGCTGGTATCATCGCCATGGCCGATCCAACTGGCACAGCTGGCACCGCCCTCGGCGCGACCAGCCTCTTTCTCCAAATATTCCAAGGCTGCGTCGACGGTTTTTCTGTCTGGCAAAAGGGCGAGACGCTAGCCTCCGATGCGCTTATCTTCAAAGCTCGTCTTGAGATGCAGGCTGCGCGATTCAAAGCTTGGGGTTTGGACTGGGGATTTGACAGGGGACCCGATGCAGCTTGTTGGAGAGATGATCGCTTCATCGAGAACGGCGACCTTGCTGTGAAATACGTCGTTATCATTCACGGCTTCTTGGACTCGTTGGGCGAACTATCACAGGAGTTCCCGGCGTTGGCGTCTGCGGAGAATGTACCTATTTCGGCGGCGACTTCGCTTGGGGCCATGCTCCGAATGGCATTCAAGGACTCTCAAGAGCGGGAAGAGTGGGCGAAGAAGCTTGAAGCGATGCGCGATGAGGCTAAAGTGTCGGAGAAGCTGCGGTGGGCTCTCAAAGAAGGGGAGATCACAAAGACACTCGAGCTTCTCGAGTCGATGATTGATGATCTCTGCAAGTTCTTCAAACCGCCTGAGAATGACCCTGTCGCTATGCAAGTTGCTAATTCTCTACTCTCATCGCTCAATATCTCTAAGCTCAACGCTGTCGCTGCGGGTGCTCCCGATGACTCGATGCTGCAGAGTCTAGCCCTTCTCAAGGTCATGGTCCTGCAGCTTCAACTCGGTGCTCGTAATGCAGAGAAGGTCGATGAGAAAGATCGGTCACTACGTGAGACGGGGCCGCTTGATGGGCGAACAAAACGGTCAACTGGTGTCTTCCGGAAGGGAGTCACTTCCACAGATGTCCTGGTAGAGTGGAAACTCATCGATGGCTCTCATATCCCTCCTGGACATACTGCAGCAACATATCGTGCGATGGCTGGAAATCGTATCAAGAATCTGGCGCGTCTCCTGAAATGGAGTTCTAGGCTTGAAGATCTCAGAACATTGGACTGCATCGGCGTCATCACACGAGACGGACTCTCCGACGACGAAGTCCGCTACGGAATCATCTTCTGCGTGCCGACCAAGAAGTACACAACACTAAAGGCTATTCTTGAGGGGTCTCAGGACAACGTCTATCTTGATGACTGGTTCAAAGTCGCGAAGAGCGTGACACGAGCGGTGTTGTGTTTGCACCTGGCAGGCTGGCTGCACAAAGGGCTAAGCAGCGAGAACATTCTGTACTGTCAAGATGACGCGGGCGACATCTCCTTCGAAGAGCCGTATTTAGCCGGTTTCGAGTACAGTCGAGAGATTTCAGCCCCAGGACAAACAGAGGGCGTGACAGATGACCTCGAAGCGAACCTATACCGACATGAAGAAGTCCAAGGCGTACCCGAGGAGCCTTCACAGGATGGTCAAGGTAAACCAACCAAAACTCCTTTTTCAATGAAGCACGATATCTATAGCATCGGTATTCTTCTGCTCGAGCTCGGCCTCCAAAAGCCAATTATCCAGTTGTATGAAGAAGCCATCCAGGCCGAGAATTACGAGCATTCCGCCGCTGCGTTTCGGAAATGGGTATTGACCGAGGCACTGCCGAAACTTGGACGATCGAGAGGAAAGGAGTACATGAGGGCTGCAGAGTTATGTCTAAGATCAGAGTTTGAAGGGGCCTCGACGGACGAGCTTCAACAAGCGTTCTACAAGAGCGTCGTAAGGCCTATAAGTGGCTCTTGGGGGAGGTGAAGGGTGAAACAGGAAAAGTCTGCCGTCGCACTACTACTTGGCGGGTCTGTTCTACCACTACTAGAAGCGTCCGACTTTCTTAAGGTCGAGGCCAGATTCTTCGTCACAATAGCTCAATGAATACTGACCTAGCAATAGGACAACTACATGGTGCTTAATCCCGAACGAGCCACGTTTCGGTACACAGTGGGGATGATCTTAAACAGTTGACTTACCCTGGTTACCAAGTTGTTGATGTGCACTACATTGTTTGCGGAGAGGCTAAAAAGTTTTGCTGCGTATCAGTACGGCGTGGTTGAGCTTTTGACAGGGGTGACTAAAGGCCAGGCTAGAGTACACAATATCAAGAGCGGTAATGTTCCTGACTTGGCGCAATGGATGACGTCGTCGGCATCATCAAGAGTATTATTATCACTTCATAACGCGTTCAGCGGCCTCTAGTAGGTCCTATAGTTATTTTATTATCTGGTATTAAGTAGCTTCTACACCATGGAATATAATATTCTCAACATCTACTGTAAAGTGTATTCTCTCTTACCTGGCAAGGGAATGCAATAAAACTTAGGATCTCTATCCTAAGCAGCAAAAAGATTTGACTCAATTTATTATCACTTAGCATAGGCTTAGTAAACTTTAGATTAAGTCTTCTTAGCACCCTAGCTTAATCTCATAGGTTTTGTTGCTCTGGTACTGTTGCTGCTCAGAAATGGAGGTGCAACGCTTTGTCGGCTCTTGCCAGATCAGGCCTAGCGTTCCTCGTCTAACCTGTTGCCCGCTACCTGATTTGGCTTAGCGCCGTACTACAAGGAGCAGAGACTTTTTGCCCGTTATCAAAATCTCTGGAAGGTCAATAAAGAAAAATGCAGCGCCTTCGCCTTCCCATCAGCAACATCCTTCAGCACCCACGCCAACTTCTCCCCCTAACATCACTCATCACACAACAGCCCACTTTCTCTCCCTTCCTGATGGACGGTGGTTCAAGACGTCGCGGCGGTCGCGGCGGCAATCGTCGAGGCTTCAGCTCCCGTGGCGGCGGCGGCGGTCGGTCAAACCAGCCTCGCAACCAGCCTCGTAACCCAAAGCCCCAGAATGAGGATGATTCGCCTGATGTTGAGATGGCTTCACCTTCGCCTGCGCCCGCGCCCGCGCCCGCGCCTCTAACTGAAGCTCCCACCTCGCGTCGCTTCGACAGCTTGTTGGAGAACAACAAGGTCAACCCTCTCATCGTGCGCACCATCACAAACGATATGAAGTTTGAGTTCATGACGCCCGTCCAAGCTGCGACCATGGATGAGCTTCTGCCCCCGAACCGCAGCGACTGTCTCGTCCAGGCGCGCACCGGCACCGGAAAAACCATGGCGTTTTTGATTCCTGCGCTGCAGACTATGATTAACCAGAACAGAGCTGCTGGCGATGGCATTTCACTGCTGGTAATCTCGCCGACTCGTGAGCTCGCGCTTCAGATCTCTGCTGAGGCGAAGAAGGTTCTGCAAGGCCTGCCCAAGTATCGCGTTCAGGTTGCTATTGGAGGAACGAACAAGGATCGTGAGGAGAGGGCCATTCTTGCTGGTTGTGAGATTCTCATCGCTACGCCTGGTCGTCTTCTGGATCACATGTCCAACGAGGATATCGTGTACAGCATGCGTATGCTCAACACTCTTGTCCTCGACGAGGCCGACCGTCTTCTCGACATGGGTTTCATGAAAGATCTCCGCGACATTGTCGGCCGTCTTCCCGACAAGACCAAGTCTGACCGACAAGGCATGCTCTTCTCCGCCACCATCGCTCCCCACGTTGAGCAAGTCGCTGGTCTCGTTCTCTCACCGGGCTACAAGTTCATCTCGACCATTCCCGCCGGTGAAGCCAACACCCACGAGCGCGTTCCCCAGTTCCTCGTCCAGGTTCCTACCTTTGCCGACGTTGCACCCGCCATGGTTGGCTGTATTCGTGAGGAAGCGACACGCGGTCAAGCTTTCAAGGCGATTCTTTTTGCGCCTACTGCTGCCATCGCTGATTTCTACGGACGCCTTTTGGAGGATCTCCCTGGTCTTCCCCCGGTTTCGATCCTGCACAGTCGCATGAGTCAGAACAAGCGCACTAAAATCACCAACGACTACCGAACTGCTCGCAGCGCCATTCTTGTGGCTACCGACGTCGTCGCTCGTGGAATGGATTTCCCCGGTGTCACCACCGTCATCCAAGTCGGTATGCCCGCCGACAAGCAGAGCTACATCCACCGTCTCGGCCGAACAGCACGAGCCGACGCTGAAGGTCGCGGAATCCTGATCGTTTGCGACGCAGAGGGTTTCTTCCCCAAGTACTCCCTCAAAGAAATCAATCTCATCGCCCGCGAAGCCGATCTCTCACCCAGCCGAGACGTCATCGAAGTTGCCGAGAAGATGGAGGACGACGAAAAGTCCCGTGTTTACCAAGCTTGGCTGGGATACTACAACAGTCACATGAAGTCTCTCCGATGGGACAAGGAGGAGCTCGTCCGACAAGCCAACGTTTACGCACGCGAGGGTCTGGGTTCTCCTGATGTCCCAACTATTCAGAAGAGCACGGCTAGCAAGATGGGTCTGAGAGGTGTGCGGGGGTTGAACACGGTTGCTGATCGACCTCGTCAGAAACATGGTGCTCCTGGTGGTCATGGGGATAATGGACGCGGAAAGCGAGGACGCAACTAAGGTTATGACAAAAATGGCTGGTTAGGTTGGAGTTGGGGATATTACGACATTACAGAGACAAGTGTATTTGTTTAGATATGATGAGTGCGGCATAGACTTTTTAGACTGGACATCTGAGATGTCGTGATGATCAAGACTCTGATTCGCCCTTCTTATTCAATGCTCTGCTCTCTAAATGCTCGAAGAATAAGAGGATTTGAGCAATAAATGGTTAGCCCGATTAAGATTAATGTTGATAGAGAAACAAATGCACTGGCGGTATCAAGAGGAAACAATTGTGGCAAATGCATTAAAAGGTTAAGGGTGAATGAGATCCAGCACTCTAGGTCACCATGTCAAGATGGTTTATTTAGATAAAAATGCATTCGTTAATTCTCAGGGTTTGCGTCCCATCTTTGAAGCCTTTCGCCTCAAGGACATGTAGGACTAAAAGTTGTTAGACGCTCGGCCATCCATGTTCGTTATGGCTGCCTAATTCAACCACAAAGAGTCACATTCTCTGTTCTAATTGGCCACGTTGACGAAGCCTGAGATGTACATTCAAGATGCAAACACACCAGGGCCGCATCCACGGCTCGATGAAGATTCCGGTGAAAGAAAGCATGTTTCAATCAAACTTTAAGGTTAGGGCTACCCTTAGAAGAGTTTTGGCTCAAATTGATGCTTATATCTTTTGCAATATTCTTACTGGAGACTCACGGAGTTGCGTGCAACGTTAATCCTCTAAACTTTTGAAGCCTCAACATCTAGGTTCACTGTGGTTCATTGCCTGATCTCTCATGTAACTACGGTCCCTATACATTGAATTCTTTCTCTTCTGCAATCTGATTTTCTTTCTCCCAGTAATCATCTTCGCCCGCGCTCGCCGAGATGAACCAGATTCAGTCAGATATACACGTCGAGGGTAAATCTTTCTTTGATCACTGCTTCGCCAACTTGTCCTCTGATCAACAGCCAAACTATTATCACTCATCTCCCGCTGTTTCTGGGTTCACTGATTGCTTCCTCATCCCCTCGTCATGCCAGAATAAGGGACATCCCTGGCCAGTAACCCAAGTAATCGGAGTTGAGGATTCACCCGATAGCGATAGCGACTACGACTCCGGTGGTATCCGACTTTACGAAAACGTCGAGAAGGTCTTTCGACACCAGCCAATTCGACTTTTTTCTCCATGGCTTTCTCCTGTGCGGCAACCAGATGGAGCTTTGGCTCTTCAGCCGATCGGGGCTCTACTGATCTGGGCTTTTTCCCAATACATTGGCAGCAATATCTTCACCAACTACACCAGAAGGAATGAGTAGAGATCAGCTCGGCTTCAATCCCGTCGTTCACGGCGACGACGAGGGATCGCAGTACATCTACATCAAAGGCAGCGCGAACAGTAGGGAGTCATACGAGAGCGAGCATCAACGAGCTTACACGCTCACCCTGGACAAACCTACGATTTGGCTTCCTCCCGACCTTGCCAGCAGCGCCCCTGCATACTATCGAGCCATGGATTGTCACGGCAATGAGTTCGTCGTCAAGTTTCTCATCAAGAATGGAGGAAAGTAGGGATGAAGAAAAGCTTCTGCATCTCACCAAGGCGCGCAACGTCTGGGGTATCACCGAGCTTATTGACTACCAATGTCTCGACACCGATACCATCACTTTGTCCTGCATAGTCGCCTCCAACTTTGGTCGCCCTGTCAAGGGGTATTGCACAGTCTTGGAGGTTCTGGAATGTTTGCGCGACACAATCAAGGCACTCCGATCGCTGTATCTGGATGCTAAGATTCTTCATCAGGATATCTCAGATAACAACATCCTCATCTCTAACGCCGGAAATAATAACCCAGACTCATTTAAAGGAATACTCATTGATTCCAATAATGCCATGGACGTGGAAATCGAACCCGAGAAACCTTACTCTTTGTCTGGAACCAAGACATTCATGGTCATTGACTTGTCGCGCGGCAGCGACGATCGCGTCCTTCATACATACCGCCCCGATCTCGAGTCTTTCTTCTACGTGTTTTTGTTCATGGCTGTCCCTGGACATGGGAGAGCCTCTGACGAAAGCCGATTGAGACCATGGGAGGTATTGTGGAGGAACTGGCCAGAGATCGCTGAGAAGAAGAAGGACATTTCCAGCGACGACTTTGCGGCCATCCTTGCCGAGTTCTGCCCAGGGTTCAAGGGTCTCGAGAGTCTGGCTCACTCACTTCGCGATGTGCTCTTCTTCCCAGATGTGAACGAATTTTTTACGGGAACAAGCATAGATATTAGGGAGGCCGAAAAGCTGTATAGCGCCATGATCGGCGCATTTGAGAAGGTGGTCGTTGAGAATAGAGAATGATGCTGAGGAATATTAATAAATAAGCATCAAGTCTCATAATACTATTACTACAATTGGCGAAGGAAATTCATTCAGGACGATTCATAAGTGATGTAACCAAATGTGACGTTGATAACTCCATCAGGCAATTCAGATCAACGCCCATCTTCAATTCTTCCCCGAACACGACAAATTACGGGGTAAAAAGACGTTTTATCTCCCATCCAATCATGAAACCGCTATTAATCCTGATCATCCCCGGTAATCCAGTTTTCCAATATGCTGATCCCTGAACAGAAGTCCCATCAGCGCTATCGTAGCGTCACGCTAGGGGTATTCCTCCATGAGCGATCCACCAAAGGGGTGTCTCGTATTCGGATCTTGAGGATCCGACAGACTAAATCTTGGATAAGCGAGGCAATCGATCTACTATTTAGTTTCTCGCATTACCTGGAGCGCAGATGAATCTTTGAGAGGTCAGAACTGACACTGAGACGATGTTTCGAGAAATTGTGTACGGTGTTGCGGGCTTTGTCCTGCTTGCCTATGCGGCAGAATGGATTCTCTCACTATTTGACGATCCAAGGGAGCCCAAGAGACTTCAGTCGAAAATACCTCTCTTCGGACATTTATGGGGTATGATGAAGTATAGTTCTGGCTACCACGGAATCACAAGGTACTCCAAATACCCGAATTTCTCAATGCATACTAACACCAGAGAAGCAAGCAAACAAACGAGGAAATGTACACAGTCGCCATCTTCAACACAAAACTCTACATCGCCAAAACATCTCGTCTCATTCCCCTGATCCAAAAGACTTCCAAAACCCTCTCCTTCCGACCTTTCATGCAAACAGCCGCCAAACTCATGGGCGATGCGAAACCCGAGACTTTTGAGGTTTTTGGTACAGAGTGGGTTGATTCGTTTAGTCATGCTCACAAGAACGGTCTTGCTACGGGGCCGTTTCTGGATGAGCAGAATCTTCGTATGGGAGATCGTGCGCTGATCGATATTGAACAACTTCTTCCTGTGGAAAAAGATGGTGTTGCAAAGGTCAATTTGCTGGAGTGGGCGCAGTATGCTGTTGTTCAGGCTAGTGCTTGTGGAATCTTTGGTGTAGAGCATCCTTTTCTTGATCCCAAGGTCGACCAAGCGTTTTGGTAAGTCACCTCCCTCAGCCATCCTGAAACAAGAACCTGACTGGATAGGAAATGGCAATCGTATCTCCCTCTTCACATGGTTAACCTCGACATCACTGGCAAAGGCTACGCCGCCCGCCAAATTGTCTTTGACGCTTTCCGCAAGTATAACAAGAATCTTCCCAGCGATGTATCTTTCATCTACAAAGAACGTCTCCGATCAATGCAAGAAGCTGGTATTGATGAAGATGACATCTGCAAGCAACAAGCTACTTTCGGAACTGCTGCTTTCGCAAACACTGTTCCTATCATGTACTGGACTATCTACGAACTCTTTTCTCGACCTGATCTTCTTGAAGAAGTGCGAAAGGAAGTCATTGAGCGAGCTGTCAGTGGAGATAAGGAATCTGGCTTTAAAGTAGATGTCGCTGCTTTGAAGACGAAGTGCCCTTTGACATTATCTGTTTTCCAGGAGACTCAAAGGCTAAGGCATGTTCATGCGAACATCCGCAAAGTAACAGAAGACACCCTCCTCGATGGAAAATACCTCCTCAAAGCAGGTCACTACGTAATGATGCCCGGCCAACCCGTCCACACAAACACTTCAACATGGGGCCCCACCGCCGACCAATTCGATCCGTATCGCTTCACCAAAGACTCATCAGACCGAAAAGCAAGCAGTTTTGTCGCTTGGGGCGCACCGCCACATCTTTGCCCAGCGCGTCAATTTGCCACCACTGAGATTCTTATCGTTATTGCTCTTCTTGCTGTGAGGAGTGATATTGCACCTGTGAAGGGGGAGTGGGTGAAGAACCCGGCGCTGAATACGGGGGATATGGCGACTGTTTATACGCCGAAGAAGAGTGTTGAGGTTGAGGTTAGGAAGAGGGATGACTGGGATGGTGAGTGGAGTTTGAGGATGGGGGAGAGCAAGACGAGAATTTCCCTTGCTTCTGGTTGAAGTTGCCTTGATTTCACTTTTGCATAGACTTCAGAATAGAGACGATCAAGTTTCGAGATATTCAGTGCACCGTCAAAACGTATGAGTGGATTCTTTGCAACATGAGGTTTTGCTGTGTAACAAAGGTACCATCAACTCCAAAATTAATCACGCACAGAACAAGCAACAATATTCGCAGTTACTCACTCTCTCATACGAAATCTGAATCATGTGCAGCATCATGAGTCACCGCGTCAGTGGTAAGCTGACGATCAAGGTCTGCAGACCAATATTCGGAATACCTCGATTTCGGCCGCCCGATAATTCCGAGCTGAACTTCTCACGCGACGCCAAAACCACCAAAGACCCGTGCTGATCCACTAAAAAAAGTCCCTGGAATCATTCGGGACGCCTTATGAGGCTGAAAATTGTAGTCATTGCCTTGATTCTTTGGCGCGGTTGCCTGCCGAGAGGGAGAAAGAAAACGCCTAACCTAGAGTCAGGTTGATACAATAAATGAGTCTAAAGGCGCACCACGCTCGGAGGAAGCTTGCCTAGTCTTTTTCTGTCGCTTGAAATCGAGGTCAGAGGTTTTCTTACTGCCCGTAACGTGCATCCAATGGAAATTGTCTCGCCAATGAGCGATATCCACTTTTTGGGGCTGAGTAATTGATTCATGCAGGTTCGATGAGGGGTCACAGAACGGACGCAGTGATTAACAAAAAGAGCCAGCTGCCTTGGCTGATGCAGCGTAAGCAACAACTATTTCAACCTCCTTCACCTCAATCTCATTTTCATACCTCTCATCTTCAGCTTCAAATCAGTATACTATACACATCTTGTACATTACCATCCTGACATCTTCAATCTTGAACCCTGGACCGCCAGGATGACAATCGACCAGGATCCCATCCTCACTAAACTCCGCGATGTATCCCTCTCAACCGTAGAGAATGGCGTCAGCAAGCATCACACAACAGAGCAGGACCACCTCGCTACTGCAGGTCTTCTCTCAGAACGAGAAAGCGAAGCCTGGCAAAGAGCGATAGAGAAGGTCGTTCGATGCGTCGTGTCGGTCAAGTTCTCGCACCCTTATTCGTTTGATACCGAGACTAGCAAGACGAGCGAAGCGACAGGCTTTGTTGTCGATGCAGAAAAGGGTATCATTCTCACTAATCGACATGTTGTCGGACCTGGACCCTTTTCGGGGTACATTGTCTTCAATAACCAGGAAGAAGTCGACACGTACCCTATTTATCGCGACCCAGTACACGACTTTGGTTTTTTGAAGTTTGATCCCAAGGCGGTTAAATATATGGACCTTACAGCCATGGAACTTCGACCCGATCTCGCAAAAGGTAGGTCCTCAATCTCCGAGACAAATCCTGCTGCTAACATGAAGCAGTTGGAACCGAGATCAAAGTCATCGGTAACGATAGCGGCGAAAAGCTCGGTATCCTCTCTGGTTTCATCAGCCGTCTTGACAGAAACGCTCCTATATACGATGGCTACATGGACTTCAACACATGTTACTTCCAAGCCAACGCGTCGGCATCCGGAGGAAGTTCCGGAAGTCCCGTTGTCAACGTCGACGGACACGGTATCGCGCTTCAAGCAGGTGGTCGTACCGACGGGTCAACGGATTACTTCCTACCACTTGATGGGCCGCTGCGTGCGCTGAAGCAGATCCAACGGGGTGAGAAGGTGAAGAGGGGTGAGATACAGACTGTCTTCAAGTTGAAGCCCTTTGATGAATGTCGACGGCTTGGGTTAAGTCCTGAGTGGGAGAGTGTTTTGCGCAAGTCCTTTCCTGGAGAGGATAACGTCATCGTCGCCATGGATGTCTTACCCGAGGGGCCTTCGGACGAGAAATTGAAAGAGGGCGATATTCTCCTTAAAATCAACGGGGATCTCGTTACCCAATTCCTCCGTCTCAACGAGATTTTCGACTCCAACATTGGCAAAACAGTCCGTGTTCTCGTTCAGAGAGACGGCCAGGACGTCGAAGAGGATATCCTAGTTCAAGACCTCTGCGAGATCACACCAGACCGCTTCGTCACCGTCGGTGCAGCCTGTTTCCACGATCTATCATACCAAGTCGCCCAACGATACTTCCTCCCCTGCCGCGGCGTGTACGTCAGTAAATCCGGCCCGTTTCACCCCACGCACGATAATTACATCATGGTCGATAGCGTCAATCACAAGAAGACGCCGGACCTCGATGCTTTTGTGCAGGTCATGAGGGATATCCCCGACAGAGCACGCGTGGCGATCAAGTTTTGGTATGTTTGGGAACCGCAGACCGTTCGGACGGCTGTTGTGCCGATTGATCGGCATTGGTTCCAGCGCATGAAGATGTTCAAGAGGAATGATACCCAGGGGGTTTGGGATGTTGAGGTCCTTGCTGAGCCGCTGCCTGCTATTCGACCGCCGCCGTTGAGTGCGTCTTTTGATGCGCTTGAGCATATTGCTCAGCGGGAAATTGCTGAGATCGCGAGGAGTTTCGTCCACGTGCGATTCTCTTCGCCGGTCCTTATCGATGGACAATCGACACGCATTAAACTCGGGATGGGCCTTGTCGTCAACGCTGATCGAGGCTACGTCATCGTCTCGAGAACTGTTGTGCCGACAAAGCTTTGCGATATTGAACTCACCTTTGCTGACTCAGTCCTTGTTCCCGGAAAAGTCGTCTTCTTGCATCCTGCGCACCACTACGCTATCATTCAATACGACCCCAGCCTCGTTGACGCACCCGTCAAGAGCGCGATCTTCAGCACTGATAGAATCTCGCAGGGTGCACCTACTTTCTTCGTTGGTCATAATGATTGCGATGAGATGGTTTACGCCTCAACAGCCGTGACAAAAGTCATTCCCCTCGAGAGAGAGCCACCAAATCCACCCCGCGGCCGCCCCGTCAACGTCGATCGCATTGACGTGGAGACCCGAATTGGAAACCACTGTGGCAGCGGCGTTCTCATCCGTGAAGACGGCGTCATCCAGGCCCTGTGGGTCGTCTACGAGATGGAAGATCTCGACGAGGCCTGTTTCGGTCTAAGCTCCCAAGCCATCGCGCCCATCGCTGAGAAACTAAGCCAAGGCATCGTCCCAACCCTGCGCAGTCTCTCCATCGAGCTAGAGGCCGTGACGATGATCGAAGCGCGAGTCATGGGCGTAGCGGAGGAGTGGATAGAAAAGGTCCAGAGCAAGTCCTCCTCCGACCGACGACTATTCATGGTAAAACGTGGCCCGAAGCAACTCCCCGGTCAACTCGGCGAAGGTGACGTCCTGCTCACTCTCGACGGCAAGCTTATCACGCAGCTACACGATGTGGATGTCATGTACTGGAAAGAAAGCCTCGACGTCGTCGCTGTACGAAACGGAGAACAGATCAGCTTCAAGGCACAAACTGTCTCTGAAGATGAATTCGAAACTTCGCGTGTTGTTAATTTCTGCGGCTTGACGGCGCAGAAGCCCCATCGTACCGTGAGGCAGTGCATCAAGAAGCTGCCGAGCGAGGTATACATCACAAGTTGGTTCATCGGATCGCCGGCAAACTTGTATAATGTCTACGCGACGACTTTCATCACACATATCGATAACAAGCCTACACCGGATCTAGAGTCACTCGTGGGGATCATTGCGAGCATCCCTGATAAAACCTGTAAGTTTTCTCCAAGGGATGCAAAACTTGGGACACTTTATCATAAGTGGTAAAAGATTATTAAAGGGTCTACTGACTTGATAAATCTTGCCTAAATCCTTTTACCACTTCGGATACTGGTCCTAAGTTTCCCTAATATCGCCGTTCATGGGAAAACATAACTAACAAGAGTGTAGACTTCAAGATCAAGATGATGAACTACACCGGAACTCCCTCCGTCGTAACGATCAAGAAAGATGAGCGGTACTGGCCTACCGTTGAGTGGCTTCGTGACGAGACGCATGTTGAAGGATGGAAGAGGGTTACATATGAGAATGGTGAGGTTATACAGGGCGAAGGTCTTTATGGTATTACACTGTGAGCGAGGTGTTGGTAGACAATGGGCTTATGACTTGTATTATATAATTATCTCCATTCGTACATCGCTCTGAGAGCGAATTCACTGCTGGATCATGACTCGCGCTTTTCGTGATTCGTGCTCACGACGATGAGAGGCAGTTCTCGCAAATGAGACGGTGAGTGAGTCGTTAATTGACAACCCCGCCGCTGTAAGCACTAACTAGGCTGCGGGCCAGAAAAAGCAGGAAAAATTGAAACCTGGATCCTAAAGCGACAAAGACAGCTAGGCGAACTAAGTACAGACTATACAAGATTTAGGCAAATTTAGTATAGACTTAACGTGAGATCAGTCCTTTTTGGCACTTGTAATGTAGCTCAACTTCGGAAGATTTCTTACCAGGAGCTCCTCTTCCAGCGGGTCTAGCGCGCTGACTGCCTACCAGATCTAGGCACCAGCCCCATTTACAGGGGTTGCTCCAGTGCCGAGCAGAAACTTATAAGGCCCTCATCCAACAACTTCCAAAATGCTTCAGCTCAACTTCACCAATCTTATCTCGGCTCAACTCAACTCACACATCATGTCTTCCGACGACTCGAGACTCGTCACCGAGATATGGGACAACATCTGTTCCTTTCTAACACCATCGACCCTCTCCAATCTCCGTCTCACATCTCACAGACTCAATGAGATCGCACGACCATGGAAATTCAGAAGCTTACGCCTCGAAGCATTCGCGCCTTCATCTGTTGAGCGATTTATCCACATTGCCAAATCCCCTAAACTACGCAGCTTAGTTCGAGAGATCACTATCGATACGCGTATTGAGTTTGACTTTGAGTACCTCTGCAACGAGTCATTCAACTTCCCAATAGCCTTCATGAACGCGCTCCCCCATTTACGTTGCTTCACCAACGTCACGGCGCTTCATATTCGCTTTGAAGAGCACTGCGGCGAAGATGACCGTTACTATCAAACTATTGAAGAAACGTTTGAGTTTCGGTACCGTGTGCTTGATACTATTCTTCACTGCGCTGCGGGGCTGTGGACGCTGGAGAAGCAGATCAAGATTGATGAGGGGATGGAGGGATATATCTATCTTGATGAAGATGAGAATTTTGATTATAGTGATCAGGATCTTGAATTCGCTCACGACAAGCCTTTTCCGCTGAAGGAGTTGACGATTACGCATCTTGCGGATTATGACGATCCTAACCTCGCTCTCTCTGAGGCCTGGAAGACGATAATCTCTCTACCAAGTCTCGTCGACTTTAGGGTCTTTGTGACAACAGAAGAGTGCGAAGCTTCACCTGAGAGCACGATTCACTATATTGAGAAGTACGATTTCTTCGGCAACCTCCACAACACGTGGCTGTCTCCCAACATCGCGGATCATTTGCGCGTACTGTCGTTATACTTCAAAGACTACTGGGGCTGGTTTCCCATCATGGACTTTCGAAACATTGGCGAAGATTCACCATTCCCTCAACTCAAGGTTCTTGCGCTCGGGAACTACGTCTTTACTCATGAGTGGCAGATTGAGTGGTTTGCGAAGCTCGGCAAGGAGAATGGTAGTGGAGGTCTGGTAGAGCTGTATCTTGACGATTGTCCCATTCTGTATCACGCACGTCAGCTTCGTATTGGAAACGATGGGTATGCTGATCATACAGCTCATACAGCAGGTGGAACAGGACGAGGATGGAACCCTATCAAACGCGACTTTCCCATCCGATGGCATCATATCCTCTCTCAGTGGAAAGATTCGATGAAGGGACTGAAGACACTTCGAGTTGGTCATGGCTGTTGGTGGGATTGTCCCAAGGATACCCGCCAAGCAATTCTACAAGACCCCGATTACAAAGACATCGACTTACAAGCCATGGATCATCGGCTCTCGCGAAACCAGCATCGGAACTTTGCTTACCCTCCCCCAACGGAGGAAGAATACTGGGACAGGGAGAACACCTGGGTGTCTGAAAAGCATAGATATGGGACGGGGATCGATAATGAGAGAACGAGTCGGATGCAGTATATTGAGTATAACTGTGGTATTGGGCCGTCGGCATGGTTGGAGAAGAATTCGCGGTATGATTGTGATGAGGAGGGGTTTGCGCCGGAGAAGGGGACGTTGGAGAAGGACAATGCTGCGTGGGAGATGATTATGGCTGCGACTCGAGCGAGACGTGAGGGTGTTGCTGCTTGAGTTTTCACAGTTTAGGGTCATTGGGATTGTGTCTGTTCATTTACAGGTGATATGCATTGGGACATCATAGTGCTCGGGAGATGAGATTTATGAACCGTCATTTTCCCTGTTAAGGGTACATGCTTCATTTAACATCGGACTCCGCTGCTGTTCAGTAACTCTAATCGTCAGAACAAAGGACCATCTCAATTTCCGTACTGTGCGGAAACAGATATATACTTTTTTATAAACTTTGTACTTTGAACTTAGAAACGTGAGTTTAGAGATGGCCCTTTTATCAAGAAAGCAATTCCCATTCTTCTAAGGAAGCTTACACGCATAACGACAGTATTCGCTGAAGTAGTGAGGTATTTCTTTTGTGAGCAACTGCAGTGGATCTCTTATCACTGCTCTGGTCGCTGATATATCTAAGAGCTACGACAGCTACTGACACTGCCATCCAACTCAAACCTCACACCTCCGACGCAGTCACCTGATCTCATACACCACATTCCCCAACTCTAGTCTAACTTTAGACTCACCTCATAAATAAACATCGCCTTCACCTAAGCGCTTCATCGCCTCATCAACACCAAACCACCGCAAAATGTCTTCCCCAAGCAAAACCCCCAAGCCCAGCGACATGATCCTCGCCATGAACGACCCCTACATGGAACAGATCATCGACGGCGTCAAGACCTACGAGTTCCGAAAGTACAACATGGCCGGCATCCAGCGCATCTGGTTCTACCGCACTGCTCCGCACTCCGCCATCACTCACATCTGCCCCGCCAACGAAGCCGTCACGAGAAGCCCTGGTGACCAGCCCCTGCCAGAAGATGGGCTGGGAATCAAGGAATACAATGAGAAGGACGCTGATTACGAGGGCTATGACTTTGCGTATCGGATTAATGCGGTTTATGAGATCAACGCTGAGGGAGGGCAAGGCATCACTTGGTCAATGATGAGGGATGAGCATGGTATGAAGATTGCGCCAAGGGGAAGGGTCAGGGTTCCGGAGTCGATGATTGAGCAGTACCGCTTGGAGGACCAGAAGAAGGTGCTGTGAGAGGGAACGAGGGAATTGGCAGTATGAGCGGTTATCACTTTTGCTTGTGAAGTTGATATGAAGGCGAATTAAAACAATAAGAACTTGCTCTGAGATATCTAAAATGGTGACTGATAATGCAACTATACTACAATGTCGTTTCGGTTATTAATCTTTCCTTCAAACTGTTATTACATCTTCAAGGTGTCGATACTTGCAACTCCAGACTTTCTTTTCCTGACATCCAACCCCTTAAACTATAACACGTTCGAGTTCCCTGTAAATGAAGTCATATCCGCAAGGCCGTCCCGCTGCTGTTCCATTCTCAGCGCGTGCTTACGCAAACAGACGCATCTAGTCTGCGACCAAAACGTGTTCGTACTACTCATGCCACTGCATGTTGAACCCTATGACGATTGCCATGTGTTCTTGGCGTTGTTCTCCAGACTGGCCAATGACCAAGGTCACTGCCGCCATATCAATACCTGTTTGGGCTTTGATACAAGCTGAGATTGGTTGAAGCACTTACATCTCTCAAGTTAATGGACTTCCTTTCCAGGCATCTCCCTCGGAGCCTGCCGAGCAGCGATTACATTGGTTGAGAGGTTACTACTCTGCCAGTGCCAGTCAATATTCATCTGGTCTGAGCCCATCATGTTCGCTCTGGCATGACGGTGCCAGTTAGCAGGTAGCAGAATCTCCTGAATAAGAAAGTTTGCTCGCTGTAAGCCGGGATCTTTCAGACTCTTCCCTCGACACACTCTGCAACACTCTTCGACTGAGATATCCTTTAAATATCTCATCTCATTCTTCATCAACTTACATCCCAACACTTGGACCTCCATCATCATCCCACTTCTATCAACTCACACAAGAACACTTCCACTCTCATCATCTCCCTCTCCATCAACTTGCATCACAACAATTCAACTCTCTCCATCATCAGCAAGTCTTACCATCAAAGACAACTCTCATTATCAACAGCTCTCATCACCATCTCACCTTCTGTCAACTCACACCACAACACTCCGATTCTCATCATCGACGACTCAACAACGACACCACACCCCTTCTTTCGACACCTTAACTCTTAAGATGCTTTCATTCTTCGCCTCTAAGAAGACCGTGGCTCGCAACCGTGAGCTCGGTCCCGGCGGCGTCCATCTCAAGGACTATGGCATTCCTGGTCGTATCAACCTTGTCGAGGCCCTGTCTGACATGGGCAAGGATGAAGACCGAGTATCTGATCATCTTGATCAGAATGATGCTTGGGTCGACTTGAGTGCCCAGAAGGATACCATCAAGTCCACCCTTCAGCCCAAGTCTGACGTTCAAGTCACAGTCGAGGCTACCGAAGAAATGATCAATGAACTTCAGGCTTGTATCATTGATGATTACTGGACCGGAGAATCTATCCAGCGTCGAGCCATAGGCGCTCTCCATGACTCGGTTGAGAACTGGTTGGAGGGAATTGGCCAGGTGGATGATGCCCACGACTCATCTTCTGATGATGAGCATTCTGTTTCCTCAAAGGAGACCTCTGGCGTGAAGGCCAATGTCTATCAACTTCCGAAGTTTGAGACCTTCCAGAAGACCAAGTTCAATGCTCCCATCTTTGATAATGAGACCTACTTGACCGCTTACAACGACGTCATCCTTTCCTCGGCTGTCTGCTGGGGAAAGTCCGACGAGGAGTCTGACTATGATTCTGCTGACGACATGCCCACTTTTTTCAAGTCTAGCAACTAAATGTCTGACAATGTTGGTACTGTTTGGATCTGAAGTTGTAGCACGATGATGCTCCTTCGGAAATGTTTTCTTGTTGAGACAACTGTTTAGGTTTAGAGTACAGGCTGGAGAGGGATTTGCATTGGGCTTTGGGGTTGTAGTATGGTAATGCTCCTTCAAAAAATATTCTCTCGGCCGGTATGAGAAGGTGGTAGACTACAAAGTTGCTATGGGATCCGGTATATGTCTGGGATAGTTTCCCGAGATTGATGTCCATTGGGATAAGTAAGCTGGGTCTAGATATTGGCAGAGGTAGTCTAGCATGAATTGAGTAGTATCAAATCCTAATCCCAACATGCAATTGTGACAAACCCCATTTTGTGCCGATATTATCATTTTATGCAACCGCCTGCATAAGATTCGCACGTACCTCGGATGACACCCAACAATTCACATTTGACAATGGGTCGTTTCCTCCATCTCTTATGGTCTGTCTCCCCCGTTAACCGTCACATCCAATGGCCGAGCAATGCCGGGGTAAATGATGCGACCGTTTAAACTGAATTTCCCTAGTCCCATTACGTGTCACTTCCCCCTTCCCCCTTGTCAAAAAATTCAGGGATTTTGTTCTGCATCAACCAACAGGTGGGGGCGCCGAAAGTCTGTTCTAGGCAGGCAAAAAAAAAAAAACCTATCATGAGCGTAGAGGTACGAAGCAGGGGGACCCGAGCTGTTGGCTCTAGCAGTCAAAATGCTCTAGTGTTGCCATGCATGCTACGACGTTGAGATGCATGGCACCCATGACTTTTGCGGGAATTAGGCATGTCAGTAGCTTTTGCTCCGCTTCACCTGACAGTGGACGAGTTGTTATCAGTCGAGGCAATGCTGACTGCAAGCGTTTCAGGGGATCCTGATCTGCATTATGTCATCCACTTAGCCGGATCCTTTGGTTACCTTCAGATGGAGCAGCGTAGTATTTTCGTAGCCATTGTCTGCACCCGAAGTGGGTATACGACCCGTGTCGTTGGTCCAGGGGAGTTCAGCACATGCCATTGAAGACCGTGGGCCATGGTATGATTGCAGAACGAACCCGCGCAGCCTCGCTTGCTAAGTCGTACTGCAAGTCAAGCATGGTGGATGCTACTCCGCATGTCTCCACGCGTACTTCTCGTCACCAAAAAAGCGCCGGGTCTTATCACATCATCCATGCCCATGCCGGCATTCCCATCGAATCACACCAAGCAACGGGTCATCACGTGCCTAGCTAGCAAACAGGATAATGATATCAGTCTAAAAAACAAACACCCTGCATGCAGAGCCGTTGGGCGGTTTATCACACCCTTGCTGGCTTCACTTCTTCTGACCCCTGGCGCGTTGTAGCCGTTATGGAGTCGTCCCGAACCGATGCTGCCGTCGTCAGTTCATGGTCCGTTCACCGCCGCGGCAATCGAGAAAAGAACATAAATCCTACGGTGGCGCAATTTCTCGCGGGAAGTTCTGGGTAGATCCGTTATCCAAGCTTCTTCTTCATATTCGCATACACAATGCCTCACCAAGACTTGCCCATTAGACCCCTGGTCCGTGCTTTTGACCCCGTTGGACCAGATACTCTTGGACCGCCAGACCTTGACTTTGCTTCTCTGTTCAGAGAGAGAAATGTCCCTGAAGATGCTCCTCTGACGCTGTATCCCGAACAGCTAGGCGTTCCGTGGCATACTTCTCTCCCATGGGTGAGACAGTCCAAGTGGTGGGTGCAAGGTGAAGCGGCTGGAAGGGATTTGGTGAATCGAATCAGTGCCGACAAGGCATCTGAACGAGGAACTCTACCGATGGAGTTTATGGACGAGCGTCGAAAGGGGAAGATTGACGAGCTTGTTGAAGATGCTGTTTCATGCGCCGTTTACCTCTATCCATCATCGTCGCCAACTCGAATAGAACTGCTGACGCAGGCTCTTCTGCTTCTGTTCTTCCACGATGGTACGTTATACATCCCACTCAAGATTGATCTCACTGACACGGATACCCAGATGTCATGGAGCGCGGTGCAACACAAGATGTAAGTTGAACAGGCAGTGCGTTCTACCAGAGCTGACCCCTTCAGGAAACAACAGTTGTTGATGAATTTGTGACCATGAAACCCAAGAACAAACACATGAAGCGATTCTTCACAGAAGTTCTAGAATGTGATCCCATTCTTGGCCCTGGTCTCCTCCGAGCCATCGGCCTATTCGTCCATGCAGGCCGTAAGAAATCGCCATTCAAGCAAGATAAATACGCAACATTGGCCGAGTACTTGGACTACCGCCGCCACGACATCGCCAAACCGTGGGTTCCCCCCCCCCCCCCCCCTCCCCAAGTCCGTCAGTATATACTAAAAACTATCAGCTTCATGATCGCTGCTATTCGCTTTGGAAGCGGTGTTCACCACACCCCCGAAGAAATCTCTCCCTTTGACGAGCTAGAAGACCTCTACGTGCAGCACTCCATCCTCATGAACGATCTCTACTCCTACGACAAGGAGATCTACGAGGCACGCACCATCAACGGCTCTGTCGTCAACGCAGTACACGTCATTGAGAAACTCATGTCTGTGTCACCGAACTTGGCAAAGACTATCACCCGCACCATGAGCTTCGACGTTGAGAAGAAGTACTACGCACTATCGGAGAAGTTCATGCGTGATCCTTCGTTGAACGATAAGCAGCGTACTTATGTGATTGCGCTTTTTGATTGTTTGACTGGGAATTTGTTTCATCATGCTACGTTGGGCAGATATTCTCGATACGCCGAGTATCCTGTTGACTGTAGGACTTAGGATTGTCTAGTTTGTTTGTAGCAAGCATCGCATTGTGTTTCAATAACAGCGTATACGATTTCTTTTTTCTGACACTTGCATCAATTTCGATTGCGTGAATTTCTTCAGAGTGTCACCTTGACAAGGATGGATGATTCTAAACCTCCGGGACCTCCCAAAGGCGTCAGAACTAAACGAGATTCAGTGCAACTTCATGCCCAACCCGAGTGAAATATGAACGCACGCAACGTCACATCGCGAATAAACATTATCGGGCTCACCGTTTCACTTCCATCCGTAGTTCGAACCAACAAACCAGTCGCATCATTCGTCGTGTTAACAAAGTTCGTCCGGGGAAACCTATTCATCTTCCCTGAATTCAAACACCATCAGAGTTTCGTGTACGCATGAACCCCGAACCGGGAGAAGGTTATCGTCTGATACGTCGATCACATCCCGAAAGTGGAACTCTTATCAGAGACCCCATGTCCATAGTGACCCCTGGGCATTGCTGACATATTCCTGGGGTAATCATGAAGAACTGCTCCGCAGAATATGTATAGTATGCTCGAAATGGATAAGATGGGATGGGCCAATCATCGGAGGCCTGTATATCCGTGGCGCGAAAGAGTTCAACCTTCACCGCCTGTTGGTTGTGTTTACGAAGAGGCTGGGTTCGTGCGTACGGCTTGGCTCCGATTGAAGAAGCGGGAATAGAGGACATGACTAGTTATAGCCGAAAGCGAGCTACTGAAGGATTGGAAAGGGTATCCGAAGAGAAGAGCCGCGTGTAGTGATACTGTTAACATTGGAGAGCGAGTAATTGATCCCTGACATTACTACAACTATAAACAATCGCTAAAGGAGCGGTAAGGAACCAGAACCAACAGAGAGCGACCACTAACGCCAGAAAAAGTCAAACACCCGCTATCAATATCCCAGCACTTAAACGAATGACAATATCCCTGCCATACTATTTCGATCTGACACTTGTCTTCAGAGACCCATGAAGACGCAAGAGCGGATTCTCAATCCCACTACCAAGCGCATCAAACCCCCGCGTACCATCACCGCCGTTGATCTGAGCTCTAATCAAATCCCCCAAACGCGCACGCAACTCTGGCGTAAGCTTGCCATCAGTAACTGCCAGACCGCCTAGGAGGTTGCTCAGCATGTTCATGAGAGGGTTGAGCGATGCTTTGAGGCTGAGCTTGAGACCGAGAGTCTCGATGAGGTCGTTGACGATGTCGAGAAGTTCTTGGACGAGGTCTTCGACTAGATTGAGGACGTCGGCGCGCTGATCGCTGGTGAGTTTCAGGTTCTTGGTGGTAGAGAGTCTGGTTAGGGCGCCCGAGACGGCAGCGCGGATTTGGATGATTTCTTTGAGGGCGTCGGTGGTGCCTTTGTTGCGAGTCTCTGTTCCGGCTTGAACTCTGAGGAGTGTTCCATCTAATAGCGTTAGTAGATATTCCTAGACCTTGATCTTATAAACAGTAGGATACACACTGATTCTGTCACCTCGAGCAGTGATTTGAGCAACAAGACTATCCAAGGAATCAACAAGATCCTGACCGTTCTTGAAGCCAGTCGACGAAGACTTGAGCAATCTCTTTGAATGAGTTGTTTTGGGCTTCTTTCTAGACTTGGTCTTCTTGACCGACGCCTTGGCAGAAGGCTTCTTCGATGTCTTCTTCTTAGGTGTAACCTTAGAGGACCTCATGACTTTTACATTCGTGGTAGCGGTTTGTCCCCCCTTTTGCTCAGCGCGGAGTGCGTCGAGATCGACTTTGGCACTAGGAAGACCATTGTAAGGGATCGTGTCGATATGATAAGATGATTTCTTGACGAGGGCTGTGTCTGTAGCTGGTGCAGCGAAAGAGCTGGAAACCAGAGCTACGGCGGCGATTAAGAAGAGTTTCATGATGAAGTTTTGAACAGTATAGTAGACAATTTTGTTCTGCGTGGTATGAACATGCTGGTCCATCACTAAGGCGACTTGCAGACATTTATAAAATTCCTCACGGAGTGGATATTCAGGATAAAGTTGGGATTTTCCTCATGCGACAGTTGAAGTTATCGTCATATCGTCGATCTTCTGATCAGTCAGCCATCATATCATGATATGACATAGCTTCTGTTCTGAACCAACTGTGAGTTCAGGGCCGCTGACGTGAGTTGCGTTCTTGCAAGGCTATCTAGTATGAGCATGAAGGTTTGCGACTGGTATGGGTTACCGCGAAGAGAAACTGTGGCTTGCCGATCATATCCACAACCTGATTACATCAGCTATACATTAAGGTTGAGAAGATCTATTGTCTAATCCGGACAACTTAGTCTCGGTAATGAATGCATCAGTCTCTGGTGTGCCTGGTAGATCTGCGAATCATAATGAAGTGGTGACTGTTTAAAGTCAGGTACAATCGTGGTCCCTTGGACCCTTCATAACTTGGGCCAAGCAAATGACGTCGCTTCAGGCTAGACGCGTGAACAAATTTGTCAATGATCAACCATCATCTACAGGTGCAATACTGGGTCCTGCCTCGATCAAATATGTGACACTTAATAGATTTATCCTGTCTCATTCCTTACTTCCCTGCGGCATGCTAATCCGGTTCCATGGTGTCATGTTGATGAATTGCGAGGAGGACGCCAGGACGTTTCACTGCGTACCGCTCAGCAAAGACTATTAAAGATGAGTTGCAAGTCTCCAAGTAGAAGAAAATATTAAAATGTAAATAAATATTGTGCTGTATTGGAGATTTATTCAGAAAGTCTAAAAGCACTTTACTATACACCTACCTATAAATAGGGCCGGATGGGTGCAGGGTAAGACAAAATCCAGTAAGGATGCTCCACCAATCCCACCACGGGCGGAGAAAAAAGACACGTCTCCACAACACCAAAGCAAAAAACAAACATCGCAAGGATGTGCACAGCACAAAATGAAGGGTCTGGCCGGGGATTGAACCCGGGACCTCTCGCAAGCAATGCTGTAGGGTTTTCCCTAAGCGAGAATCATACCACTAGACCACCAGACCGGTCAAGTTCAGAAGAACTTGCTGTGGATTGCTTGTTTCGGAGTCGAAAATGCTACTTATGAATTTTACAAAGCCAATGCAAGAAGTTTGATAACCCAAATCTGATATATTAACTCAACTAGTAGCCCGTGAGTTACAACGCATTTACTTAATGGAACACAGCATGAATGAAACTAATTATATAGGGTGAGCTATATGAATTAGACATATCGGAACTGGGGGTCCAATGTCCCTTTCAAACCGCGCTTTATCATCGTTCTCAGCAGATGCACACTGGCCCCAGCTCTTATATCTCATCAAGCTTGAATGATACATCAAACAAAGCATCCCATAGCCTTGGTTGTTGTTCTTAGTAAGACAAAGTTATTTGACATATCGGTTGCATAAGAAGGCCGGTGCGGCACGCGTCACAGCCTTGTTTTCTTATTTGAAGTGTACAAATCCAATGGCACCATGTGTCACATCACATCATGTTCGGCTTATGTCAAGGGAAAGAAGCTTCATCTAACGAAAGGTTCATTTTAAAGTATCACATATATCAGCAAACACGCTGCTTGATTGACAATCACGACACCGAGCCCATTTATATTTCAGCATGAACCTGTGTAGCGTTTGTAAAGAGCCTTTTGCCTAGACGGCTGCCAACAATGACCCCTCCCGCCAGAGTTCCAAAAGCCATCATCTTACTCATAGAGACTGGGTGCATGCGGTCAAGCAAGGCTGCAACATTTGTAACCTGCTGCACGATGCGGCTTTCACCAGGAGTCGCTGTCCAGCTTGAAAAGTTTGATCTCGGAATCATCAAGGATACAAGCGGGCGTCGTACAGAGGCAGAGCCTCTGGATTGCTTTCTTATATGGACACAGCTTGCTGTTTCCCATCAACACCCAATTCTCAGGATTATCTTAGAAGCCAATGCGTCAAGGGAAGGTTTTGAAGGCCCGATACCAATGACAACTAGTGTGACCCTTATTCAAACGGATCTCTGTCATAGCTCTATCGCAAGCTCTTCGTCCTTACAAGAGGCGCTTGGCCCTTCGAGCGATTCAGATACTGCTTGGGATGTGATGAGACATTGGATCAGTCAATGCCAGCAAAAGCATATTGACCGCGGTCTCCGGCCTTATGCGGTGGTACCATGGTATCCAACTCGACTGCAGGATTTAGGAGACCCAAAATCGATAAGCGTGCCGCGATTGATTGAGACGGCAACCAATTTGCCGAAAGGCCCTTACCTAACAGTCAGCCACTGTCGGGGAAAGAGCAAGCATATCTGTGCCACGACAAACAACCTACAAAGTTTATACACAGTCTCCCGAGAACATTCCAAGATGCAGCGACTGCAACTGGTAACCTGGGCTATCGGTATCTCTGGATTGATACCGTATGCATTGTGCAAGACGATGAGGAAGACTGGGCCAGAGAAGCGGCTTTAATGTATAAAGTGTATACTACCGCAGAATGTAACCTTGCCGCGGCAGCTTCACGAGACAGCAGTGGAGGCCTGTTCTTCAAACGTACTGGGTTGCATGGCCAATGTGTCGCACAGAACGTGCGGGGGGACGTCATTGACTGCTTTGCCGACGATGAACTATTCCAGAGGGAAATCAAGCACTCCCCTCTACAGCAGGTAAGGGATTCCTCTATTTGTGTAACAATGCCTATTTAGTGAGATTCTGACAGTAACTAGCGTGCATGGGTGCACCAAGAGTGGTTAATGTCAAAAAGAACGATTCACTTCGCCAGAAACCAGGTCTTCTAGGAGTGCGATCATCTTTGCGCTTGTGAGGTATTTCCTGATGGGCTTCCCGATTGTATTAGATACGATGGAAAGAAGAACTTTGCAGAGGACCTTGGTAATGCAACGTGTCTAAAGAGCCGAGATATAAACGCAGATACAAGTCGCATTAGTCCAGACCTGATTCAGCTCTGATCAGGTCTCATTACCAACTATACTAGTCGCGAATTGACGAAATCTAGCGACCGTTTGCCCGCCTTATCTGGCATTGCGAAATGGCTACAGCCACATCTCGGAAATCCGGGATACCTGGCTGGCCTTTGGGACAACAGCGATCTTTATCGCTAGCTCGCGTGGTTCTCATGCACTACCGAGAATCCTAGGCCGCAATACAGAGCTCCAAGTTGGTCATGGGCATCAATTGACGGCTGCATACTTTGGATGGATTTGCCTGCAATAATCACTCCTCAATCAGAGATTATCGGCATCTTGACCACGTGTGGCGGCAGTGATCCCACAGGGCCCGTCACTGGAGGTCACATCCTGATTAAAGGCAGTATGGGTCGCGTGCAGATTATCAATCACAAAACGTGGCCGATTCTCTGCAGAGAAGACGAGGTAAAAGAGACTTATAAGGGTCCTGTTAATCTCCGCGGATTTGATGTCAGCGGCCTGCAGTTTGGCCAGTACTATGTACTACTCCTTGGCACATACACAACCGATCCCAGTAAGATACACTCTTTACTTTTAGAGGACGACTATCTTTTGGCTCTATATTTAGTTCTTAGGCCTGTGATTGGACAACATGGGACTTTTGAGCGATGTGGGCTTGTCAGCGAGTGTTACACCGAAGACGATGAACATCGAACACTCACGGGCAGAGGGCTACAGAGCAGGCAAGATATACCCTGCGAGGAGTATGCCGAACATGAAGGAACTTACAGGATCCGCATAATCTAGGATCTGAATAACAAGACTGTTAATACGTAATGGCAGGGTGATAATGAGTGCAGTAAGGGTTAACTACTGACACTCATACAGAGCTAAGAAGACAGTTGAATAGCATGTCCCGCTTGCTAATCGACTTTCTACTAGCGTAAGTGTTGCACGGGTAGAGCTCCCGGGTTGATATCGGAGTGGGCATGAGGAACTGGTCACTGGTGCCTTAAGAACGGGCCCCCACTCTTGAAACATGTGACATACGTACACCCCCAACAAGCGTTTAAGTATATTGAATAAATGTTTGCAGGTGTCAGCGGCATGAGACCCGATGGTTGTTGATCTCTATCTAACGAGTACTGATCCTTCTGAATTGCAAAGAAAAGATAAGAATGCCATAGCATGCAGCATGGACTACAGCCAGATAATAAAATAAGCAAGCAATACGTAGTAGATGATGTGAGCTTTAACTAGAGATATGCAAGCATTTGTCTATCGGCCGGTGTCATAACAAACACCGAGATCCACATTACCCCGGATTTTATTATCCATCACCACATTTACAATCTAGACAAGGATTTAAACCAGATACCAAGCCGGATACCGATCCTTCGCTATGAAACCTATCTTATCTAGACAATTATTACCAGGTCCATCATCACCTGAACGTAGATCATGGCAGAAATTACCCATTTTAGATATTCACGATGACCCAACCAACCAACATCGCTCCGACAAACAAGCCCCCAATCAAAAGCCATATCCCTTGTGGCAAATCGCACGAATCATAGTATCAAACTCACACGCGGCTGGAACTCTGTGATGCGGGGGCTCGACCTAAAAACTAACCTCAAAACGGTAATTTTAGTCTGATATTCCTTCTTCACCACCGAAATTTGTGGAGTTCGCGTAACGCCTCGTGGTGTATACAAAGATTCGAGATCGTGCCGGTCTGGAACACCTGCTTGCGGGCGCAAAGGATCTGGGGTATTACGTTTTGAGTTGACACTGGTTGTATCTCTGGTCGAAAACAGGGGCGATATCGATGATGCGCCTGTAGCTTCTCGGAAATCTGCCTATCAAGTCGTTGGATCGGCGTCATACTACTACCAATAAACAGTACCTAGCACTGCCTCGTGTGTTTAACCGTTGACCTTATTCTTTGAAGGGGGCGTTTCCCCGCAACCTCTGGGTTCCCGACTAGCTGGGACTCTCAGCATATACAAGCCGAGCACCTCGCTCTTCATTCTCCAGAATTGCCATGTTTTAGTGAATAGCTCTTATCAGAAAACATCACAATGACAGACCATACACATAATTCCCAAGGCGAAGGCCATCTTCGGCCTCGCCTATCAAAGATCACCATGGTAGCCATGACCTTTGCCATTCTCAAGTGTGTCTCTCCCAACCTCTCTGTCCAAACCATGTTCTGATGTGAAGTCCAGTACTTGGATCTGTCTAGCAGGAAGTCTATCTATTGTTCTTCCTTCTGGAGGATCTGTTGCTTTCTTGTATGGCTTTATCTTCTGCGTCTTGTGTAATTTTGCGCTGGCGGCCAGTTTGGGTGAGTTGGCGGCGATTTGGCCGACTGCTGGTGGGCAGTATCATTTCCAGTGGGCATTGACTTCTGAGAAGTGGAGGAAGGTCATGGTGAGTTTTGTGGTGCGTAGTTGCTGGGAGAATATTGACGATAGCAGAGTTTTGCGGTTGGATACATCAATATTTTTGGGTGGCTGACTCTCGTGACGACTGAGGGTTTCTTCGCAGGTTTGTAATTCTGCGCAGTTGAGAGCCTACAATTGACCGCTTACAGCACAATTCATCTCGGCTGCCTGCGTCGTAGCATCCAACGGAAACTACGTTGTGGCAGCATGGAAGACGTACCTAATTTTCATGGCAGTCCTCACATTCGGCACTCTCTCCATGACCTTCGGCAACCGGATTCTGGGTGCCTGGAACAATCTTGCCTGTAAGCCTTCCAAGTCCCTTGACCGCGAGCTTTAACTGACTGTATAGTGTACTGGTCCATTCTTAGTGTGTTCGTCGCCAGCGTCGTCCTTCTCTCGACATCCGATAAAACCGACCCCGAATTCGTCTTTGCGACATTTGCGAACGAAACAGGCTGGAACGACGGAATTGCGTGGATCTTGGGCCTTCTGCAGTCAGCGCTGTCACTCATTGGATACGATGCTGTGCTGCACATGACTGAGGAGATGCCAACGCCGTCTCGTGATGCTCCATTGGCGATGGTATACGCTGTTGGTGTCGGAGGAACAACGTAAGTCAAGCACTGGCTCAGACAACCGCAAGCTAACGAAGGGACAGCGGTACAATCTTCATCCTCGTCATGCTTTTCTGTCTCACCGACCTCTCCGGCATTGTCGCAACATCAACAGGCATGCCTATCGTCGAGCTCATCCTTCAAGCAACCGGCAGCCGCGCTGGCACAACATTCCTCACGCTCATGCTAGCAATCTGCTTCATCCACGGAACCAACGGCTCGATTACCAGCGCGTCCCGACTCCTATACGCTATGGCTCGTGATAAAGGTACTCTGTATCACGATTACTTCAGCCACATCCATCCCAGATGGGAAGTACCCATCAGAACTATTGTTCTTACCTGGGTGTTTAATGCGATATTTGGATTGTTGTATCTCGGGCCGACTGTTGCGTTCAATGCGTTTATTTCGAGTTGCACAATCTTGTTGAACATGTCGTATGCTATTCCGGTTGCCACGCTTATCATTCGCGGCCGGGATACTTTGACAAGGTTTCAGAGCGCGGAAACACCTTGGAGGTTTGGCAAGGTTCGGGGTTTGATCATCAATTACGTTGCTGTTCTTTACGTCTTCATCACATCGATTGTACGTCATACTCTCCGCCAACACTGCCAAGCTAACCCGTGACTAGTTCTTCTGCTTCCCGCCTGTTCTGCCAGTCGATGCCAGCTTGATGAGTACATCTCCCTCACCCTCTTCTCTAGATTACACGCTGACAATAGACTCAGATTACGTCTCGGCTGTCATTGGCATCTTTGCCATTTTCCTGACAGGATACTGGGTCTTTTACGGAAAGAAGACATTCCAGGGCCCGGTAAGTTTCATTTCACGCTCTCTGAGAATATTACTGATGATTGTGGCAGGATCTCGATGTGATTCTTGGAGAAAGACCGGACCTTGCCGAAGCCACGGATGAGTTGGCGATGGAAGAAAAAAAGGTCGAGAGTCCAACGGAGTGATATGCTGTACCATAACGGGCTTTATATAGCTTACATTTAATGACTTGAATGAACTTTTATGATGATATTGCTCCCAACCAGCCATCTCCTGTAATCGGCAACGTACGCATCTTGTGCCGAAAGCTGTTGAGTAGGGTTAGCGGAAGCGCATTGTCTTTCATTGGCTCACCAAACTCCAGCTCTCTTAGCGGATCCCTCCGCCTGGCCTAGCGAATCTGCTTATCGCCACTGACTAACAGGTACAGTAATGCATCATTATCCGTCGCTTAACCCTCCCCGGAACTGTGTCGGAGCAGAGTGCATCTCAACAGTGACTCGATTTTACTACGACAACTCAAGATCTTATACTGTAGTGTCAGTGACCAACTACCGAGCCCTACCAACACTTGAACTTTCTTCAATGCGACGTAACTCCCGTTAGACCTCTCGGGCTTGCGGAGTTGCAAATCCGTCTCCAACAAATCACAACCTAGCTTACCAATTCCGCGGCTCCCGCTAAACCAATCTCATCACCGCGCCCTCTAACTTTCTGCGGGGAAGCCCAGTTCACTTCACTTCAATTCTTATCCTTGAGTTTATCAATCGCCTGAGCACGTTTTCTCAACTCAACCAGCCCAATAAACTTGCTCACATCTTGTCTAAGCTTATATAAACTCAGCATGGAGGAACCGGAATCAAGTGCCAGGTCCACTGCCAAACGGAAGCTGCCCGTCAGATCGAGATCCGGATGCTTGACCTGTAGGACCAAACACGTAAGTCAATTTCCGGAAGGCGGATGAGCGCGACTGATAGGGAATAGTTGAAATGCGATGAAGCCAAACCAGAATGCCAGGTTTGTATATCGCGAGGCGTTCAATGTGGAGGTTATCAACGCGGTTTGAGATGGTCTACCAAACATGAAAAACCAGCCGAACTCGCCGAACACAAATTCCGAACATCACCAAAACAATCCTGCGGTACCAAAAAGCGCCGCGGTAGACCGCCAAAACGGCAGCTCGACACTGCATCGACGGCATCGTTCACCACCGCTGGTTCGGTCTACAGCTCCAACGATGCGAACCAGGGAGTGTTTGGTGAATTCATGCTGAACACACAGCCTTTGGAGGCTCAACAAGATGCTCAGCTTGTGGAATCTGAAATGAGTCCAACCAATGACTTTATTTCTCAATTCCCGCTCGGTCTTCCCGTTGAAGGTCTTCAGATGCCAGAATTTGAATGGACGCCTGACGCGTTGGGTCTAACGACACCGACATTTGAGGACTTTTCCGATACAAGCACCGACCTCGCTCTCTTCCCAGTTCAGCAAAACTTCTCAACGCTCTTCGTTCCTCCGCCGATAACAGATCTCTCAACTCAACTCGTTGAGTACTGGTTTCGCGATATCTGCTCTTTATGGTCGCAGTATGACTCACCGACAAACTCGAATCGCATGCTAGCAACAACTTTATGGTCAACTTCGGAAGCTGTATCAACCAGTTTGCAGAGTATGTCATCAGCGTACCTCTCATCCAAGATGCCGCATATGAAGAAGACTTCTATCGCAATGATGAAGAATGCTACTGATGTTATCGAGGCGGAACTGCGCGTTGTCAAATCATCGCCGAATCTCGACACCGTACCCATGGGTCTGATTTACGGGTTGTTCTGTATAGGGACGAGCATATGTTGGTTGAACGCGACGCAACTGGGTATACCCTTCCTCAGAGAAGCAAAAGCTCTTCTTCACCGGATAAACAAGCAAAAACGGCGCCTGTCAGAGGAAGAGCGGAAATTACTAAACATCTTCAACAAGAGCTGGACGTATTGCGAGTTACTACTCTCCGTCGTTTCAGACACGAATCCATACATAACATACGAGGCCGAAGAAGTCGAAGATATCAGCGCAGACGAATATCCAACAGCTCTACCAACCGAACCTGTCGTCGATGACATGCCGCATCCATGGACGGGTGTTTCAAACACAGTATCGCGACTTCTGACGCAGACTTTGAGACTCTGTCGTAATTACCGATACCATGTCAAACATCCTGGACCTTTTGCGACGCGCGATCACGCTACTGCGTTGAATATGATTGAGGAAGCAAAAACGTTGGAGGAGAAGCTTTTGGGTTTAGACTTTGAGTCGGCACCTGCGAATACGGAGACGGGAGATCAGAAAACACCGTGTCGTCATCTAGTCAACGTCGCTGAAGCGTATCGTCTCGCTGGCCTTATCCATATCTACCAAACCTTTCCGGAGCTGGTACTTCTGAGATTACCCGATAATCTCTCCGGTCCAGCAGATGCACATATCCCATGGGAAGAATGCATCACACCACTAAGTCTCCGTCTAACAAAATTGATCGAGCAACTCCCCGCGGACTCGGGTAGTAAAATGACCCAACCCCTGCTCTGCATCACCGCCAGCACCGGTCTTCGCTTCGAGCCCTCCGATGCGATCTCAAGCCCCGAAACCCAGGTCCCTCTCGCGACACCAACGCCTTTTGACCTCGGTAGCACAGAGCATTGCGGATTATCAGATTACATCGGACAACTCATCCAAGCAGACGAGGACATCGAGCGATTATCTACATCTACTGCTACAGAGTCGCGCATGAAGATTGTTGAGGCGAGATGTTTCATCGTTGGGAGGCTCGATGCGTTGGAAGCGCTGTTGCCGCCTAGACCAATTGTTGTGGCCAAGACGTTGGTGCAGACGATTTGGAATGAGTATGATAAAGAGAAGTCGGGGGCTGCAAGTGTGCATTGGATTGATGTTATGGAGGAGAATAATCTGCGGTCGTTGTTTGGATAGTGATACCCAGAATGAGAGCCTGAAATTGATTATGAAACTTCCCCCAATATCCTCTTAGTCTTTATGTAGGGGGATGTTTAGACTAGAACGCCTGGCTTTCGTAGACCGCTCAAGATTCTGTTTCCAGGGGCTCGCTACGAGACTGAGTAGCGTTTATGCAATGGTCTTAGGGATCACTATTGAGTTCAAAGATGTTGAAACTGAAGTCTCTATATTAACTCTTGTTTCTATATACCTCCGGCTCGATATAAGCCCGAAAGTTCGAGATTATATACATCGAAAGCAACATCTCCACTGTTTCCCAGTGATTCCAGAGGTCATCAATACCCCTACAAACCACTTAGATAGTTCCGAAACCAGCACTGGCAGCAAGGCCAGTGACGGAAGAAACAGGCTTAGCCTCAGCACCCTTTCCACCGAAAGAGCTGAAGAAGCTAGAATCGGTACCAGACAGCGAACCAGAGTTATCGTACTGGTTAACCTCGCAAACGTGGCCAACATCGCTGGAGCAAGCAGCGTTGGCGGAAGCATCAGGGCTGGCAAAGATGGCACCGGTAGATCCCTCCTCGATAGCGGCCTTGACGTCCTGGAAGAGGTTGCCCTCGGCGAGAATCTTGGCTTCGTCGCTGGTCTCGAAGGCGTGGCCGGAGTTGTCGGACCAGTAGTTGTTGACGGCGTGGAGGACGGTGTTTCCGGCGACCTTGGGGGCGCGGCCGGAGGTCTTGGTGATGTAGTTGTTCTTCATGGTGATCATCTGGTTATTATTAGTATAGATAGATTATAGATAGAGGGTGAGATCTGGGGACTTACGTCGCTGGAACCGGTGAAGTACATGGACCAGTACTGGTGTCCATCACAAGTAGCAGACCACTGGCTCTCGCCGTTGATGTGGTTGTTGGTGATAGAGACTCGGTTATCGGCGTTGGTGCCAAGGACGATGTGCTGTCGGCCAATGTTGGAGGTTGTGACGTGATCGATCCAAACAAGATCAGCTCCATCAAGGGTAATAGCGTCTCCACCCCAAACATATTGAGGGTTCAGTTCAGTAATATGGATGTTCTGAATAATAATATTCTTGGTCCCCTTGATGTAAAGACCCTTGCCCTTGATAACACCATTCGCACCAACACCAACAATCGACTTATCCGAGTTGACGATAATCGGGTTCAAACCCGCCTTATCGTAACTAACATCGACCTTGGGGGCATCAGGCTGATAGTTGTTACACCAATCATCCTTGTTGATAGCCGTCTGGCAGCCCGAGCCCGTACCCCAAGGAGCACAGCCCTGCTCGGACGCAGTGCCCTCGGTACCGGTGAAGTCGAACTCCTGGTCGAGCAAGATGACGCGCGTGGTAGAGTCGCCAAGCATAGAGACCAGCTCATCGGTTGACTTGGGGTACGCGCCCTCGGCGCTACCGCCGCCCGTGACTTCGGAGGCGAATCCCTCGGGGGTGCCGGTTACGCCGGCGGCCGAAACATTGGATACCAGCGCGGCGACAGCCACGGAGAGAAGAGAGAGAGACTTCATGGTGAATAAGAAAAGAATGTGGTGAGATAAACAAGAAACGAACGAATGAATAGCAGAAAATGGAATAGAGAGATAAGTTAGTGGGAAGGCATTGGTATATTTATCCCGGCCAACTTCTTCTCTCGCAGGCTTTACCGTAAGCGGCGGAGAATATGTCGTCCTAGAAATCTTCCAGAAAAAATGGTCCTGTTTTGTTAACTTGAAACTTGAGACAGGCCGTATCGCGACCCAGTTGTTAGCATCCCAACCACGCCAAGAAGAGGATTATACTGTTATTGGCGGACTTTTGGCATTGCTGTTTATTCCGTGGAACGTCGGCAGTATTTTTGGGATATGAAACTTGATGACATGGTTGAGCTTGGGATTAAAGGGTTAGTCTTTTGTGGGGAGCGTGTTTCAATGATGCGAGTTGAAACGGAGGGATCAAGCTTCTTTAGCTTAATGCCAAGTCTTGCTAGAAGTGATGATGATCCAGTTGTAAGACTAGCTAAGAATATTGAACTAGATTTTACTAAAAGTCTTGACATGAGCCTCATTTCATGACTCTCTATTAAACTTCACGATGCGTCAATTGCTTTACGGTAAGGATCGAGGTTGATGAATGCGGAGCCGCATCCTGGTCAGAACAGTGGGCCAGTAGCAGGCCACCAGCACGGCCATTTGTTTACGAACCACGGGATAGTGTTATGCTTACCCCGAAGGCGAAGGGCGATGAAACCTGGATAAAGAAGGTTATCGGTTTCACATAAGAAGAAGCAATCAGCTCATGACGCTCGATGCTTTATATCAGTGAATTGAATGCGTCGTGTGCCAAGTATACACGGGCTGAGCAGCTTGTCGCTGAACATTACTACTCTTTACGACAATTCCCAAAGACAATTGACACAGCTCGCGGGATGGGTGATGCAAATCCTCTCAGCACCAAAATTAATACGCGTTTACTCCATAGATGAGCGGCAATGTGAGACCAGCCTTGGAATTAACCCGGATATATCATTTCTTAGCCTCAAAGGCATTGGTGCGAAAAAGATGGTACCGCAATCTAATCTATCGGATGGTAATTATGATCAGCATCGTGGATCCGAATTACGAAGCCCGGAATGTGGTTCGCGACGCGACGCTGATAGTGCCTATTGCCCAACAAGATCATGCCGCTTGGAAGTGAACAACAGTTACGCCACGGCGAATGTGAGGCTTCTTCTGGGAATAATAGCATTCATCACTTATTGGTTGCACCCAAAGCTGGAGCAAACTATACCGCGCTTTCGGCATGAGGCGCTCGGTTTCAAGGCTCTGAGCAAGTCTTTTGTTTACCAAGCATAGGCACCCAGGACCAAGTCATACGAATGGTTATGCTTGGCATAAGAATCGTGTAAATTGGCCTTGTTGCACAAGCCAACGCATCCCCGTAAGACCTTGCCGTCATTGGCCGCCACTAGATGTGTCCCGAATTCCTCCCCGAGAAGCACCCCATGGTTGGTCTTGAGAAGCCATCCAATCTTGTGCGCCAATCCTAGTAGAATGCACACAATTGTCAGGGCGACGTTAGCGCCTGTCGGCAGTTACATAGGCCAGTGCACTGTACTCGACATGCGTTTTCAGTAGTACAACTCCGGTTCCAGACCGGAAGATATGTCACCAGCAGCTATCTAATAGCTACTTAACCTGCAGCTTGATTCCTTCTGTTCCATCAATGTGCAACTGGCGAAGCATAGCAATCCATAATACCGCGTCATTTCCAAATTGTCCAGATTCTTTGAACGTATTCTCCCGACTTACAGCAAAAGACATGCCAGTCACTCCATACGCTGGGCCATCAGGCTATACCCCGTTTTACTTATCCATTTATGGCACATATGTTCTACGCTTCTCTATGCCCGTTTACTGGGGCTGTTCTACAAATAATGACCTCCGCCCGCTTTTCTCCGGTAACTTCTCCAAGAGACATGTCGACATCGGCGTTGGAACTGGGTACTTTATAGCAGAGGCTATGCGTGATGCTCACCGGGAGCCGAAGATCAGCATGTCACTTTAGTCGACTTCAGCGAGTATTCCCTCACCGCAGCAAGAAAACGCGTCTTATCCCGTTATCCAGACGTTGACCTCCGCTGTACCTCATTGGCGAAACCACCTCAGCACGGATGACCTTCCCGGGCTGTTGGATCATAAATTGCGAAATGATGTTGTCTTTCCATTTGCTGCATATATTGCCATTGCTGGTGAGGCGATTAGGCAAGTCACGCATTCGCCTCGAGACTCTGGCTACCGTCTACGCCACGCTGTGGCTCATAAAGCTTTGTTGCTTGCTGATACAGTGGAGATCTCGACGAGCCTACGCAATCACAATCTCAACGACATGGACAGGTCGTCGTGGTACGACGTTACAGTCTCTTCATAAAGTGGCTCGTTTTGGTCCAAGCACTACACGGGACAAGTACGTATCATCAAGACAGCCACAACAAGCGGGTGGACTCCGGAGATACTCCCCGCAATGCTGACTGCTCGCGGATATACAATCAGCTATCTCATGTATGCTTCATCTATGGTTCCCACTCCTGGGGTGTGAAGAGCGCCACATCATCAACTACGAGTGAGCTTGTCCACGCCGAGATCACCATCATCGAGTCACAGAGTCGCTCCCATTTCACTCTACATCCAGCTACCATAGATGCCGAATCTCGGCTACTCATACTGTCGAAGGCTCGAGGCCTGGCACGAAATGTACCTGAGCTTGCTCTACCTACAGTCATTGAAGAGATAGAAATCAGTGTAGGGGCAGATATCCTGGACGCCAGAGCATGGAGACGATTTAGAGTTGTGCCATGCGCGGAGGTTTATGCACGCGGCAACATCGCATTCCGCGCTACGGGTATTCGGTTCAGGCCCCTCGATCACGACAATGCCTCTTCTGATCTTCTCGATGCTCATGCCATAGCACGACTCCATTGGCTTCCTCACTTTGGGTTTGTCGATACCTCAACACTCATCGGTTCGCCGGTTGTCGATAGAGAAGAACTGATGTTTACGAGAAAGATTGACCCTATGTTGCATTATCGAAGTATCAGAGAATTAAACACCTCGAGCCCTGTCGGCCTCGCTTTATCAAGTATCGAAACTGGCTTAGCCAACAGGTATCAAAACGGAGGTAATAAAAAAGACGACCCAGATGTCTCTGGGGAAATAGCGAGGTAGATAAACATCTTAGTATGCCATAGCTGTTACATAACTATAGCTAAGTAGCCACGTGATGATTTATACGCCACACTGTAATAAAAATGAGAATTAGTTCACCATCAGCCTTCCATCAGTCGTTAAAAACACAGCCCCCTTCCCCCAACTACTGTTTCAGCGGACACTGTGTAAAGTTTCACCAACTGGAGGCATGAGACAACTCAGAAGGATCGGAGGGATCGGATATGTGATCTTTAATGAATACTTACCACCCATAATTCGGACCATTTGAGTATGTATCAAGATTGAAACAATGCCATTTAATCAACGATTTTCCAACTTGTAAAACCTGTATGACCACATGGTGTCTTTCTCGCTAAGCCCAAGCTTACGAAGCACTTTCCTGGCTGTCTCTTGTCAAATCAATGTAGTCGCTCTCATCTTGACCTGCATCCTGAAATTGCCTCTTCTCGCTAGCCTCTTCCAGGGGACTAGGAGGCTGTGAAGGATTCGGCTGGCCAAATTGTCGTCCGGGAGACAATCCCCGCCTTTCAGGTGGTGATCGACCAGTGAAGACCGGTGACCCAGAAGGTGTTGTTCCCTTAGATATCTCTCGAGACACATTTCCAGCTAGAGAACCTGAACCTCCAGACATAAGTATGGAGAGCAGCGGTGAGCGGATCGGCTTTGGAGTAACCTGGCCGCCAGAGATAGATGGGGTTCCCCGTCCATCTTCGTCGGGGCTATTGAAGAGGCGATCTGCTTTCGATGCTGATGGCTGGACTTCCGAACCTTTTGAAATACCCCGCGTCAAACTATGGAAAGAAAACGGATAGTCTGAAGGAAAGACATCTGTAGTATTTGAATGAGGAGGCTCAAGGGCCAGAAAGGATGTCGTTTGAACAGAAGCTGAAGAATCTTGTGACGGCCTGTAGTCGGAGTCGTTCGGGTCATCGTCGTCAAGTTGCAAGTATTGACTGGTTTGACGCGACCCGAAAATCGATTCCTGGTAGTTAGAATAGGAATCAGAGTGTGATTGAGATCGGGCATTCTCTACTCCTCGGAAACTATACTGCTTTCCAGCTGCCAATCCCTTCATGGACAACCCCTCTAATTTCTGAGAAACGACTCTATCAACTTCACTAGTTATAAACTCCTTCTCCGACGAGCAGATTTGATGCATCAGTAAGCCTAGAAATAAAGGAGTCACCCTCGTATTGGCCATTTCATCAAGTTCCATGGAGGCTCGGTCATCTAACAGGCCTTGGACTATCGGAAGAATGGCTCGTCGCTGCTCAACTGTCTTTTCGCGACGTTTCTTTGACAGGAAGAACGGACTATGACCAGAAGTTAAGCTGACAGTTGATTCATCGAATACATGTTGCCACTGTTCAATGTACGAAGACATCAAAGGTTTAAAAGCTCGTGTGGCCCAGGTATGCGCGTTGTCAAGGATCATTTGGAACATAACAACGTCGGCAAGCTTGGTCATTTCACCGTTCCAAATAACGCGCATAATCTCAATTAAAGTCAGCTAGAGAACATGGGTAATCCAAACAGATAGATAGACTTACACATCCCTCTTTGCGTCTCTTCACTGTTACCTCTGTGGTTTCTCGGTGGCCGCACGGGGCGTCGAAATCTGTGGCATAATACATGATCCATACTGTGACGCTAGGTCCGATAGTAGTGATGACGGGTATGGGGGGGATGTGCGCATGTTTCGGCAGCTTTACAGCATACTGAGCTGTGTGCCTAATCAAACCAATTGCGCACGCTGCAGCATTAGCGGCCTGGCAACACACATCTCGCACGGGCTGCTCTTCTCTCTTGTGTTCGACTACAAGCCAAGGGTAGCATTTGAGATTGGCCTCCAGTGGTGGTTTTTCAAAAAGGCGGGAAGGTGCTGGTTGGAGGCCAAATTCGTGTAATTTTTGAAGCGTTGACCATGTAAACGGTTCCGTGGCTGATATCTCTTGAGCCCTATTCCACTGTCTAGCATTGGGGTCTACCACAGTAGGAATGCCGGCCGGATGGCGGTCGTGATAAATGGGAAGGAAGAAAGCTTGGTCCGGTTTAGGGCAACTGAGGCTCTCAAATGGCCCTATTCCGGCCTCCTTATCTTTTTGAAACAGGTCCCAGAGCACATCGGTCTCTCTTGACGACTGTGTTAGCGTTTTGGTGGATAAAACAGAGGCACAAGTCTGCATACCTCGTAATTGCGTCGTAATAATATTTGTTGTACGACACGCTTGAGTTCACAATCAGCTCTAATGCCTCAATGAATTTTACAACAAGTTTACCGTCTAGTATCATCTTTGGATGATGAAAGAGAACCGTCAAGTCTCTGGAAAAAGTCCGCGTCGAAGAAGGTCTGCCACTTCGGCTCTTTGTAGCCACCGTTGACGAGACTGTGCGCCTTGCTCAGAGTCTTCTGCGCCGCAACTAGGGAAGGATCTGGATCCGGGCCATATAGTAAAGGCTTCAACTTATCATCGGAAATAAGCCCATTCTTATTGACCAAGCCTTCCCCGTTGACTACACAAGAAAGGTCCGTGATTAGTCTCCGTACGCGCTCTACGTGCGGAGGGAACACGTTGACCGGGATCAGGGGTCTCTTTTCATCGTAGAAAATGTTCTTTTGGCCAAGTTCGTATCGATCCCAAGTCATATTGTGCTAGAAGCGGGGAGAGTATACTGGTATGAGGGAATATCGAAGGCGAAAGAGGTTACATGTGAAGAACCACACGGCTATATATAGAGCAGCTAATCAGCCTTGACCCCTCGCTCGTACAGCGAATGATTCGGCGCTATTTCCGTTGTAGAAGTTTTCTCCTAGCTTCCCAGGGACTGGTCATTTTCTGTTGTCTCTTTTACTTGTTCGCTTTGACCATCTGTTGGTTGACCCATGCAACTTATCAACCAACTGCATAACATGGTGTCTCAGCTGTTGGCTAGTAAGGCTGATAGGGTGTAAATTGTGGAGTTAGTTCCATATGTGGAAGGTCCTCCGGCCACGCTGTATTGCGCAACTTATGGATACGGCGAAGCAACCTGCTGTCCCTTGAAGTTGGCCGAGGCGCAGCTGGTAACCATTTTCTTTCTATACATAAGCAATGCTTTCATCAACATTATCTATCTAAGTACTTAGATCTCTGACCAAGCTAGATGTGTTGGGCGCAGTTCCAGTATGCCATACGCCGATTAAAAACATTACGTTCGAGGATCCTGATTCACTCTCAACACCTCGTTGAGTACATCCTCAAGATTTCTCGTGCAGTTGTGAGGCGAAGCCAGCTGTCGACGGTCTGGGGCGGCGGTTCACTACAGTTCCTCACTTCTGATACCAATGAAAGATTATTGAAAGGAACGCCTCAGCCCAGTTGGAAACTAACGCACGGTGGCGGTGCTTGATCTAAGTATTTCCAAAAGTGGAACTACTAGGGCGCGTAACCTATTTTACCTAAAGCACTGCCTGTTAGCCTAACTTCCAGTTCCTCAGCCCGATCTCAGCATTAGTCCATCTCAAAGCGGAATGTATTCATTCCGCGGGATGGAAATGGTTTTCAGTGCATTTGGCCTTGACTCCTGAGATTTTAAATGATATAGAATTTGGCTATGTCAAGTCCAGAGTTGCCGGGCACATATTTCAATTAATCGAATCTATCAGGGTGAGCAGATAACAATCAATTGACTATTGTAACAACATGAGGCCTATTCTAAAATTCACCATACTTACAACAACCTTGAAGAGCATGTAACTAGTCTAAGTGCAATATGTCTCTATTGCTAATTCGATAGGGTCAAGTTTGCTCCAATGTGATTATAGATATCATTGGACCAGTCCCTTGGCGTATATGGGTCTGTACCACGTACTTTAGTTACTGGGAGCTGAAACGCGAAATAAACTGTAGTCCTACGTTTCCCTGTTGACTTATTTTTGCTCTCCCAAATGCTCAGGTTAAAACTACGCTAGCCCAGGATCAAGGCTAGAAGGGATTCCGTGAGCATCTAGATTGGTGCCAGAGTATCCTAGGGCTGAAAGAGATCAAATCACTGAACTCCGATAGTGAATCTTATTAGCCGATATTAGTTCTGAGGCCTGTAAAGCCATCTTTATTAGATGCGATGTTTTTATCTATGAACAATAAATGACTTGCTGTCAGTATTACCCGAGTAATTCGCTTCATCTAAGATAGTCAACACATGGGGAAGGTGGTTCTTGAAATGCCGGCAGATCCATCGTACCTCGATGCCAATGCTAATACTCAGAGCATTCTTTTCTAATCCTCTTGCTTCTTACTTTCTTGTTGGCGGCTTCGGAGGTCTCGGTAAAGCTTTGGCGGTTTGACTAGTGGAATGCAGGGCCAAGCATCTGGTGTTTCTCTCAAGGAGCGGCATGGCAGAGAGCAAGTTCTCTGCAGAACTTGGAGCCATGGGATGCAGTGTCATTATAGTAAAGGGGAGCGTCAACAATCTGGAGGATGTCGAAGATGCCATCAAAAAGGCCCCCTGTCCCATCAGAGGTGTCTTTCACTTTTTCATGGTGCAAATGGTAAGTTGCCAATGCAGACAGTATAGCAATCGACTGACCAGTATAGGACTCTCCTCTTCTGGATATGACGTGGAAAGATTGGAAGGATGCTAGCGAGCCCAGAGTGAATGGTACCTGGAACCTTCACCGAGCGCTTCATGGCCAGCCACTGGATCACTTCTGGTTAGCGAGCTCCGTAGTCACGGTTGCTTATCAGCCTGGCCAGAGCAACTACAAAGCCGGATGCGCATTCATCGAATCATTCTGCCAGTATAGACACTCTCTCGGTCTTCCCGCATTTGTACTCTCAATACGTAGTATCGAAGACATCGGATACTTGGCAGAGAATCCGTCAGCACTTCGCAGCATTAAACTCCAGGGCCTCCACCTTGTGAGAGAAAATGGGTTCCTCGAAAGTGTAGAGGCTTCACTGTTTATCTCGACATCAGGCGGCCGGAGCTCTACCAGCGATAGTTTCGAGAATCTCTCGTCAGGTGAACTGTCGCCATGGAAGAACAATGGCCATATTATTATGGGCTTGAGATCTCATCTTCACCTCGACGATCCCAAGAATCCTACCAATTGGCGTCGTGACCGTCGAATGGGCGCATATCACAACCTTTCAACAGGAGACCAAGCCGACACGCGAGGCGAGAGTAGTCAACTCAAGGTCTTTCTCCAGAGCGTCAGTGAAGGAAATGCCATTGAAACACTAGCAAAAGAAGAGTCTATTGGTTTTCTATCTATGGAGATCGGTACAAAGTTCAACGATTTTCTTCTCAGACCAGATGCGCCTGTTGATCCTGACCTCAAATTATCCGAGATGGGGCTTGATTCACTTACTGCGATTGAGTTGCGGCGATGGTTAGGCCAAGTCTTTGGATTGCAGGTTAGTGTGTTAGAGATGATTGAGGCTGCGTCGTTGAAGGAAGTTGGGCGGATTGTAGCGACCAGGTTGGGCGAGAAAATTAATCTACGGGACATGTGAAGATTTGCTTTTAGGTAGTAGTGGCTGTTGTGATTCATTTTGCTAATCTAATGGACCATATCGAAGATTTGGTACGAAATCCGCATGAACTTTGTTCTTGACCTCCTGAGGAATCTTGGCCATTGACTCAACGCCTTCAAGAAGAACCAATTGCTGCCCAGCCTTCGGGATGTTAGCTAATCCAGCGATCAAGTGTGAGGGGCAATATCGACTGACCCCAAAATGGTGAATCATATGACAGTGCAGCATGCTGGCTGCAGGGAAAGTAATCTGATACCGTATAACAGTCCAGTCGCCCGTAGCATTCCCAAGCCTACACCCGTCTCGAATTGGAGGGTCCTCAAAGTTGAAGAACTTCCCAGAGCCTTCATCGATAGCTTCTTCGACGGTTGCCCAGGGGAAGCCACCATGCCCATAACCAATGATCCAAGCCTTATGGTTATGTTTGTGGAACGGGTGTTGAGTCGTGACGTTGGCTCCATTCTCAAAGATAATATCTACAACAGATCCGTTCAGGAGAGATCCATGACCTCCAAATGTGGTATCACCTCGAGACTCATCCTCCCAGAGCAATGGGGGCAGTTGTTGGCGAAACGCCTGGTGAGATCCTAGTCCCAGCGACCATGCAGCCGGTCCAGTCATGTTCACAAAGAGCTTTAAAGTGCTATCCGCAGTGCGAGGGGGTGGTCTCTCAGGAAAAGGGGCCAGCTTTGTCTCATCCATAGCTGTCAATGACGATGACACTAGAGTGCCGTTGAGGTGGACCCAAGGTTTGGTGTTGGGCACAACAAAAACAGACTGGTCATTCGCTTTAGAGGCATAGCGGAGGATACCCAGGCCTTGAATGACCTGCTGGACGCGAAGAGACGTCAGCCTTATGGCGTAATCGCCTGGCTTCTGGTTCAGATGCACCAGTATACTATCAAGTTGTGTCAGCCTGCCAGTGGAGTTTTAGCGTGCGTGTGCAAATGGGGCTATTACCTGATGCGCTCTCCAAGATTGCAATTGGCAGCATGGACCTTTTGAGGGTGAACAAACTCTCCATCTGCAGCTACGACATAGAACTCATGCTCATCGATACTGATCTGTAGTTCATGATGTGCGCCAGAATGGATGAAGTTGATCCAAACCCATTCTTCACCCTCCTCAGCCATAATGACCTCAAGCTCCCCGTTAGTAGCTTTGCAACTCTGTGGATTGGCGTATATGTCCTGCCTATCCTGGAGCAAACAGCCTAGATCATTTCTCCCAGGTCCACCAGAGTCTTCAATGTCTTGTTTCGAATGGCAATACGTCCTGCCTTTTCCATTCAAGACAATGGAGTTGCTGCACCATGGAACTATATTCGTGTCCCGGTACATGATAAGCAGTATGTCCATCGGTTCAGCGTTCCAGTCGCTGATGACAATGTGTCGTGGGTTTGCTTCCGCACGCTGCATGCTCTTGATGTCGCTCGAGGATGATGAGATGGATTTGTAAGGTCGTGGACGCCATGACGCTGGTGATATCCAAATAGGTCCTCTTTGTCCATCTGCAAAAGCAGGACCAAAGTGGCCGTGGTAGAAATAACTTCCGTACTGCTGCTGAACCGTGAATCGATATGTGTAATTATCGCGGGGTTGGATTGAGTATTGTGTGACTCCTGGTACGCCGTCATTCCATGGTCTATCTACTTGATACACGCCGTGCCTAACTTATTAGCTACCGCGTCATCAGTTCTGGGTAGAGCTTACCAGTGCATAGTAGTCTCTGTAGCCAGCTGATTGTCAACAAAGACTTCAATCTCCTCGCCCTCTTCAGCTGTAACTAACGGGCCAGGAGTCTTCCCATTGATGGCAAAGACAGGCCGGCCATGACCATCAGCAGCACTCCATTGGCTAGTTACTGTGAAGTTATACCGACGCAGGCAGTTCGCAAAACAGCTGAACAGCAAGAGAAGGAAAGCAAAGCTTAGTATTCTAGGTGTCGTCATTGCAAAGTCTGAGGAGAAATGATTACAAGTAGGTTCGCAGCCAGTCGCTGGCCCCGGGGGGCTTGTCTACTTAGAACTAGAGCAGCAATACCATATAGGAGAGCTACGTTGGTATCGGCCCCATACTCTGCAGCGGAATAGTCTTGGTGAAGATCAAACTAGACTAAAAAGTGCCGAATTCCAAGAATAAGGCGATGTGCCATCTTCCTCTCTAACGCCCGGCACTGCAGCCTCATCTCCACTCCTATCGGCTCTGGTGTACTTTAGGGCAATCAAGGTGACGATCTGATGGCGCTCCGCGGTTGGAGGATGCGGAGACGAGACCAAAGGCTGTGGAGGCGAAAGACGGGGTTCATTGTCGAATGACAAGGTCTATTACGAACCTGCTGATGCGTTCTACCGAGAGTTTATGATCTCTTGCTTCTATCTAGAGCGGCAATGAGTGTTCTTGGAGAATCTGGGTCTAGTTTATAGTGTTTCCGAATCCAGTATTCTGTCCTATCCGCACGAAATATTAGTTATTCCATGCCTCGTAATGGCAATCCAAGATCTTTCCTTTGCCTTGTGACTACTCTTCTCTCCAGACAGTAAAGCCTTCTCGCTATCTTCGATGCTCGATACTAAACTCTGTAACATCAAGACTCGCAGATCTCGCAATCGGCATCTTCTTTGGTCCCCTAGTCCGTGCTATCTGACGCTTTGCCCTGACTCGAAATTTCCTCTCAGAACAGTAATAGGGTTGATCGCAATACTCGTTAGTCGAAACAGCTTCTCCATAGTCCCCACCTCAGCCAACTTGTAAGCCTTGAAAAGCGACTCGCTCACTCGTTCATGAACGAGCTTGGTCAAGATAGCCTGGCTTATAACCAAGGAAACAAGGACTAAGAATATGCTTTAAACTATTTGTAGCATAGGTCTGCTCAGGTACTCGATTATCGCACCAATCCACGTTTCAGACGCAGAACCCACTATGGGCAGGGCTTAGAAGTTTAACTTGTGGGCTCGCGAGACAGATCTCTTCTGTATCGAGGTACTATCTCCGACTTTAATCGACAAGTGAATTTCGATGATTTCAGCAAGCATTACTCATCAGAATCCGGACACAGTGTATACAACGTACAGACTGTCGATGATGAAATTTAGGATTTGGTAGCGGCCGCAGATGAAGACCAACCGAGGTGAGAGTGTCGATCAGGCACCAATACTTCGGCATATTCTTTGTGTATCATTGCCTGCGAATTTGCTATCAAAAGATCTGTTCATGCTTGGCTAGAATCACTGGATTGTTGTACAACTTTCTTGCAAGATGAGCTCCAAACAGACCGCCCTCGCAGAGACGAAGCAATTTCGCTCGACTTCCTGGAACGTCTGGCTATTTCTTGCTGTCCTGACTCCCTTTACGATCATTCTTCTGTTCTGGCACGACAATCTCCACCCAGTATTATCATACTGGCCTGAATGGAATGCCCCAACTGAGAAGCCTCACGCTTTGGTTCGTAGCTATTATCTGGAAACAGGTGTAAGATGGATGAATCCAGATGGTGGTCGGTGGAGAGTCATGTTCACTTGCAATGGCCAAACACCATGTCCAATTATTTATGCTGATGAAGGTGATATTGTCAAGTTGTCCGTCAAAAGCGATATTTACGCGCAGTCCTCAATCCACTTGTATGTCATCAGCTTCTTGACCAGGAGACGTCTGGCTAACAAGATACTTCGAGATCCGGAATTGGGCACAAACAGTAAGTTACGTTTCCAAATACTCATGACATCAACTAGCTCAACTCTCGGTAGGACTGTTGGTTCCTGGAACGATGGAACAGCGGGACTATCTCAGGTAATCGTCGACCTTGATGGGACTTCTGTGTAGCTGTCGGTAACATATTGTAGTTTCCAACTCTTCCAAGGAGTAATTGGACCAACGCATACGACACATCAGGATCATGGGGGCTGAACTGGTTCATCGATCATACCGCGACAGCTTCGGCCGACGTAAGTCAGACAACTCACGAGCCCGCTATGGCTCTTGTTCACAACAATGACTGACATTTCTCGTAAGGGACTTGCTGGAGCTCTTTACGTAGCGCCTTCACCAGACCGCCCTCGACCATATCACCTCATCACAAACGATACTCTTGAGCTGCGCCAAATCAGCCAGGCGGAACGTGAGATCCAACACCTCATCATTCAGAGCCATCAACATCGCGACACAGTTTGGAAGCTACTTCGAATGAGAGCCGAAGGTTCAGAGTACTACTGCTATGATTCCATTCTGGTGAACGGTATGTATGCAATAACTTTGCTTTGTTAACAACGAGCTAATCGCACAACCTTAGGAAAGGGGCGTGTGCATTGCCGTCAGCCAGATTATGATCATATCAAGGGGCAGAAACTTGATCAAAAGGGCTGCATTCAGCCCCCAGGTCTGCCAGACGAGACCTGTAAGCAAAGCTTGGCAGACTACGAGGTATAATCCCCTTTTCTGGACGTATCGATCCGTCGACTTACCATTGCGAAAGGTTATCGAAACCCAAGGTCGGAGGTACATGATGCTGAATCTGATGAACATCGGTTTTGAGCATTCCGTCAAAGTGTCTATTGACCATCACAAGATGATTGTCGTGGCTAACAATGCCGGCTTTATCGTGCCTGAAGAGGCAGATGTAGGTCCATTCTTTCTCGATTGCGAATTCAACTGATGTTGGGCAGGTTTTGCATATTCCAAGTGCAAGCCGAGTGACGATTCTGGTCCGTCTCGATGCTGAGCCACGTGACTATGCTATTCGGATTTCTTCAACCAGTGTGCTGCAGAACCTCCATGGCTATGCTGTTCTCAGATATCCTGTATGTGTAAGCACGTAGTGATGTACCCAAATATGGCTAACCTGCCACAGGCGAAGCGTTTGCCCCGATATGGCGAGCCCATGGCGCTCCCTTCAGTAGCGCCAGGTCTAGTCTGCGTTCTTCCCGACGGCGGCACGCAACCCAACTGCAGCACAGCAGAAGGTCAACTACTCCCACCTTATCCCCCGCAACCACCACCATCAGCGGGCAAACAACATCTAGGCAAAGCAGACTTCACGTTCAGACTATCAGCAGGGTCTCAGCGATCAAAGACAGAAAAGTATGTCCCAGAATACTTCCTCAATGAGAAGCCATGGCAGCTGTACCACGGCTCGATGCTCCCTCTCTTGTTCCATGCACCCAACGAAACACTCGTCAAGCCTATCATCGGCAATCTTCCTCTGGGTTCTGTCGTCGACCTCATCATTGAGAATCAGATCAATGAGACGATTCCACTCTACAAGCACGGGGATCCGTCGTGGTTCCTGGGTTCGCGTGGGCAGCAGAGGTTCCCGGGAAATACAGTTCAAGATGCAATTGACAGTGACAGCAAGTCGCTGAACTTGCAAGATCCGGCGTTGGTCATTGTGCATGACCTACCAGCGCTTGGCTGGAGTGTCTTGAGATTCAAGGTGACGTCGCAGCAAGCGACAATAATTCATGCTGCCAAGCTGAGATATTTTGCTGTAAGTTCATGTTCCCAGGCGGGCATCCACGGTTCACTTACTGATGGGGGACAGTTGGGCATGAGTGCGCCGATCTTGGAGGGAATTACAGAGGATACTCCAATTAAAGTTCCAGAGTCGGTGGTGAATCGGCCTCATGTTGAGTTCAAACCAGCTCATGACGGAATCTTCGGGTGAGCTTTCAGAGTCTAGGATGAATGTAGCCAGAGAGTGGGGATGGGCTTGCATACCTTGTAGTTCGAGCCCTGGAGATATTCTGGCTACATCAACAGATCGTCTGGCGGAAACATCATCATGATTATAAAGGGAGATATTAATAGACCTTGACATTATGTCAATTGGTTCACTTGTGATTCACTCCGGCTCGGTGGAAGTCTTGGCCACGATTAAGCAAGTTGTTCCACGCGAAGTTGCCATAGCCTTCATGTCATGGCAGATGGTTTAGGTGCCTACAATGCATCTACATAGCCTCCAATGTCACCATCATCTAGCACATACGACCAAAGGTAGTGGAAAATACGGGATCCCGTCCGCTCTCCCATAGTCAAGCCACTAACCGGCGGATTAGTAGTTGGGTCGGTGACGACCAGCGAATCCCCGCTGTTGTATGTTTTTTGCCTGTCTCGACAAGTAGAAGAGGCGCTATTCTTTTTGGTGGGTCTGAGTGGGACGGCAATGGTTGATGTGAGGATGATGTCGTGGTTAGAGGGATGCTCAAACTCGGATATTACAGGAGAGATAGAGCATAATAGGCTTTCGAGAAATGAATCGAGAACAGGATGTAGATACAGAGTAATCACGGAGGTGAGTCAATTGCGGGAATGTTCCAGGATGCCATGGTATCGAGTGGTCACGCTTTGAATGCCTGTCTAAAGGTACCGCATCAAGACGTATCCTTGATTGCGATAGGTCTCATGCGTTCAACGACGGCGACGCTCAGGTGAAAGATTGGTGCGGACGAAGCGTAAGCGACGTTTTGGGTTTAGGCAGGCAGCGTTTCGTTCGCATCCCATATACGCGTGCTGGTGTTATCCTGGCATCTCATGGGTTTGGTGCTAGAGGAGGCAAATCGCAGTGTATTCGGTCAAAGGGATAATGGCGATGATTGCGATGGAGGACATGCTCGAGGTAGGGGGTAGCATGGTCAATGGGGGGAGATGATCGCTTCGCGTATACTGCAATGTCTTGACCTGGTAAATGCGATGTTTCATATCGACCACAATGAGTTCCCGCCTATTGCGGCCTCATGACAACGCCATAGCACAGTTTGGTGTAATGCCAAAGGGCTATTGTCGCGCCGTGTATCTGCCGCTGTTGGTGTGTTTGCGCATACTGGAAGGAACCAGTCGGTGACGGACTCGTTCAGAGCATTTCGTCGATCTACGCGGAATGCTCCGTCTCGCAATGCTAAGGGCCGGCGGGCGATGGCTTGCGCTCGCCTGGTGGCGCAAGACGCTTGGGCGAGAAGCAGCAACGCAGATGAAGCAAGCGTCAAGAGCAAACGATATGGGTCGACGAGGCGGGTAGGACGTGGAGGAGGTTTCCAAGCATCCTTCAATCGTTCAAGCCTCAGTGCGTACGATTTGGGGAGGGCATTTCGAGCGGTCGCACGCTGGTGGCTGATTTGACGGTATCAAGCCTTGGCATAGGAGATCGTGTGTCGCATCGTGATGCACGTCTTGAGAGACTGTTGCTGATGAACTGCCATGGTCGACAAATGTGTGCTTCTCCCAAGTTGACTCCATGGCAAGGGTCACACCAAGGAGAACCCCGGATTAATCTTACCCCGCGCTTACTGTGCTTGAGTGCTAAGCAGCAGGCATTCGTTACCCTGCAGCAATTTCCGATTTCTAGCAGATTAATCGCTACTCCGTACAGAATGTGTAGTATGATTACAAGCTTGAAATAATGACTGCAAGTAATCTAGTTTATGACATTTCAAGTCGTGATGCATTAAAAATTATGGAAATGTTCAGGAGAGCAAGTTTACTAAAGCGTTACCTTTTCGCATTCATTTGATTCTGTACGATAAAGCTTATTCTAGATCTTCAGGGCTGAGGCAGTAATCCCTGTCCCGCGTCACCATATCCGACTCTGATTGGCCAGGGGCAAAAGCCCCGCTGCAGGCTTTCACGTCAGACGCGTCTAAAAAGAACGACGTCATCGTTAATCGCCAAGATTTGCATCACGATCTCAAATTCGCCTGCAAGATCATCACTCACTTTGCGCCTCCATCGCCAAACCTTCTCATCCCCATAAACTCCTCACGTTACCACCAAAACAACACCATCGCAAATAACTCGATGGACTTTTCCTGCCACGTCCGCATAAACAACGAATCCTCAGAGGATCTCCTCCTCGAAGACTCCGGCCTCGAGAGCGGGAATTGGCCATTACGTCAGCCCCTCAATGTGATTGAAGCGGGAACTCAACAGACCATCTACCTCGCGCAGCCGAGCTGGGGAGGTTCAAAAGCATGGGTCACGTATGAAGCGAGATATGGTCAAGGATGGAGGAATTTCACGCTCGAGTTTGAGTGTCCTGCTATACCGCTCTCAAAGAACCATGTCAAGGTGAAAGATTGCTCGAGGGTCTTTGAGATTGATGTTACGGATGTTCAAGAGCGGGGGAGTCCTTTGACTGGTATGTTTTGAGTCTTTGTTATCGTGAGTGTGCTGACAGATTAGCGAATGTAACGATCCGAATGGACTCTAAAAAGTCTTTGACCACCAAGAACGATGATTTCCGAGCAAACTATGACATCGGCGTCGGCGTCTCATTCCCCACGAAAATGGACATAAAATTCCCCGTTCACGAAAGCATAGTCGTAGCAGCATTTATCGAGTCCGACATGACTTTCCCCCGCGGAACAGTCTACAACAACATCAACGACAAGCAATGGGAGTTTTTCCGCGGCGTAGTCTGGAACGACGATCCGTCTTGTCTACTCTTCGAGGACGTCACCGAAGACAATCGCATGTTTGGCTTAGGTGTCGAGTGGCTAAATGCTTTCAAGTTTGGCGATGAGAAATGCATGACCAAGCGATCGCACATGGGAGATCTTCAGTTCTTTCACGGTATGGGCTCAGTGATGGGCGAGAAACCGCAGAAGACGCGCAAGAACATCCTTACGTGGATGGAGGTCATGTACAAGCTTGCATGCGGCGATCAAGGAATTTCCGAAGACGACACTCTCGACAACGTTCTACCAGGTTTCTTCACTAAAGAGACCGTCCCCTCAAAATCCGACACCCTCCGCGATCTAATCCTGGCCACAACACCAAAATACAAAGACGCCAACATCCGCAAACGCGCATTCGGCATCTGTCTCCACATGATCTCCGACTCCTACGCCCTAGGCCACACGCAGCGCCGCCTACGCAACCCGTCCGACCTGATCGAGCGCGACACAGCAGGCTACATCCGCTTCAAGCCCGACACCTACGGCGACTGGGGCTCTATTCTTTGCTTCCACACATACAACGACCAAGACGGTGATCGCCATTCCCACTACGATGATAAAGACGGTGAACAAGATCCTGCGCCGAGGGATGTTACCACGTTTAATGAGATGATAGGAGCGAGGAACGCTATTGCTGGTTGTACAGAGATGATTAATCTGTTTATTAAGAAGACGCCTTGGAAGGAGGGTGTGAAGAAGTTTTTGGAGGATGAGATTTTTGTGCTGGACAGGGATGTTAAGCCGTCTGACCATTTTACTGATGAGAGTGTTGTTTCGTATGTTTATGCGCAGAGGGATGAGGAGATTGAGTATCGGGCGGGTTTGGAGAGGAAACTTGCTTCTTTGGAGGAGGGTGGACTGAGTGTTGCGCCGAATCGGTGCGATGGAAGGTCAAGGGTTGTTACGGCGCTGGCAATGATTTGCCTTTTCATCAGCGCCATCTTCTTTACGTTCTTTACGATGAGGATTCACGGGCTTATGATGTGTTAGGGAAATGATGATTTGGGATTGAGGGCACAGGGACAAATTGGGATATTGGGTTGATGGCAATGGTTGGGACAGCGTTGTATTTATCATTATACCACTCCAAAATTGATAATTTGTAATACCGCAATCCATTGTCTGATCCATATATTGTATCTGCCCTTCGTCTCGTTCAATATCCATGACATCAAGCCGATGTCGGTCGAAGGGCTAGTGTGATCTTCACCTCGTGCGCCCATTACGCAACCACCTTCCGCGCCGTCTTGTAAATGGCTATAAGTAATCTTGCTCACTGAGAGGTGTTTTGAATTCTTGACTTACCAATCAGAGATCATCAAACGACCATATCCAATCTTAGCATCCTCTTTTGGCCATGCCCTATTGCGATCGTCTGAATGATCCAAACGATTAAACAAAACGTGTAGACGATTTTTCATATGGAACTGGTTTGCCCCTCCGATCTGTCCATTCTCTGAGAGACTTTGGTGGCTGCACGAGAGTGAAACGTCCTCGTCGTAGGGGTGCGTTCGATGGTGTTGCATAGCAGTCGGTGCTGACTGGTCGTGCTGGGACGTGCAACCCGGCGGTTGAGCCACGGTCTGAGTAGCGAGATCTCATTGCGCGTGAGAAATATTATGAGAGAAGTAGGCGAGCCTTGGGAGAAGTTGACGTGAGTCTGAGAGAACGAGTTCTGGCTCACGAATTGATGAAATGTTAATCGGGTCAGCAAAGTCAGAAACCAGTATTTTATATCCAAGAAGACACAAAGTTTATTTCCCCTTGAGTCTAACTTATTGAAAAGGTTCTCCTTGTAGGGCTAACAGCATTTTGGTTCAAGGGATTCTGCCAGAGGTGAATAATGCATCTTGCATATTTGTTTGGTGAAGTTATCGCCGCTGGAACTCACTCTTACTGGCCTGCACCTCAAAGTCAAACGCTAACTCAAGTTTGATCCAATAAGGCACCTCGCCAAGTGTCAACAAAAAAGCATATTAAGGCTGTGTGAACGGTCTAGTCCAGTAACTAATTCGCATGCACGCACAACATCCTTTGTTGTTAGCAGAGACGTAGAAGGTATACTAGTCTCTTATTATATCTCCTTCTGCTTACAACAAATAGGTCAATGGACCCCACGAGAAATGCAGAAAGAGAAATGAAAGGGAAAGAAATATGCCATTTTTCAAAAGGCACTGGAGCAGTAATCAAGCAAAAAGACAAATTCGTAAAAACATGAAAAAGAACGGGCTCCACCGGGGATTGAACCCGGGACCTCTCGCACCCAAAGCGAGAATCATACCTCTAGACCATGAAGCCGATTTTAGTAATTGTTAATAATCGGCTTCAGAGTGAAATTTATATACCCCGCCCAGTCTGGTCGTTTTCACAACAGCAGCATCATCAGCACAGGAACCTTCAGGTGGAACTCCCTGTACTCCACGCCAGACACAGCCCTGAGACCGAATCACGCTACTCGCAAAGTCTCGTTCCCATTGAAACACGATATCCGCGGCTTCCCGAGCTCTGGATCAAGCGGCACGCCAAGAATTTGTATTTCGCCATCAGGGTCAACACCACATCATATGCATCCTCTATCGCGAGTCATCTATCACAAAAGCTGCACCTCTTGGCCATTGCATATGTCAAAGATCACCCGGCAGTTACTATTCGGACCACTCTTTTCGTCACCAATCACATCTCTCACAAACAATCCTCATCACCTCATGACTTCCTCAAACCTGGAAGCAGCATTTATCTCCCTCCAGTTCAAATCACACACAAAAGGACCTTCCCGATTAACCTTCGCTTAAGCACAAAGTTATAGATCCAGACATTATAGCGTAGATCAGGCGTCACGAATAGCCCAATCGAGAAGACTGCGGTGCAGGTCTGCCACCGTAGTATTCAATGTTAATATCTCTTGCATATACTTTCGGGGAGCGCGCCTCCCGCCAAGATGAGACAAACTCTATTAAGGTCTTCAATCTTGGCGTTGATCTTTAACTCGAATGGTTTGAAGCCCGTTATCAGTCATGAAATGCCGTCTACCGATTGGTCCACCATGTTCACATCCTTGCATGCGTTCGTCAAGGCTCTGCGGGACGCCGGCAGCAAACCCCAGTTTATCACCGCGGCAATTGCGACGAACTCCATACCTATTCATTGCTAAGACTTGTCTGTTTCAAGAAGAGAAGGTGCAGAATCTCAATCCAATTGTGGATATTGGGGACAGAAATGACAAAAGCCACGTTGCCGAGACAAGGATCTTGATTGGGGTTTGGTTGATAAGAACTGCAGCGCCGTTATACGCAAGGTCGCGAATGTAACGTTAAGAAAATACTCGAGTCAGTCGCAGGTTGGAGTTTCCCAATGTAGCTGTGCTAGGGGTAGTCAAGATGAAACACGGCAATTCAAGGACAGGACGGTAATACCGGCACCACCTGATTCTTCACGGTCATATCCTTCAACCTTACCATCAATAGCCTCAACCTTGACAAAAAGAGGCGGAATGCCCAGAATAAAAACGGTGACGTCGTCATCACATTTCCTAAAACTATGCATAATCCGAAACTTAAATAGAACCAAGACTCTCGCTCGCAACACGAGGTTCAAAAACATCCCTGGCGACCCGCCTCGTTTCGGACGAGTTGACCCCCTGATAATGGTAGCCGAGCCCGCTGTATAATATGGAGAATGCAACGAATATGTCCCACCGCTAATCACGAGGTTTGTTCTGTTAGGATTTGTATAATGATTTGCATTGCCGTAGCTGTTAAAAGCCCCCATGTCTCGCTCATTTCAGGTCCTGGGGAGTTTCTGGTACAAGACTATGCACGATGGATGTTGACCCTTTGGTAGTTGCTGTCTTTGGCCCACCGCCTGAGGGGATAGATCTCTCGGCTAATAGTGAGGCCAAGAATGCTGCTGTTGTTCTTACCTTGTTGCTTATCTCTGCTTTGTTTTTGGCGGGACGCCTTGTGATTCGCACGCAGCAGGTTTATGGTTTGAGTCTTGATGACTATGCGATTATTGTATCGTGGGTCTTTGTGGCTGCTACTGGGGCCATGGTAGTAGTTGGTAAGTCAATCGGTTCTTTTGATTGATAATTACTAATATTGTTAGTTGGCCAAGCTGGCGCTGGTAAGCATGTCTGGGCACTAACAATAGATCAGATGGTTGAGGTCTCCAAGGTTCGTCAGCGTCATGTATTAAGTTTCTCATACTAATGCCGTTAGCTCTCATACATATACAGTTATCTCTTCGCAATTTCCGTCTTCACAACAAAAGTATCGATCCTCCTCTTCTACCGACGAATATTCAGCCGAGGTAGCCTCTCATTCAAGATCGCCTTTTGGTTTGGTACCTTCTTGGTGGCATCGTATCCCGTGATATTCCTTTTCACCATGGTGTTTTGCTGTACACCTTTGAGCCATTACTGGACACAGTTCAAAGGGACTGAGGGAACATGTATCGACGTTGGTCAGTTCTTTGTCATTCTGGCCATCATCAATCTCTTCACCAACGTCATTGTGCTGTTGATCCCAGTGCCTGAAGTGCTCAAGCTTCAGATGAGTCGAGAGAAGAAGGGAGCTGTGTTTGGCGTCTTGGCTCTTGGAGGCCTGTAAGTCACAACGATTGTTTGTCCAGAATATTACTAACATTACGCAGAGTCTGCATCGCCAGTGCTGTACGCGTATACTATCTAGACGTCTTCTCCAAAGCCGCCGATAACACATGGGCCATGGGCACCGTAGCCATATGGTCCTCAGTCGAGCCATCAATGGGCATAGTATCAGCCTGCCTCCCCAGCTTCAAGTCGTTCTTGCGATACCTGCGCCGCAAAGGCGGTAGCAAAAGCAGATCAAGTTTCCCAACCATCTCCAACGGAGGAAAAGGAAACAGACTACGATTTGATGATGAGATTGCGCTGAGAAGTCAGATAGTTGGTGGTGAGGGAAGTATGCATAGTGGACGGGGAAGTGAGGCTGGAAGACAGATTTATGTCAAGACGGATGTGGAGCAGGTCATTACTGAGATACCCGAGGCAATGAGGCGAAGCAATGTTTGAAGTGATACCAATTGAGTTTTTACTTTGCGCTGCATATATAGAAGCGACATGAAATTTATATCTCTAGTATTTGTATATGAAGATTTCAAGAATTGGTTTGGTGTCTGATGTATTCATATCGGTTTCCAGTATCCCGCTGTCTGTCTCCCAATTAGAACTTGGAAACATTCGCTCGCCCAACATCGATACCAAATCTGCCAGGAGTTCTTTGACCTTCCTGTGCCTCATCTGGAACATCTCTGTCTCCCAATGTACTCGCATCATCATTCGGCTCTTCGGACTCCACCGAAGCTTCTTCTTTCTGCCACCACCCAAGACTAAACACCCAGCCATCGAAAACCTCCTTCAGCTGTCCATCAGTCATGTGCTCAGCTCCTTGCGGTATAATACCTGCATCTCGATCGCATAGCTGAGATCCAGCCAGGAATGCCATGGTACTCGCAATACTGCACGGATTGCGCGGAAGTGTTCCGTCTATCTTTACAAGAAGGTAGCTCGCCAAACTAAGGAGGGCCATTAAACCTAGGAGAATTTGTAGTAGGAGCTTTGAAGTCGTGTGAATGGCGAGACGAGTGACTTGTGCAGATGTCGTCCCAGTTATCTCGGTAGCGACTGATGATGGCCTCGCGTTCGGCAAAGCTTCGGCGGAGATGAGATCGTCATGAGCGTTGCTGCTATTTGCACGAAAGTTAAGATCAATTACGTGTCTCATGTATTCACTGTAGTCTCTTTGGACAGCGCGAATCAACTTCTCAGTGTTGCTTGGCCCAAGGAGACTCTCCCTTTCTATTCTGTTAGGACCATGCAGTAGGTGATCAAAAAAGGGATCGTCGTCTTCATCAAACGTCCTGGTATCAGGTTCATCGATTGGAAACGGCGTTAGATCGGCGTCGAGAAAGCGTCCAGGCTGGTATCCGAATGCTTTGGACTTTGAGGTACCATTGATCCATCTCCATGCCTTTTCTAATTCCAGCTTCGGTGGATGTTGCTCATTAATCTCTCTGAGGGACGGATTGCCCTTGTATGTGACGGTTACAGGGACTTGTTCAAGTCCCTGAGTGCATACTAAAGCTGTCATGTTCCAATCGGATGTATCGTTGCTTCCCATCTGTCCAAAGAGCACTCCGATCGTCGGACAAGAGGCATTGGAACCAGCCAGAATTGTGTTCAGATCCAGGAACCTGCCAACCCACCTCGGGGCTTCAAAAGCTCCCCTTCCCTCCGTCGCAGTGCCAAATGAGAAGGTGCCGTCTGTATCATGGCCTTCACAGCCTTCTGGACGACGAAGGGTTACTCTTGTGCGTTTGAACGAACAGTCCTGCTCCTCGTCATTGGCTACAAGACGACAGCCAACGTCCCTCCACATTGTCATTGTCAGATTCTCTTGTGGAGCTACGGAGCAGTCAAGTAGTGGCCGTAACCCTCCTATGGCGTATGTGTAGTTGGCAGATCGGTATATATCATCAGATATGGGAGTAGATGAGGTAAGGCTGACACGTGGTAGCACCAAATCTTGCCAAATACTAGAGGACGTGTTGGCACCGCCATATCGAACCAGATTGAGAATCATTGCTGCCCCGCCATCGTCAACAGCCCCAACAGGCCACGTAGACCGCCAATTTCCCACCATGGCAGAGAATGGTCCCTCTAAGGTGACAGGACCAGTGAGAGTCCACAGACCAGATACGATAATTGTAAGAAAGCTGCTCAAGAGATAGGAGATGTTGGAAGCGGCGGGGCCAAAATGACAAGCCCTCAATGACTTGAAGAAGACCAGGAATGGAGACACAGAGAGCAAATGAAACAAGATGCTTCTTTCAGGGGGTGAATTGGCTCCCCGAAGACTGCTATAAGGAGCAAAGGCTGTTATAGTGAAATCTAGGCTGTTGACCAATGTGGCTATGGCAAAGACAGTAGCCGTCGAAGCTATGCGTATTGTGTATGAAATGGAGGTTGAGTCGGTCCTATGCATATCAACAAGACCTTGCCTCTTGTTCGACAGTTGTTGTAAGAGTTCAAGACCTCCTATGGCCAACAAAGGAAATGCCAGTGTTGCGACGACAAACCGACGCCGCCCAGATATCGGGGTCCAGGATTTCCTATCCTTCAAGCTCTTTGGTTCGGACTTATCGCTCAGCGAGGGGCTTTCCTCACTAGTTTCAACACCAAGATTCCCGGGAGAATTAACAACTGTCTTGAATGTAATGTCTTTCAAGCTATCAGCCAGCTCCTTTTCGCTTGACTGCCCCTCGCTCCGTAGCAAATCTTGCAGTGATGGACTGTTGATTAATATAGCGGCATGGCCAGCGATTGAACCGCACATAGAAGGGATCCAGAGACTCTCGGGAGAGAAAATGAGCATCAGGAAGCATATTGCCGCCAATACTGAGAAGCTTGCAGCCATAGTACAAACAGCCAGAGTCCGCATATGAAGCCGAGTCTCATTTACCAAGCCTTTGGCGGTGCCATTTGTAAGTTTGTTCACTAGCAATGACTCTCGAGCAAACTCGTCAAGCAGCCCTTCTAGAATGTCAATGGAAATATTTCTGAGTACAAAGGGCTGCCAGAGAATGCTAGGCTTGAAGTGTTCCCCAAGCTTTACAGCGATTAGTTGAGCAAATGCATCGCCAGCGCCACAGCCCATGTCAGTGACACCAGGCTCGATTGTCATGATAGGTACATTCTTATCAACAACGAGAGCCGTCGACGAAGTGTCAAGATTTGTTATAAGCATTTCTGCCAGGGATGAGTTGGTCAAATTCTTCAACTGTCTTCCCCCATTCATCTCCACAGGATTCAACGAGACGTCCCCGGAAAGCACATCTAGAGTTGCGGAACCTGACACAATATTATACCCAATCTTGCATATAACAGCCGAATGATTGACGAGGCTTATGGCTTGGGAGACGTTATGCTCCGCGACATCCATATCAATCGTGTACTGCGCGACTGTAATCGCGTATCGAATGTCATGGTCCTCTAAATCATCTGACCAGCGATACTCAGCATCACCATCATGTGTAAGACTCGTTGAACAGTTTGCACGATGAAGACTGTATGCCCGGGGCGTTTCTCCGCAGGTCGTAATGTTGTAACCCGAAGCCCTATGATCAGGACAAAGATAAGCATCATGCCTTCCTGTAGAGCAAGTGTCTGAGGTCCAAGAGTACTCCACACGACTCCTACGAACATCATAGTCGATAGATAAAGTGGCCTCTTCGCAGGCGACATGTGGAACGAAAACATCGACGGGAGCTTCGAGTGCTGTTAGGTTGAACACCGATTGTGGCGGGGTGAATCTCTGCGTCACTCTTCCATCAACAGTTTTCCAAGTAGAATCATTTGCCACGGCATTGTTCAGGCGTGCGAGATAGTGCCAGATGCCCTGATCGGAGCCCCCGCTGAAGAAGACACAGTCTTCAAATTGCAAGGTTGAGTAGAAAGCCGGAGAGGTCCAAGCTTTCTCTGCGTCGAAAACATCTCGGTATGTGATGTTGAACAATTGATGGTGGAGGGATGATTGAACGGAAAAGAGGGTAGTGGAGATAAGGATAGTGCCTTTGAGGATGAAAAAGGACAAGATTGTCGCAACAACTCGGTAATGGCCAATTCTGAAAGCGTGGAATGCGCTGAATGGCTGGAAGGGCGAAACATAATCGAGAAGCAAAGACTTGGATGCAACCACAGGCCCAGATTGAAGTTCTCTCCAAGGTTCAGCTGATTTAAAATAATAATCGACCCGTCTCCAGAGACTCAGGACGATGACAAGGATGGCGGTTGGGCCATAAGTCCAAGTATACTCGCTGGAGGAGAAGTTGAGCGGGAAACCATCCTGAGCGTCAGAGACGTACTTGAGAACGATAAGAGAGGCGGCCAGGGTGATGAAAATAACACAAAACATGAGCAATGCATACTTGCTTAGCCAAAATGGCGGTTTTGTTTGCTTATCGGTGTTTGACGTAGATGTTCCTTTGGCGGTATTGTCAGGAGAAGGCTCATCCTCGGTAGGGCTCTGTTCAAAGAGAAGATGCGATCTCTCTGGAACGCTGTCTGGGGTTGGGGCAGCCATTGAATATGGTGAGATTGATAGATTGATCTATTACGAGAAGAACATGGAAGAGGATATTGACATGCCGTAAAACCCTCTCATTGTGGTATTTATTGACTCAAACTACCCAGATCTGTGTTTCACAGCCATATGACTAAATAAGCAGCGACTCCGATGCTGAAGGAGGCGATGCCCTTAGAGGCATCAGGGCTTAGACCCTTGTGTTCCGTTGGATTATCCAATCGTAACTTGGAGTATAGACTCCTGTTTCACCTAGAGAGGAGCCGATGGTAATAAATAGAGCACCACCAGGTGATTATAAAGAAGCTGGTAAGTATATACTCTGCTCCGATGATGATTACACAGATAGATTAATGATACGATTTCGACGTAGTTTCGTTGATAATCTTGACACCTTTCACTGACTTTACGTGATTAATGGCAGCTTGAGGTGAGGGGGCATATACGCCACCGCATTACACAAGGGGCTGGCTGGGCGACACAGAGCATGGCTATGTCGTCAACTGTTGCATGTACAGGGAACACGAGCAAGAACATAATGATTAGCCGTGCAATCGTAGGTGACTAAGTATATCTTCTCTACCCCAAAGCCCGACTCGTAAATGTCATTTCCATCAATGGGTCGCCCACTCAGAGGTGATGTACAGCCAAGCCGGTCAGCATTTCAAGGCTCAACAAACCCATAAATTGAGGGACAAGGTTGTCGGGTGTCACAGGGCTTATCGTTTGTATCCCATTACTAAGCCAATGGCAGGTTAAGGGCGGAGTCTTGTCTCACATGGCGAAAGAGGGTTTGGCAAGCCATTTGTCGACAAAGAAAGGAATGAATTAACAGGGGAGGCTGAAAAAAGATGACTTCTGTGGGCTGAAGCATGATCATAGAACTTACTTACACGCAAACCTGACATGTATTTGGCTTCATATTCCTGAACGGTGACTTGAAGTGAGAAGACTTGTGCCGCGGCATTAGACAAATAGCGACTCCGGTCACACAAGGCTGGCTGTACCATCATCTGTAACATACACTGGGCGTTACACGTTACACAAATAGGCAACTACGTGCAGAATACGATACTTAGGCTCAAAACTCCAGTGGCTGAGTATACTAATAATAGCATTTAAACCTCTACATATCCCAAACCATACAAGAGTTTGCAGACACCGCCCAAATCAGCTGTAAGAAACTGTTACCAAAAGATCGGAAGGTCTACAGTCGTTTCCCAATCCATATTCGACTCTTTCAACTCTATCCTGTCAATGCAAGTACCAAAGATCTTATCCCACAAACGAGTCTGCTTGCCATAGTTACCGCTCGCCTTCCAGCCCTTCCGGTGATGAAGATCATGGTCTTCAATCACAAGCTCAGCATCAAGCAGACGAAGCAGCCAGCTCAGAGTGCCAGGTGGTGACGTGTAGACACGCAGGCCACTATGGCCACCCAGTTCGGTGAACATGATATACTGGTGGCATATCCACCACTCGTAGAAGCCCATAGGAAGACCCATGAACTTGAGAGAGAAATATGTCGCAAGTGGGATGACGGCGATATCGAAAATCTCCTGTTCGAAATCGGCGTAGAGCGTCAGGAGCGGGTTGGGGTGCTTGGTCAAGTGATGCGTGCGGTGGTACTTCCAAAGACTGCCGACCTCATGCATGAGTCTATGGTACCAGTAGAACCAAAAGTCTAGCACGATACCGTAAAGGCCAATCTCCAGTGGTAGCCAAACCCAGCTGATGGATGAAGGAGCTTGGGCGGTGCGGTAGCTGAGAAATACAGTAAAGACAGGACGAAAGCTAGAGGTGGCGATGAGGCTCTTGACGACCTTCGTGACGCCAACATCAGGTACTCCATCTCTCTCATGTACATCACCATCCAAAAAGCCCGTCTGGTGTCCCACTCGACGAAGAGCATGTAGTTGGTGCACCGCAGCGACTTTGAAAGCGATACTGTAGAAGATAAAGGCTTGGATGGGTGTGAGGTTCTGGCCGGTGTATAAAACATAGGCGTGATGTATAGCCATCGGGACGAGTGAATGCACAAGCACCCAACGGTGCAACTGCCACTCTGGTGTATATGGAACTTTGTCTCGCTTCTGGTGCACAGGTACGTCTTTGTCCAGAGTGACGTGGTGAATGCCCAGGATTTCGAAGAACCAGTGCGACCATGTCCAGTTGCTTTTATCGGCTCGGCGCCAGGTAGACTTCATAGAGTCTTTCGGGTTCTGTCTCGACTTTATGCTGGTTGACGGATTTGCATCGAGACGTGACGAGTTGGACTCGTACACGGCGGTTGAGGATCGTGAAGCCATTTTGCGTGTATTGTAAACACTGATGAAGATGGAGTTCAATTATCTTGGTCCGTCGAGGAAGTTGGGTTTAGCCTTTATATAATTAATCATGATCGTTGGCTGCCACATGTAAATCTGGTTACATTTTGTCATTTGGCTTGCTTAGTTTCTGTGTTCTTAGTGGACTCCGCCTCTGTCGCTAAAATTGGACTACCGTGTTAGTCAATTAAGACGAGAGTTGCCGAGGTTCTGCAGATCATCAGTGCACACGTCAATGGGCACCCCTAATTCGGTACTGGTTTGCGATGGGGGAGGGGCATCAACACTGGCCTGATTATGCACCATGGTATAGAGACAAGCTGAATGTGCCATTCATCGCCTCTTGAACAACGTCTCTCGATCCAATGAGCATAACTGCTCAAGGGCAGCTTTACTAGAGAGGAGCAAATACCGTATTTCCTTTTTGCCGGGGGGAAAGGCGTATACCAATATAGTCGTGACCCGAGCTCGTTTGTGCGATCCAGATATCGCACATGCTGAGATCCTTCGTACATTTGCCACTGTGGCCATTAGTCCATGCGCAAATCTGTCTGTCACGTCCTGATCGAACGTTCCAGTTGAAGCTCGGAGGGTTTTGTGTCCTTCTATGTCCATTGACGTGATGTTCCACGTCATCAAAGTAACCCTGGATCTAATCTACTAGTTGCACCTTCTGTCATAGCACGTGTCAAGTAAGCCCACGAAATCGAGGGGCACATCCTCTTGCTTTGGAAGGGCACAATAGAGTGCGCTCCATTGCGGGTACTAACAGTTCACATCGCAAGCTAAACTCAAATAGTGCTCGGCGTCGGCTCACGCTACCGACCACATGGTCCCACTACTGGAACTAGTACAGCACACAGTTACGGGGCAGATGCAACCTCTTTTGGTTTGTTCCCAAGCGGGCAACTGTCAAATGCCAGAATCTGTTGGGACATAACCTGGTTCTGGTACGAGGAAGCTGGCCGTGGCTGGTTATGTGGCTAGGCTTAGAACTTTGGTGGCTCCCGAGGCTGGTAAACAACTTGTGTTGCTATGTATCGATCGCCGGCATTACATCCATCACATGAAAACAAGCTTGAGTTACCTGATTCAAGAACAAATGTCGAGTTCATGCCTCTGTAAAGTACTGTACGTAGCTTGGCTCACAGCCATGCCGCTCCACCAATTAGAAGCGCCGGAAAAAGGATGCAACGATTTCCGGAATAGCCCCACTATCACTACACGTTGATGACACGACTTCGCTCGTCTTTCACAGCCTTTGAGGGTTTGAGCAACATGCCTTCTCTTGAGAGGTTGCCACCTGAAATCCTCCAAGAAGTTTATAATCATCCACTATATACTTTACTGATGCTGACCGGACGTAGATTGTGTCGTACCTCCACGATGGCTATGAGCGACATCGCTTTGGTGGATACGAGCCTCCTTTAGGCCAACACGAGATAATAGGGATCAAACGACGCTCGTACTTGACGTCTCTGCGTGCCGTAAATCGTCTGTTCTCTCAGATAATCACACCCATTCTCTTTCAGCACGCCATAATCTACTCCGGTAGTATCATAACAAGATGGGGCGTAACCGCCGTGACCAGCAAGGGCGTTACCGGCACCGCGCGACTTGTAAAACTGTCAAAGGATCCCTCGCTTCGGAAAATCATCCGCCGTCTAGAAATCTGCCTGAAAGTACGAGGTCCGAATGATTTCCAAGATTACAAGCCTGCACCTGAGGAGAAAGACAAAGACCTGGAGTACCTTGCACGATTAGGCGCTGTAATTCACAGCGCACTACCGAGATTTCCGAACCTCAAAGCTCTGAAGCTTAACTTTGAGGACATTCCTTATAAGTTCAGACAAGACTTTGATGACCCGGGTCAGGGCAGTTATTGTTGGGTTCAGGACACTCATAATTTCTTCGAGTCTCTTTCAGCAGCTCTCTACAGATCTGGGCTCAAGAATCTGGAAGAACTCGACCTCTCTTTACCTCTAGCGTATGACTTTGGGCATTTCCTTGAAGATGATGATGATGAAGGGGGATCTCACACTCCAAAGGCATTCTTCAAGCAGCTCAAGCGTCTGAGTGTTCACTATGGACACTGTACTGAGGAAGACGAGGACCTAGAATTTCGGTATAACCAAGCTAATGACAAGTTCGACAAATACGTCCGACAGTTGATACCACTCGCGACAAACCTGAATACCCTCAAGGTGAAAGGGCCCGATGTATTGGTGCTGGACTCATCAGCACTGGAACCCCTGAACCTGGAAGTACTGGACTTGCAGAGCCTATCCATAACCGGGGAAGCACTCATATCTCTCTTCCAGCGGTCTACAGCTCTGCGAGAAGTTGTACTCATGGGAGTCTACCTCGAGTCCGGCACATGGCAAGAAATACTCACAACCTTGAGCAAAACGACGCTTACAGCATTCTACATCGAAACATGCGGCTATCAAAAAGAAGGCGACACTATACTACGTGTCCCCTTCGACCCAACCGCCCAAGCCAATGAGGACGATAGTTATATCGAGACAAATCGCACCGAAGACATCGACGCATGTGAATTGGTCTTTGCACGGGTCCATGAGAATATGCGCAAGATACACGGGAGTAAATACGATGAAACGGCAGCTGAGAAGAAGAGGGAAACGCTGCACGATGATATTATTTGGAAGACAGGGTCGCTTGGTGAGTTTTGTAGACGGTTCTTTGCGGAGATTGATGAGGATGACGATGGTGATTCTTCTGAGATGGATTCTTCAGAGGATGGGTCAAATATAGCTGAGCTCCTAGAGATTGCGTTTGGTCGTCGTCCTGGAGATGCTTCTGCTGACGAAGATTCGGACGATGATGAAGGTCGTGCTTCTTCAGATGTTGATTCGTCGGATTCAGGCTCATCTGATGATGAGTAGGGTGTCATTTTCCATGGACTGTCTTGACGGGGTATTATGCAGCAGCTCTAGGGAGGCAAAAGCGGTGCAGGACTGTTTTCGGGGGAAAAAGGATAGGAGCCTGGAAATAATTTTCATGTACCTCAATTGTAGGATTAACCTTTGATCTCACAATTGAAAAAGTCTTCACAACTAAAACATTACCAAACCAGCGCCAATAAGCATGTTAAACAGCACCGCAATAATCGAGAAAAGTCCACCACTTCTCAACAAACTGGAAGCTCCATTATCATCATCCTCATCCTCATCATCATCTGCCTTTTCCTTATCGTTATCCCCACCTCCATCCCCAGTCGACTTTAAATCCGACTCCTTGTAAACAAGCTTGACAGCAGGAAAGTACCTAACAACCGCAATCGATAAATAATCATAATCGGAACTAGTTCCCAAGACTGATTTGTGTTTAGTTTTATTACAACCCTCCATCACTGATGACCGAAGCTTGTGGCATGACTTACCTTCTCGTAGTTCTGACAATGTTGTGGTTGCCGTAGAGCGGGTACCTGTTTCCATGGAATACATGTACTGCGATAGGCTGCTCCCTTCGACGGTGAAGACTTCATGTATAGAGTCCACACTTGTTTGTATGTTGCACATCTCAGAGTATGTCGTGGCTGATATCAAGGGCTCGATGAATGAGTAGCAACCACCTCTTTTCCTGGCAGTCCAGCCGCTGCAGAACAACGTGGCATCAGAATCTTAACGTATTTGGAAGATTAATGGCGGGAGGGGTGGTATCATCATACCTCGGACAGCAATACGCGAGGGTCTCGGAAGGATCCAGTGCATTAAGCCATATCTGTTCAATCGGCATGAATGGATTATTAACTGTTGCCGTTTCGCCTGGATCTGAGCTCGTTGTTTGCGTAAAGGCCCCTCCCTTCTTTGGGGAACCTGTTTTGTCGCCATGCGCAAACGTAGCAGCTGTAGTCCAGCCCTTTGGACAGTGTATGCCAGGAGAGAAATAATCAATGGTGCCTTGACCTCCGTTCTGGCGCCACTCGCTGTTTAGCTTATCATATGAAGAGTTTGACGGGAGGCAACTTCCTAGGGGTACAGCTGTACAATTCGCCTCTCCAAATGAGAGGTATATAGTGCTCGTATCAGCGAAGATAATCTGATCTGTTGTTCCTGTTGCACAGCTTGCGGGGGGCGTGTATGTAGTCGTTAGTGGACCGTTGTTAACGAATCCAATGCCAAAATATTCAGTGACGGTTGGCATTGTGAAGAGATGGTTAAATAACCTTGGAGACTTGATGTTACTAGTCAATGGTTACGGTCTTCGGAAACTGGAAAACCATTGCATTAAATAGTTTGATTGTGATTGTAGTTGCTGCGCCTTCCTGTGCGTCAAGGTGCGGCGTAGCAGCAAAGACCAATTAGAGATGTCGTAGTCTCGTCACCTGCTTCTTTGAGCATAATAGGAATCTCCTCTCCACTGGTGAGATCCTAGACTTTACCGTCTGACATTTGTAGCCGAGGCAACTAAAAATTCAAACCTGCATTAGTGTAGTATCTTCTCCGTTAAAGATACAGACTGCCTAAAAGCTTTTCTCAATCAGCAACGATATGAAGAGAAATTAAGAAAACAACAGCTGTTTAAAAAGTGAGCTTGTCATGCCAATCTCTTGGAGTGTTGACAACAAACTACTCAAGATCGCCGCTGAGGAGCTTTAACTGGGTCGGTTCTAATGGGCTAGCAGACCAACTCGCAACATCTATACAGTCGCAACCTTGGGGAAGCGAATTTGACCACTTCCCGTCTTACAATCCGGATATTGAACTCAACTATGTAGAAAGTGATATCGATTTCTCTGGAGATATGCAAACGCTCACCTTGCTACCAAGTTTCACCAACTGCGGGGGGCAGTTTGGCCAATAAGCGTCGGAATAGATAAGCAGCTGACTACAACATACATACAGCTAGTCTGACTGGCATGGAGACGAGGCTGAGCTTGAAATCTCGATCTTTGTCTTCTCATCTTCGCATCGTATACTGAAGTGACAGAAGATGAGCGGACAGCCCCCAAATTCGCCAAACGTGAGCTTGCTGGATGAAGAGGGTATTTGTATGCTGTCCCTCGATGGTGGCGGGGTACGCGGCTTATCTTCATTATATGTCCTCAAACGTATCATGGATGGACTCAACGCCGAGAGAAAGAGATCGGGACAGAGTCCTCAGAAGCCAGCGGATATCTTTGATCTAATTGGAGGCACGAGTACGGGCGGGTAAGGTTTGTTAAAAGGACTTGTGATTGCGCTATTACTCACCTCCTACCAGACTGATCGCCATAATGCTCGGAAGACTACAAATGGACGTTGATGAATGCATCTCAGCCTATACAGACCTTACCAAGGTGGTATTCAATGAGAAGGCAAGGGTTCATCAGTCAAAGTTTAGCTTGCTAGGGTAGACACAGGCTCGATTTGATTCCGGAGGACTCAAAGCAGCGATCGAGAAGACTTTGATGGACAGAGGGTTTTCACCAACAGACAGCATGGTTGATAGTCGCGAACCCGACTGCAAGGTGTAAGCATTTCATTAATAAGCTTCCCCCCATAGATCATTGCGTTAACTTGTGAAACCTGCTAGCTTTGTTTGCGCCACCTCAAAGCTCGATGCGGCTACATATCGATTTAGAAGTTACACAAGTCAAAAAAGTTCCCTTAGTGCTACTATTTGCCAAGCAGCTCGGGCAACATCCGCTGCAACCACTTTCTTCAACCCCGTTTCCATCGAGGGCATGAAATTCGTGGACGGGGCTCTCGGAGCTAACAATCCAGTCGACCAAGTTGAAGAAGAGGCTATGGAGATCTGGTGTCCAAGCTCAGGCAACCTACAGCCACTGGTCAAATGCTTTATATCAATAGGAACAGGCAAACTCCCAGCATACAACATTGACGATCGAGTCGATAAGCTCATAGGTGCCCTGGCTAAAATGGCAACGGATGCTGAGAAGATAGCAGAAGCATCGACTAAGAGATGGAGGCAGCACTTTGAACAGGGGCGATACTTTCGATTCAACGTCGAACATGGATTACAGAATGTAGGGATGAAGGAGTACAGGAAGAGAAGAGAGATTCAGGCTGCCACCGATAAGTATCTGGACAGCCAAGTCCAAAGTTTCTGGGTCCAGAGGTGCGTTGAGAACCTAATACTGAAGAAGAGTACGTCTTAAATATCGGCGTGGGAATACACGGGCTAATTATTCGTTCTATAGAGAGTACTAGGCTGGGTTTTGAACTCTTGATCGCGGTATGTGCATCCGACTGTCTCCCATACTCCCACAAAGTATTTATGTTTCTTAGCCACAACAAGATTTCGGCTCTTCAAGTCCAAGTCCACAGAGTACAGAGAAGTCTCGAAAGAGTCGACCTAAACAACCTACATCTGGGGATACAAAGTCCCCACCCCAACCTTGCTTCTACGTACCAATTAAGCTATCCAAACCCTCTATAGACAGATCCAATTACCTCAAAAAGTTACAGGCCGCCTTTTCTCAGGACTGTCATCAAATAGCGGCACTGGCAGGCCCTGGTGGATCTGGAAAAACACAAATTGCAGCCCAATTTGCAGAATGGCTTCATACAACATGTCCCGAATACTCTGTCTTCTGGATATCGGGGGACAATCTTCAACAGTCCTACTCAGGTATCGCCCAGAAGCTGGGTCTCTTTCGACGCTATCAGCGCGAGTTGAAGTCCACTGATGCAAGAGTTCTCTTCCATCGCTATATATCCGCAGAACGTTTTGGAAGGTGGTTCCTTATCATTGACGACGCTGATGCTAACGGAGATTTGTTGAGCCCTGATGCTCGGCCTGGGAGTGTTTTCAATGATCTTCCCCAGGGGAAAGAAGGAAGTATCTTGTTTATCACACATTCGATGAAAGCTGCAAGTGCTGCTGTAAAAGAACAGGCGAACCAGGTCATCAAAGTTGAAGGACTGGATGGTCCCGATGCAATGACTATTCTGGGGCATTCTCTGTTCAACAAGAGGCTGCTTGATGACGAGAGTAAAGTGAGGGAGCTACTGTCTGAACTAAATGGCCTTCCTTTGAGTATAAAGCAGGCAGCAAGGTATCTTAACAACTGTGCTCATCTTACGATAGACAAGTTTCTGGATTTGCTGCGCAGCCCTAGTCAAGATGCGTTCTTGTTCATCTTACAGGAGTCTGACGGAAGGGTCCAAGGAAGTGATTCCCACGACTCCATTCTCGAGTCGGTTGTGAAGTCATTCGAGGCAGTTCGCAAAGAGAATCCTCACGCTGGAAAGCTACTTGAGTTCATTTCTCAAATTGCGTCTTCCTCTATCCCCAGAACAATCCTTCCTGGCACTACAGTCAAGGAAGGTAAAAGCAGTCTTGAACAGTCTATCGGTACATTGTGCAGCTCTTTCCTCTTGGTTCCGAGACAAGGAGGAATCATGTTCGATATGCCCACTATCGTACATCTATGCACGCGAGTATGGGTTCAACAAAAGAAAGCCTCTAAGGGCCTGACGGAAATAGTGACAAAGCGTCTGAACGAGCTTGTCCCGCCGGTGGATTGGTCGAAGAGATTAATTTGGAAGAAGTACGAGGCTCATGCTATTCGTGTCCTTACCACCTGTCAAGACCTTAACCTGAGATTCGACGAGCGCTTTCAACTTCTGTGTAAAGTCGGATCTTGGCTCCTACGGCAAAGAAACAGCAATACAGCAATTCCATGGCTTCAGCAAGCTATGGAATGGGCAAAGAAGTCCTCATTCAAGCACACCAAGCGGCGTCTTCGCATTGAACTCGACCTTGCAGAGGCCTATGCAGAAACAGAGCAGTCAGCAAAGGCGGTTCAACTTTCGGAAAAGGCCTTGGCATTTCAAGAGAAGCATCTTTCAAAAGATAAGAGCAGCTTATTAGCTGTGTCATGCGTTCTCTCAAAGAGCCATCGTGTCAACGGTACGCCAAATCATGGAGTTGATCGTCTGGAGAAGCTCAGGAAAGTTGACAGTAAGAGAAGCGCCATGGAAAAGTTGATACTTCTGGGTGAGCTGGGAAAATGCTACAACTACGCTGAAGAGTATGAAAAGGCAGCTGAAAGCCTCGAGATGGGGATCGACGCCGCGGAAAGCAAAGTCGCAAAAGACGACCCGATTCTCATTGCTGTCAAGAACAACCTCGCGTATTCATATGAGCAAAAAGGCGAACATAAGAAATCCATCTCTCTTCTAGAGGAGACTCTACCGATCCAGGAGCAAATCCTAGGCATAACACATTTCGACACCCTCAAGATTCAAGTATACCTCATCGAGCAATACTTAAAGATCAAAGAGCTTACAAAGGCCATTTCACTTTTGGAGGAACTAGTACCTATTCAGAGGAAGACTCTTGGGCAGGTGCATAAGAGGACCATGTCTTCTGAGAATGACCTTGCAGAGTTATATCTCCAGAATAGAAATGTGTATACGGCTTTGAAGTTGTATGAACATATGGTTTCTGTGCGTCAGAAGAATTTGGGGCCAGGTGATGAGCAGAGGAAGTGGGCGGAAGCGCGTTATGAGAAGTGTATTAAGACTTGGAAGTGGACTTGGGCGCGGAGATGATGCTATTGAATTGCCGATAGTTATTGTCTATGTTATACGTAGATGGGAGGCCATGGATATTGCGTAGTCGTCCCGTACCCTAGATTAGTCGCCCGTCTGCCTTGTTTATGAGGTCTGTTGGTCGAACAATCCCTGTTAGCCTATTACTGTTCAGAAAGCCGAGTAACCCCGCTTCTACAAGTGTCGACGAGAGATAATACACCTCCCAAAAGTCAACTTGTTCATCACCTCAGGGCCATATGCTATCAGCTACTCTTTACAGCTCATCATGCCAGTCCGCTCACTATATCTTGCCAAGTCCGGCGGAGGCGCAAACCAACGCTCTCATTTCGCTCTCTTCATTCCCAACGCAGAATATGATCGGAACACTGTCAGTGAAGACTTTCGATCTCTCAAGGCTATTGGCACAAGGATTCATGTTGTTGGAGAACCACTAATGTCCGGTTTTGCATTCCAGGTTCACAGGAACTACAACACTCAAGCCTACGCTGACCTGAAGAGCTTGGTCTTTCTTGGGAAGATCGACGATTCAATTCTTTGCGACTCTCCCGAAACTGAAACGGAGATCAGAGAGATAACACCGCGGAGTATTATCGAACGACTTGCAGAGTGTGTAACTCCACCTCCCAGAGGACAAAACATACGTGCACCCATTGATGGGGTGAGGAACCATTCACAAGAGGCGCGCTGGTGACTAACGATATGCTTTTAAGGTAAAAACAAAAAGATGTCAGGAATGGACGATGGAGGTTCTGACAATTCTAGTAGCGAGAGGGCTACTTTCTCCAGAAGCTACGAGAATTGCACAGAGGGAAAGGGATTCACCAAGTAAGGGAATAGTTGGCTATAAGAATTAGGAGACATAGGAACATAGGAGATACCAGATAAAGAGGAGTTTAAATTTAGACATTTCTTTAACATGTTTCAGTCTCTATCTCCTCATAATAAGTTTGTATACAAATTGACCGTCAGTCCAGAGACTCATGATTTCCCGTTTCTTCCATGGCGGTTGCTGCTGCTTCAAGGCGTTCCATCGATAAAGGAAACAGTCGCCATGCAATATTATTGTTTTCTCTTGAGCCCCTCAGATATTCCAGACTAGGGATTATGCCCGCTTCCTCGTATGTACAAACGCCTAGACTCTCAGCAGCTAAACTTGTCATCATAACTTCGACTTCGACTTCTTCGGTCTCTGTGCCCTCGAGGTATTGGGCCATAGTCTTAGGTTCTGAGTTATGTCCATTTGGCATGCGCAACTCCTGGGAGGACATCTTAAAGTCCACGTCAAAAAGGTATTCAATATCGCTTCTTGACATAGGGGGCACCCCAGGTACAACACGCTCAAACATTGGCAGAGAGATAATTCCTTTCTTATTGCCTTCTGTAACTTGTGGCCTCCAAAAGTATCGAACTTTGACTGAGGGACTGTTAATCTTTGCTAAGATATTCTGAGCTTGAGGGCTTGCTAGCACAGTTTCGGCAAGTTTCCCAACAGCCTTCGAGGCTAGATAGAGTAGCAAGAACCGCAAGTTGACTTCGTAAACTACAAACAAGGAACCGTGGTTGAATGTTTCACCCGCCAAGCTCATATATGAAACCCATGACATAAGCTGCATATGCCCAGTTTCAGAAAACTGTGCAAACAATGCCACAGTTGTATCAAGGCTTTTGCAAGTCTTTGCCATGTCAAATGCAATTCCCAAAGTCCGTTGTGACGTTGCGTACAACCATTCCGGCTTTTCGTACTCGAACCTTTTTACCATCAGGAGAAAATTGATAAGAAGATTGGTGAATCCTGTTCCCCTTCTGACAAATGGCTGCGGACCCCAAGTTTCATCAAACACACCATACTCGTGTGGGTCCGCTCCGAGGACCCTTAATTTGTCAAACATTCTCTCGGGCAGTGCTTTCCCAGACGATAGACTACATCTGAGGATACTGGTGACCAGATGAGTTGAGGTTTCTGCTGGGAGGCGCGAGATGACGAAATCATGGAGTAGGTCATCGCTGGTCAAGTGACTCAAGAACGGGCGCTGAGGTATCCATGGACACAGGTCATATCTTAAAAGCCCCTTGTCATATAATGGCTGAATGACGTCGAGCATTCCGGTAGCCAATTTCAGTCCTTCGTTTCCCCAGCGATTTGCAAAACCGGTAATTTGGGCCATTATATAATCGCTATCAAATACCAGGTGCCATTCGGATGTCATAACCATTACTGTGCAGATCAGACCTTTCAGAAGTCGTGTCTGGCAGGAGAAATTAGATAATGGTTCATATCCTAGAATGCCTTGGCCTGCTTCTGTATCTGTAAGAAAGTCATGTGCTGTTCTATGAATGAATGTTAAGTAGCTGAATGGGTCTCTATCGTCTTCCCGCGTTTCCAGAAGGTAGTGGTCAAGGTTGGTCGACTGCACTTCAAGCAGCCCTGCGCACCTGGTGGATATTGAAGCCTCTGTTTCTTCGCATATTCGTAGAATCTCTGTCTCTCTAATCGTACCCGTGGCCGATAGAACTTTTTCTTGTATTTTAGGGTTCTCGGCGGAAGCGATTTCAAATGTCAATGGATGTGGCAAAGCTATCCAACCTAAGCCACCTTTGACTGGAATAACCCGGTCTGACATCTGCAGAACATAGCGAAAGTATCTGCGAGCTGTCTCTTGATAGACGGTGCTTCTTGCGTTCATCCTCTGCCACATATCGACGTACAAGTCTTCCAGGTCTCCAGGAAGTGCATTAAGCCGTGCGAGAAGCATATCCCCAGAATCGGCATTCTCGATCCCATCAATGATACTTCGTGAAGCAAGGTGGAGCCATAAAAATACACCTTGCGCTTTACCAACAAGCTTCTGACGTAGGTCTTGGGAACTTTTTGAAGAGATTTGATTATTTGGAAATACCTGACGGAACCTGTCCCGTACAAACTGAAGCATATCGAATCTTGTCAAGTCCTCAAGCAGAATTCCTGCAGCATTTGATGTCCGGAGCCATCTTACAATCTGTGCCTCAGGCCTGGCCGAAATGCACAACTTGGTTGTTGGAAGTTGCGATATTAGTTGAATGGACTGAGCAAGCTTAGAGAAGCCATCTTGATTCCGGACCTCGTCCAGGCCGTCGATAAACATGCAAATATGTCGAGTATCTAATTTTGTAATGTAGCTCCAGACATCTTGCAAGTCCTTGATAGACCAATCGTGACATTCTGAGTGTGAAGATAAGTGGCTGAAGTGTTGTCGAATCATCAAAATCAATTGTTGCTGATCTTGCAGTCTTTGGTAGAGTAGAGAGCACCAAAGACCTTTTATACTGTTCTGCTCTTCTGAGCCGATTTTCCAGAAAAAGTAGGACATAATAATCGCATCGGGGCTCCATCGACGGAGCAAGTCCTGGGTTTGTTCCTGGTCCAGGATGAATTTGACAAGTGTGCTTTTCCCAGAACCTGGCTTTCCCATGATATAAAACATTTCGTCATCTGATTGCAGCCATGAGTTGAAAGACGCCCACGAACGATGTATATCCTCCATATGAGTCATACACTCGAGGTCTCTAGTTGTTTCAGAAAATTCATTGCCCTTTGAATCACCAGCTTCTTTATTATTGCCCTCTGAATCTCCATAATACATAGCTTTCATGTCTTTATAAGTAGCAAATACTTGGTTGAAGGTTGCGTCTCTTGAGTCCATGACATCGTTGTAGCGCTGATTCATACGTGGAGCTTTGAGGCTTTGAAGAAACACTTCGCATTTCTTCTCTGCCTCAACAGTGATTCTGAGCTCTAAGACTTGGCTATCGGTGTGCGAATTAATGGCCAGCTCAGTCCTGGCGCTTTCCTGGATGATGACGTTTCGGGTTGTAGCATGTTCTTGCTTGACGAGATCCTTGACATCAGTTATGCCTTCGGCTAGCTGGTTGATGAGAAACTGGACATCGGCATCCAATTTACGAAATGAGACGTCTTGCTGGAAGTATATCGCATCGCTCTGCGAGCTGAATTATGGCTTGTCTTAGTAAAACTCCAGCGAATCCGAATGATGATCTTACCATAGATGGGACGTTAGCTCAGTTTTCATAAGCTGTTGATACATTGCAAGCGATTCCTGAAGAGCTTGAAGTCTTTTTTGATGCCTCGACGTTCTGAAAGCCTTGCGGAGCGACTTGACAAGATCGCCCTTGGCCTGCAAGCTATTCACGTACTGGACTTCGGTCTCAAGCTTTTCGGCAGCATCTTTGCATTCCTTGGCAATATTCTGAAGCTTTGGGCTAGCAAACTTGGAGTTCGAAATGTTCATCTGCTCGCAGCGAGTGTGTACGCAATCGACGGCTTCGGACATTTGTCCCGTGTAGCGCTCAAGATCATCCTGAGATGTTGTTGCTCCATCATATGCATTTTTGCAGGCGACAGCCAAGTCGCTAGCAAACGAAGTGACTTGCAAAACTGCGCTCGCCGCGCCGAGGGCCTCGAAACCTGTCAACATGATGATATGTGCTTTCGAGAGATAATCTGACGCTCTCAGGTGAGGGGTTAAGAGGAAGGAAACGACACAGCCTGATCAGGCTATGCAGGTTGATGTGTTGGGCTGAATGATGCTGACTAACCACAATATCCAGTAAGATATTGATGCAAAGTAGAGGACGATTTTCGTCTAGTTCTTACAAGTTTGTCCTGTCTACCTGAAACAACTTATAAAGTGATATTCAACCCGAGTCCTCGTCTTTCCATCTGCTCTACCAAGCTCGACTTGTCTCAACGTAGGCCAATGTGACTGGATCAGCCGCCAAATCGCACAGCTTCAAATGCCGATAGATGATCTTCCCGTCAATATGCATGCCGCCCCGCGTGACTCTCAGAAACGGCTCCTTCTTTACTGAAAAGCCTACATTGTACTTTTGAGCTAGTCTTGCCCACTGCTGTATACTGTCTCCTTCAAGGTAACCCAGTCTTCAGTTACTCTCCATGTAATGGTGACTTGGTGTTTCTCAAGCTCATATCTGAATAAACACGCATTTATGCCATCGTGCCACCATATTTCCAGAATCTGGAGTTTTGGCAACTGTCGGGCGGTAACGGCAGATTCTCTCAAGAGACGATTGATCTCATCTTTGAATAATGAAACATCTCCGTAAGCTTCATCTGGAACTTCCAGATATAGCTGTGCGAGTCTTGACCCATGTTCGAGGTTTTGGGGCAGCTGTGACTGTCGAAGATGCCGAATAAAGTTTAGTGAATTCATACCCCCAGGTGGACAAAGTGAAAACAGGTGGTGAGCCTTCTCTGTCAGAGATTCCAGTAGTGCAGGTGTTGTGTTATGAATAGTATGTCCCACTCAGTTGGTGATCTTGGAAAGACGTTGAAGGAAAGTCGACGAATATGATGGGGAAGCTGAAGAATCAGGTTGTTCCAATTTACCGCTAGAATCATAGTCAGAACGCGAGTAAACAAGACGTTCTCATTGTAGTCAAATACCAACATATGCGAGAAGTCCTACAAAATCGAATATATGGACCTGATACAGCTTCGAGCCGGAGAGAAGCGACGCTCGTCAGAGTCTTGCGCAATATCCGTGCCGGGCTCGAATCAGCTATCCCCCTGGAGAATCGATGGCGCATCCAATGGGTGTGAACGATCGGGACTTGCTCAAAATTTCTCCTTGTCCTCAGTTCAAGCGGTGTGCTCTGTAGTCGCTCCAGGCCTTGGATGGCCATCGGCCTATGCCAATTCTTTCCAGCTGCGAGCAGATCTCTAGCCTCTTTGGCATCCATGAATTCTGGAAAGCTGGGTGAAGTTTCCAGGTCCTCTTCTAACTGGAAGTTGTCATGCAGTTCGTATTCCAGTGATGCTGCTTGAGAACACTCATTGTCACCAGGTGAGTACGCTGTGATCTCCAGTATCAGCCCGATGTCCCGATTGCTAGAGGGCTTCCAACGGCGGAGCACATGGAACAGTCCATTGAGCGAATGGGTAAATCTCTGGTTATTCCTATCAAATACTGTTAGGGAAGAGAGAGATAAGAAGATCCACTAATCTCACCAATCTATCGTGGCATGTGACTTTGTCTTATCGCATTCCGGATAATCATAGTTGTGAAGCTTGATTCTCAGACATAGATAGCGGATATATAACAATCTCATGGTTTTTTCGCCCTTTGTCACCTTGGAGAACCTGGCCAGTTGGGAGTTGTCGATCAGAAGGCGTCGGAAGGTAAAGTTTTCGAAGTAATCTTGCCATTCATGGAGACGCAAGCACAGCGATCAAGGTCCGCAGCTCGATATTTCTGCTTTTCGGCCACATAGCCAAAGATTTGCAATGGAAGCTGTACAGGGAGCGATGACCACTCGCAGGTACTGGGTCTCTCCAGGTCGTTGGATGCCAAAGTCATGCCGAAAAGTTTGTGTTTTGTAGTACTTTGGGGACGGGGAAATTTACGGCGGCTGGTGGTTTTTATGATCAACGAATAAAGCCCTCTTCTTGTTAAACTTTATGCAACACGTGTTCTTGTTCACACAATTTGCAAGTGAATCATATTCGAAATTATAAATGGCGAAGCTTGATATGATGTACGGCAGATAGTTGGGAAGGAGACGTGTTACTTTACAAACCATTCTATCCAAGTGACACAACTTACATAAAACAACCCATTAACTATCCATTCTCTTTCAAGGTTCCGGGGCCCTCTCCACACAGAAACAATCCAACTCATACCAGCTGAAATTCACAGAAGACCCGGTGGTGGCGTACTCTCCATTCCACAGCTCACACCAGGTAGCGGCATATGCAAAGAGGTTGCACGTAGGATGGTCAATGCAGAACTGCAGGCACTCGCCGAGTGTATATGTTCCATCTATATCTTTGATGTACGATCCTGTTCCGACATATTGTTTAGAAACGCCACATGAGGAGCCAGACGGGAATCCACCGGGGCAGCTAGGAGCGGAGGTGGCGATGGTGGTAGTCGTAGCAGCGGCAGTGGTGGTTTCAGTGCTTGAAGTGAGCGCAGCAGAGGATGTCGTGGGAACCGTAGAAGATGTCTCGAGCTCCGTAGTAGCAGTTTCGGATGTGAGGATTGTAGTATCCATAGTCGCTGTATTGGTTATAGCAGTGTCGGTAGTCAGGGATGTAGCACCCGTCGTCGCCGTGGCAGCAGTGGCTGTTGCCGAAGTCGTAGACAACTCAGGCAGATCACAGAAACAGTCCAAGGAGTACCAAGAGAAGTCGGTATTAGAACCATCAGTCCCTTGGATTCTGCCTCCCCAAAGATCACAAAAGACGTTTGGCTGCACAGTAAAAGCAATACAGTCATCCATACCCCTACAGACATCACGACAGTGAGCGATCGTGGCATCACCAGTCACTTGGGTAAGGAAGAGCATGTTCGGGTCTGCGCCAATGCCCTTGGTGTCGCAAAGGACACCAGCTGGGAACGGGGTCTTTTCATTGTTGACGCAAGAATAGGCAGTCGAGCTGGGAGTGAGGGTCGTCTCGGTAGTCGTGGCGATGTCGCCAGAGGTAGTAGTGCCGGTGTTCGAAACCGAGTGAGTGGAAGTAGCATCGGCCGTGGTTGTAACAACCGATGAGGGCTTGCATGGTCCAGCTTGGACACCCGCGGCGAGAAGCCCAATTACAGCAACGATTCTACAAGCAATCATGTTGAACGGGTGACAGGCTCTCAAGCGAGCATGTAAACGAGTGACGAAATTTGAATGAGAGTAGAACTTGACCGAGCTGGGCGTTGTTAAAGTCTTGGCGCTCGCTATATGTATACCAATGGTCTAGATCGGAGGCTTGAGACAATTTCCACTAATTGTCACCACGGACAGGCTAATTCAGGGGTTGTAGTCAGAGAACGAATCACATATTTGCATTTTGTAGCGAGCTGAATATTTATTCAAGCCTTTTTAGAAGCTTGTTAGTGTTATTGATCACTAGTGAGCTGGCTAAAATGGAAAGATCAAGCCTTTTGAACCCTATCAGTTTCTGGTACGCTAGCATTGATAGTCTTGCTTTCTCTCCGACTTCAATCTGGCTACTTCGTTAATCTGTGTCTACCAACGGCTTCCTGTTTATGTATGTTTGCCCTTCGTTAGTCACAAACAGTCATTGCATGGTTTCATGATCTATGTTGAAATGTTCAAGGCAATATCGGTCGAACAGCCTGCCAACATTAACTTGCTCTGCTTGGGTGATACAATCTCGAATTTGGGTGCTGAAAAGTTTAGATAGAATTTCATACTTCTACATTCTGACCGCTGTAGATCTTGAAAGTCGTGCAGCTCGTATGACTATAAGCTCTTGGGGCAAGATGATACAATTCCCAGGTTCAGTTGACTTTAATGTTCAAACCCGCAACCGCAATCAGCTACCCTGTATATGCTGAGGCTAATGCTAATTTTAGCCTGGCAACAGATCTAGTTCAGCTAAACTGCTACCCCTGCAGTAGTGCTTCATCCTTAACAATTATTTCGGCATCTGATTTGTTAAAATAGTCTTTGGCACGTCTAGCCCGTCAGCTAGAGCAAGACTATCGATTTTGGGAGATGAGCTGAGTAAAATTGACAGGTCTAATTCTTCATAATTGCCGTCAATGGCTGATTTCCTTCATTCTCTTTGGCCTCTTGTTTTGCCTTTTCGTGGCCGGACATGCTTCGGCATTTAACAAGTTTGCAGAAAGATCCGAAAACCGCATTCTACGTAATTATTCCTCGCTGTCGGCTTGTGAGCCCGCGAAGCCCCATCACCACGATTCGGGAACCGAACCCGAGCTTCATCGGAGTCGAAAGGTTACTTATACCAGCATCGCTATAAGCATATCAGATCGAACCTGAGTGAGGTAGTCACTTCTCGGAACGACATCCAGGGTGTTGACTGTCTGTGAAACGTTGAGTGGAGGAACCTGACGGATACTTACCCGATTGGCAACCGTGAAGCCTCTGGCAGCTCCATGTAACCATATCCTGATGCACTTGTCCGTTTCCGTCACGTTCTGAACAACAACTCAAATTGGTCTCAGCGTTCTGGACGGCAAAAGTCTTACCCCATACGGCGTTCGCCTCATTTTCACAACGTGTCTCGAGCCGAAGGAACTTGGGCAACTCTGAGGAACGTGCCCTTATCACCAGTCGGCGGGCCCGGGGTTCATGATATACTCCCTATTCGCCGTCAGACTTTCATACCCACTGAGGGTATTCTTGCCGTTTTTGTTGCTGGCCACAGATTATTTGAGTTCATGCTGACAGCATGTTTATGCAAGAAGCGCTACCCTCCATGAACGGGAATAAGATAGTCGATCAGCGGGAATCGGGAATGCCGAAAGCTTATGCGGCTGATGACGACATGATCATCGAGTATTCAAGAGATAAGCCTGTTACCCCAGAGCAAGACCATTGCAGCTGAAAGTTGCAAATGTCTCGTAATACGATCAAGGGGGCTGACGATGTTTCACATCGGGATGATTCCGCACATCGTTACATTGCTATCACAAGTCCATCATATCATTACTTGCATGACTCTCTTTATGGAAGCAAGCAGCACTCAACGTATGACACTTCACCAACACATAGGTTCTAAAGGATATAGCATGTTGAGGGAAAGGAGAACCTAGCAGTATAACATCCTTAGACCATGTCCAGTTGCTCACTGCATGATATCCTTATGTAATATATAACTCGGTTCCTACAACTAAAGTCCGTTATGGACCCCGGCATCAACCCCCGAGGACCCTTCCAAACAGAGTTACCGACTTGCAAACTCGACATATCCAACCCCAAAATTCCCCGCCAAGATCCACAGAAATTCTCGAAGCATGCAACCCAGCAGCCGAGGCTTCCAGAAGCATTCTCAGGAGCGTATCTTCCGAGGAATAAACTCGGGATTGTCAGGCACAAAGTCACAAATACCTCACACTGCACCTCAAGAAACGTGGCAAATATGCCTCATTTTTCGGTGGCAGTGACAACTTTATCAGATGACCGCCACGGCGTCTGGTCTCCGGACCCCGGCGCTAGCGTGATCGGCTCTCAACGCCGTGATACCGAACCCAGACAGATCGACATGGCTTGTAACATATAAAGTGGATATGAACTTTTTGAGCGTTTTTATTTCTCCGAGACACCGTGATCTTCCCGTATTGGACGGTTCGCGAGTAATGAACGGAGGCATGATTGCGGATTAATGACACTTTGACCAGAAGACTTCGGCTAGACTTGCAAATATATCAGAGTGGATAAATTATCTTGTCAGAGAGTTTGAGAAATAGAGTTTGAGCTTTATCGTTGTCGGCGTTATTCTATCTGTTTACATGGCGTTGATAGAAGATCCTCCAAGGAATATTGCGAGTATTGATACCACATCTCCAGTATTATCGCGAATTATCATATTTGAAGTGAGACATGAGATACAGCAATCTATTCTAAACAGAAAGATTATATCACTCAAAACTCAATTGGTCAAAAAGTCTCACCGAAAACGACCTATCTCGACCCCAGGCCCCATTCAGAACCCACCTGGACCCTCCCCAGGCAAGGAAACGCCGGATGATAGTAACATGGAGTCATAGTGGAGCAGGGCGAGATACACGATCAAGTTATAATCCGGGGTAATTCAGTTTCTTGTAGTCATAAAAAGGGTCGGATTTATAAGGACATGACGCTCCCCGGCTCCATCTTCCCCAGATTCTGCATCCCGTTCCAGACTCTCGCCATTCTCCATACTTTCCCTCCCGTTTACTTACCCAAGACACCGTTTTACTTAAAGGAAGAGTTTGTTTGAACATTCCTCATGGCGAAGAAGGAAGAACTCCCTCGTGATATCGAGGGTATCGATGATCTTCAACGCTCTCCCTCGAGATGTACGCAAGAGGGAACGACAATCGACGCCGTCTTTGGTGAGGTTTCAGAAGATGGACCTAACTACCGCAACGTACGAACCCCGGTCCCTTCACTTCACAAACACTAATTAGTATCCAGGTCGGATGGATTGCCACCGTCGCGCTCATGACAAAAACGCAAATCGGCCTTGGAGTTTTATCGATTCCCCAGACCTTCGACGCTCTAGGCCTCATCCCAGGAATCATATGTCTCATCGTCGTGTCAGCCATTACGACATGGTCAGACTACATGATTGGCGTGTTCAAGCGACGACATCCGCAGGTTTACGGTATCGATGATGCGGGACAGTTGATGTTTGGGCGGATTGGTCGTGAAGTCCTCGCGACTGTTTTTATGCTATGTAAGCATCATTCCTCAGTGGGTTGAGTGATTGGGGGAGGCTGGGTACTGACGACTCGCAGACTGGATCTTCGTTGCTGGCTCAGCAATGCTCGGTATTTCAATCGGTCTTAACTCGGTCTCTACACACGCAGCCTGCACGGCTGTCTTTGTTGCCGTGGCAGCTATTCTGGGTTTCTTCTTTGCTAGTATCCGCACACTCGGCAAGATTGGCTGGTTAGCGTGGATCGGACTCGTCTGCATCATGACTGCCAGTAAGTTCAAGCCCCTTCATCTCACGAGATCAACTTCACTAACACGAGGAATTAGTCTTCTGTGTCACCGTCGCTGTCGGCGTGCAGGACAGACCTGCTGCTGCTCCGCAGGGAGGACACTGGGAGTCTGACTGGAAGCTCTTCAACCATCCTAGCTTCGTCGACGGTATCACGGCTGTGTCGTCGCATATCTTTGCGTTCTCGGGTACACCCGCGTTTTTCCAGATCGCTGCGGAGATGCGCGAACCGAAGCACTACACCCGCTCGCTATTGACCTGCCAATCGATTGTGACAGTCACATACATCACTATTGGAATCGTGGTTTACTACTACTGCGGTTCATATGTCACATCCCCTGCTCTTGGTTCAGCTGGCGTTCTCATGAAGAAGGTCTGCTATGGATTTGCCCTGCCTGGTCTTATCGTGACTGCCATGCTTATGACTCACGTGAGTGTTTTCCTGTCTTCTCAGTGACCTATGCTAACCTGCCAAGATTCCCGCCAAGTACATGTTCATCCGCTTATTGCGCGGTACAAAGCATCTCAACTCCAATGGTATCGTGCATTGGGCCACTTGGTTAGCTTGTACAGGAAGCGTAACCATTATCGCATATATCATCGCCAGTGCCATCCCTGTTTTCGGCGGCTTGGTGTCTCTTATCGGAGCTCTTCTCGGCACGTTGATGTGCTTCCAACCCTATGGCTGCTTCTGGCTTTTCGACAACTGGCATAAGGGTAAGACTGAGAAGTCACTCAAGTGGTGTCTCATGGTTGGTTGGAGTGTCTTTGTCATTGTGGCTGGAACCTTTATGATGGTTGCCGGTACCTACGGCTCAATTGTTGGTATCAACAACTCGATGAAGGCCAATGGGGGTTCAAGCCCATGGTCTTGCGCCGATAACTCTAACTCTGGCTCTGCGGGTCACTAAATGGCTTGGGTCTTGTGACCTAGACGTCGGGCCGAAGATGGTGGCTGACCTGTTCTCAAGGCAAGCCACTTGAGTGGCTTCTTGATGAAGATGTGAGGCGACCGTGTCTTTTTGAAAGAACGGCCTGTGCATAAGTTATTGTTGCTGTGTGGGCACACGTCTGGATGAGTTGAAGCATGAGACACCTTTTGGAACGGTCATTATAGAGTGTAAAACAGTGAAACATCACATAACAATAGAATACCCATTTCTTTTTTTACAATTACTTTTTCTTGCAAATGATACTGGTCTACAAAGAAAGTCAGTGGCTCAACTGGAGATAAGAAATGCCTATCAAGTGATGTGCAGACGGCACACGGCGTTGACCATCAGACATACAAAGTCGCTTCTTTTCATAGGTTGAGATTCCGCCTGAGAGGATCATCGACCCGGCATATCATTAACTACTGGGAAGAAAGCACCGCAATAGTCCCAGGATTAAAGTATGAATGCTCATCTCAATAGTTCAATGTTGAGCTCATGCTCTTTGCTACAAGGCACCTTCACCATACGGCGAATTGCTTTCTGTACGGCGACGGCAGAGGTCACAGTAGAATCTCGGCATGGCGTCATACAAAATATTGTAATCTCTTGTCCAGATATCCCCAATATAATTAATTTCACAAATGAATGCCAGCATATCTGCACCACTGTGCAAGACGTGCTCTAACAGACCAACTAGCCTAGATACATAGAGACTATATCCAGGTTCAGTATTTAAACTCCTGGCCAACAAGCTTCTCACTGAGCTTCCAAAGCATCTCTGCCGAAGCCTTGTCAGTTACCCACGGCCAGACCTCCTGTGCGAAGGGGTCAGCCAGCCGACAATGGTTCAAAAAAGCACCGTTGTTCTTCGAAAGTACGCTATCAAACGCAGCATAGACGTGAGTTGCCGCACCCTCATCTAGATTTTTGTATCGAACTTCTTGGTTGAACATCCACCTATTTCCCATTCTGGCATCCGCAGCCTGAAAACTCTTAACAAACTCGGCGAACTGGTCTGCAGCATGGGCGCCCAGATTGGTACCAACAGAGCCCGGACAAACGCTAAAGGACATGAGGCCTCTGGAGCCAAGCTTCTCGGCGAGGGCAAGAGCTGTAAGTGAGACGGCCGTCTTGGACTGGCCGTATGCAGCCCACTTGTTGTAAAGCTCCCCGTTGCTGAAGTTGTAGTCCGCCCATCGAAAGTGGCCTTGCCGATGGCCCATGCTGCTGATAAGCACGATTCGGGGTGCCTGAGAAGCAAGAATCTTATTCATGATAAGGTTGGTAAAGAGGAAATGACTGAGGTGATTGGTCTGCAGCTGGCTTTCAAAGCCGTCCTCAGTCAGGCGATAGGGCACAGCCATAATCCCGGCATTATTGACCAGAACGTCGATATGCGGAACATCGGCCCAGGAATTCACAAGCTCAGCGGCTTTGCGAACCTGAGCAAATGAATTCAAGTCTAACGCCAGAGATTTGACTTTGATTTCTGGGTGTGCGCTTGCTAGGTCATCAACCAGGGATTGAAACTTGTCCGGAGAGCGCCCAGCGAGAATAAAGGCCGCGGGCTTGCCAACAGCCACTTGCTTCACAAAGCTCTCGCCTAAGCTACCAGTGGAGACCCCGGTGATCAGGATGGTTTTGCCAATGATCTTTGTGGCATAGAACGGCACGAGCTCGCTAGCCTTTGTTGCCTCATTGAAGTTGGGAGCCATGATGGTGACTGTATGTGTGAGAACTAAAGCAGGTTGCAGACTGGGTAGGCGGGTTTAAAGAATTTATGTTGAAATTCAATAGAGTGACGGATGCAATTGTCTCTTTATACATGGGCATGCTATCATATTGGACATTAACTCTCGCCCACGACCGCACAAGTAGCTTTGCTTAGTGCGTGTAGTGCAACGCAATGGCCCTTGTTGGTTCCCCCTTGAATCAGTAAATCTGACCCAACCACTCGCGAACAATACTTTCTGACGCCGGATATAAGACATGTAAACTCCGAAGTCTTGTTGCGAAGTGAACTCTCAAGCCAGCACCTAACTTCAGTGGAAGTCCGGTGGAGAACTAGCGGAAGATCAGTGGAAAACTAGTCAAAGACTAAATATCTCGTATGGATGAGCTTGTAAAATAGCGTCGGTTTAACGGGAGCCATAACTTCCCTTTCTCCAAACAAGAATACTGCACGTAGCAGGTCCGGGTCTGGAGGAGAGCAACCCACCTAAGCGGGACCGCTAGCGAACAGTACACTATGTCCCATAGCTTATAAAAGGAGAAGCGCTCACAAATCTTCCACCAAACTTCCGCATCAAACCTCCGCACCAAACTTCCGCAGAGGTGCCTCCGCTTCTTGTCACCCTATCAACGACACATCACCAGGCTCGGACTTCGGAAATAGCAAAGGTATTTCTCTCCCCGCGACTATCAGTAACATGGTTCCGTCCGTTCCGCCGAGTGAGCAAAAAGCCTGCTTTGGATGTGCCACAGCGAAGAGGGCGTGCGACAAGCAGAAGCCAAGCTGCCAACGGTGTGATGAAAGGGCCATTCGTTGCCAGTATCCAACCTCTCGCAGATATCTCCGCTCTAAGCCAGCAACAAACGCCTCGAGCCAGCATTCAAATCGAGCAGGGCTAGAGGGCTCGACAGGACAAACAGGGCATCTCAGGACGCCAGCAAGTGACTGCGTCGCGGATCTACCGACTCTAGGCTCTCCAATAACCAGCCCTTTCACCTACAAGCCTTGGTTCGTTAGTCTGGAGACCTGGGCGATTGAGAACAGGGGTGTCACCACATGCCGCTTCAGTTCAGGACCTTCCTATGGTTCACCACAACTTGGCGATTGGACAAAGAGTCTTTGGAATTGGTTACGGCAGTGGGTCGACGAGGGCAACAATCCATTCATCCATAAGCAGCTCTACCTTGACACTGGCTTACCTCGATGTCTCGAAGACGCGTGGACAACCCTAACGGCGTACTTTTCCAAGACGGCCTTGAATACACCTTTGGTAATGCAGATCATCGAGCACCGTGTCGACGCTCTTCTGCAATCCCAGCCCCATGACGATGCTTCATTTATGGCAGTGCCCAGCCTGCAGACTATTCAACACTTGGCAAGGGTGCAGGCTCTCTTCATCTACCAATTCCTTCAGTTTTACGATGGATGCATTCGCCAGAGGGCAATGGCAGATAGATACATTCCAACCCTGCTGCAATGGTGCGAGCACCTTTGGCAATCGGTTACGTTGGACGCAGTCCACAACGAGCAATCTTTAACCACAATGGACATGAATAGTTCTGACGCCATGGCTGAAACTCCGACTTCCAAGCACTGGAAAGCCTGGATTCTTAGTGAAAGTCTGCGGCGGACATGGCTCGTCTGCACAAGTACGATAGCGGCGTATCTCAGAGAAAGAGATGGCTGGAACGAATGCGCGGGTGAGATTCGATATACGGCTTGTCAGGGATTATGGGATGCGTCTTCATCGGCGATGTGGCTGCAGTTGAGCAGTAGGCGAGATCCTCTATTTGTCAGAAGTCTCCACGTTGATGAGCTTTTGTTGAGTGTAGCTCCTACTGAGGTGGACACATTCTCAACTGCCCTCATGCGCCTTCTGATAGGGAGGGATGAGATGGAAAGCTGGGGTCGCAGGTGAGCCTTACAATTATAGCATCGTGAGCCGGCGTATGCCATAGCTAAGGCTGAGGGTGCTTCTGGGAAAGAATAAAAGACTTATTTAAAATCAGTCTATATAGCATTACAACACAAAATAGACTAAACTTCGTTTACCTTCCTCTTGGACCATACAACCCTAGTGTGCCAAAATTAAATATCACATTTTCGGGAACTTTCAGGGGCATTTGCTTGCAACTTGTTTTCTGACATCAGCTATGAGATTATCTTGGACAAAAGAAGGGACAGATTCCGCGTCTCTTCCGAAGATGGCACCTCGGCAGCTTGCGATTTGTTAACTGGGGCAGATAGAAGTTACTTTAGGGTACGATGCAAACATATCGCACTTACTTCCAGCTGACACTGACAGCAGAACAGATCAATCAGAAGCCATTTCCGTCATAAAGGTTATTACTGCCTTAAGGGAGATAGGAGACGCCCCTCAAATGATGACAACGCCATCATCACCTCAAAACCAAGCTCGATCGAGGGATCAAATATGTTTACAATGATTTATCACGATAACGCCTTCAATGAGTCACATGATGTCACACGAAACCTAGTCCCCCCAGCCCCATTGTCATCGTCATCTCCGCTTATGTAATGACATCATTGAACCCCTGCAGTTCCGTGCTCACTCCACTAACCAACCGGAAGCTCGGCTTGAGGCAAAAAAAAAAAAAAAGTTACTGATATTTTCCTCATACGAGTCATCACCTTTTCACCAACCCTCATCGCTCATTATCACGAGAAACAAAATGAGCTTTGTAAGGGCGTTTTCGTTCCTCACGGTCGTGAGTGTCGTTACGTATACCATTCTCTCAGTGGCCACGTCATTGAGTGGCGGATCCCCCGCTACGCAGACGGGTAATGAAACCCACCAGATTCCGTCGTTTGGACTGGGGACTTGGTTGGCTAAGAAGGGAGACGTGAGTCGGGTACGAGGTTCGTGAGAGGAGGCAGTACTAATGGGAGTTTAGGTTGCGCATGCGGTGGAATATGCTTTGAAGGCGGGTTATCGCCACGTCGACGCTGCTGCTATCTACCGAAATGAGGAGGAGGTTGGGCAGGGCATCAAGGCATCCGGCGTGTCGCGCGATAAGATTTGGGTGACGAGTAAGCTTTGGAACACGGATCATCGACCTGACCTCGTGCGCAAAGCCATTGAAAAGTCTATCGCCAATCTGGGCGTTGAGTATCTTGATCTTTACCTCATTCACTGGCCTGTCGCTTGGGTTCCCGGCACCAAGGACATTGACAATGACACCTCCATCGTTGACACGTGGAAGGCTATGGAAGAGCTTGTCCGCGACGGATTGACGCGCAACATTGGCATTTCCAACTTTTCGCCAAAGGATATCAAGAACATCCTCAAAATCGCCACCATCCGCCCTTATGCGCACGAATTCGAAACACATCCCTATCTCCAGCAACAATCCTTCGTCGATTTTCACACCGGCGAAAACATCAAGGTCATCGCATACTCACCTCTCGCCAACACCAATCCCACTTACAACCCCGACATCCCCAGCATTCTGCACGACGAATTCTGGACAAAACTCGCAGGCAGCAAAAACGCAACTGTGGCGCAGACGGTGTTGGCGTGGGGACAACAGAGGGGTACTGTTGTGATTCCCAAGAGCACACATGAGAAGTACATTGATGAGAACTTTGGATCGCAGGATATTCAATTTACGGAGGATGAGCTGAAGGAGGTGGCGGCGAAGGATAAGAAGTATAGGTTTTTGAATCCTGGGAAGGATTGGGGCGTTGATCTGTTTGAGGGTCTTGATGGCGGATCGAAGAAGGAAGAGGAGGATGATAGAAATGAGGACTTGTAATCTGAACGGGCTAATAGACGAAGGATATTTTTAGATGTTATTATTAATAAGATACCAAACCTCTCGGATATACGGATACTGGACTTGTGAACAGAGCCTCTGTCTCTTGGCAACACCATGGCGATTCTGTAAACATATGCATGAAATAGGTGAGTCCAAACCGAAGAATTGTTTAATAAAATGATTTAAATCCCTAGTCAAAAGCACATTGCAACAGAAACTTCAATGTTACCTGACGATTCTCAAATATAATTATTTTCTAACTTACTACGTTTGCATGCTCCTGAAGTCTAGAGTTGATTCACAAGCACCTTACACCACCAGTGGAGCATTGGATTAAATGGAGAAAGATAAAGACTGTATGATTCCGGAATTGTCAAATACTTCCAGAACAAATTCCTAACCATAATAAATGTCAACAGATAGATTATGAAGACGAACTTCCAGTATTCGGGAGTTGACCGTCTTCTACAGGGTAGCCAGCAAAATCGGTAGCCAACAAAATCCATAGCGATGCAATTTCCTAGAGTTTCACAGCCACAGTAAATACAACCCTGGCAGTTCAATCAGGCGCAGCGCAAAAGCTTCTGCGTAACAACCAACTCTGTCCCACATAAAACAATTGGTCAGACTCGTCTGCTATAAAATCCTTCAAAAAGCAAAACTCATCGAGAGTTTAGTAAAGAAATTGGCATTGCCTGCGCGACTCGCACCATTCAGGGTCCAACCCTGCGCCACCTGCATATCAACTCGACAGAGTCAAGAGTCAAGATGATCAGCGTGGTAAAAACACTTAAATCTCGCCTCGTGGCATTTCCTTTTCGCTTGCATTCAAATCCAAGACATGATCTTCCACGCCTGTTATCCTAACTTGTGTCATTGCGGCTTGGCTCGTAGGATCTACAGGTACCATGATCCACTAACCCCTGTTAATCCTGTGAGGCTAGAGTTGCAGCCGAAGTTTGCGCCCTGACGAAAGGATAGAGATGAATGGCTATGTTACGCAGCGGGTGACGAGTTTATTTTAGACCGGATGATAAATCAATTGAGATTTGGTAGTACTGCCGTTGTGCCGTGGCTTATCGGCTCTTGGGCCCTCTTGTCAAATTTTGTCTCAGTTGACTGTCATCTCGCTGACTGGCAGTTTTTATCTACGCTCAGACCTTTCGACTGAACCACGGGAAAAAGTAAAGCTCCTTACATCCGACGTGAGTCTCCCTCGTTAGACATCACATCCGACGTCATTCTTCAATCTCGATACTCTCGAAACCCGCGAGTATACGACGATCATAGTATAACAGATCAAAATCCCAACCGGGATGAAAAGCCCTCTTATATCCATCCTCCTGTTTCAACGGTCACGATCATCATAAACCCCCGAAACGAAACATCATCCTCCTATTCGCTAGCACATGGAAACATCCCCATCAAAAAGTCTCCGAGGTCCAGACTAATCCATCCCGCGTGCCGCATGATGCAACCTCAGCTCCACATGTCTGACAGGAGAATTCCCAAATCCAGAAAGGTCTCGCGCAGGGGTGTTAAATAGCGATCGCCGGATATAATTGTGACCGCTTTTCAACTCCCGCTTCACGAGGTGACATCGTCAAGGAGATGGTTCGACAATATCCTTTCTGCCTATCCTTTAAAATGCAGTCATTCTGCTCGTAGTTCTAGTTTCGTGTTCTGTAGTTTTCTGCACTCTTTTTTCCCAGTCACTCTCTTTTACTCAATTATTCGGAAGCGTTATTCACGCTCCAGTCACTCATTTACTTTGTTTATTAAAAAAGATGCATTTTTCTAGTTTGATTCCCGCTTTGGGAGGTCTTGTGGCTGTTGCCACTGCCTCGCCTCACCTTCTCCCCGGTGTTGGCCTCGGTCTCGATGTCGATGTTTCGCTTGGAGGAAAGGGTGCCGAGGCTTCCAAGCCCGTTGACACTACCTCCAAGGGCCTTGACCTAGTTCCCACCAAGGCTCCCGTTAGCCAGAAGGGTGGTCTTCCTTCTACCTGCAGCTTGGCCAACAGCTGGGAGAACCATGTTCTCTTCGACGGTATCGCTGCTCCTGCTTCTGGCGCTGCTGCCGCCATTAAGCTTGGTCTTAACCTCCCCAACGCTCAGATCGAGGGTGATGCTACTCTTGAGCTTGTGAAGGACTTCCTCCAGGAGCCTCGTGTCCGTATTGGTCTTGGCGCTATCAAGGCTTACGTCGAGCTCGACATCTCTGCTTCCGCCGCTGTCCACGAATCCATTGAACTTTTCGCTTCTTCTGCTCTTCAGCTTGAGATCCCCGGTCTCCTTGAGGCTGAGGCCGGTGCTGCTCTCGCTCTTGACCTTGTCGTCGGTGTCGATGCTGCTATTGACCTGTCCGCTGGTGTCTACCTTGCCTTCGGTGAGGAGGCTTTCGTTGAGGTTTCTCTTATCACTAAGGAGATCGTTGATGTCTCCCTTGATGGTCTTGTTGCCAAGGCTCTCCCCATTGGCGTCGCTGCTGAGGTCGACCTCTCTGCTGAGGTTTCTCTCACTCTTGGTCTCCGTCTCCGAACCGAGATCGATCTTGAGGCCGAGCTTGACATACCCGTTCTCGACATCGAGGCTGGTGCCAAGATTGCTGTCTGGGTCAGCCTGTTCGAGTACACTGCCGTTCTCATCGCCACCGACAACTGCGCCGTCTCTGTCGATGAGCTCATTGCTCTTACTCTTGGTCTCGCTGTCGAGCTCAACGTTGAGGTCGGCGACATTCTCGACATCAGCCTTGCTCCTACCCTGACCATCACCCTTGCTACTGCTGCTCAGGCCAAGGTTTGCCAGCCTAACCGCGGTACTCCTGGTAACTTCATTGAGCAGCAAGGTCGCCCTGCTACCACTCACACTCAGGTCGTCTCTCTGTCTACCGTCCCTGCTGGAGGCTCTGACTCTACTGTGGACTCAGCTCTTCCTGATGCCACTGGTTCTGCTGATGCCTCTGGCTCCGCTGATGTTACCGGCTCCGCCACTGCTGATTCTTCTGACGCCTACCCCGTCCCCGGTGCCACTGGATCCGAGACTTACCCTGCTGGTGCCGAGACCACCGGTTCTGGCTCAGGTGCTTACCCCATTCCTGGCTCCGGTTCTGGATCTGGTGCCTACCCTGCCGGCCCTGGCTCCTCTTCCGCTCTCGCCAAGCCCCAGACCACTGGTTCCGCCGCTGCCATCGTCCCTGCTCACGGCAACGGCACTGCCACCGGCGATGTCACCAGCACCGTCACCTCCACCCACGTCTACACCGTGACCAGCTGTGCTGCCTCTGTCATCAACTGCCCTGCCCGCTACACCCAGAAGGTCGTCACTTCCACCATCATCGAGAGCACCTACGTCTGCCCTGCCACCGAGATCGGTGCCGTCCCTGCTACCACCACTGCTCACTCCACCAAGGTCCATGTTCCCGTCACCACCATCACTGACACTCTCACCACGATTGTGCCTTGCAAGACCCGAACTACCAAGACCTTCCACCCTCCTACTACTCCCCCTCCTGCTCCTACCGTCACCATCGTTGACACCACCACCTACTGCCCCGAGGAGGGAAAGACTGCTCAGCCTTCCAAGGGCCAGTCAACTTTCCAGGTCGTGACCACTGCTTCCCCGAGCACCAAGGCTTATGAGGTCCCCAGCCACGCTGCTCCTACTACCGAAGGTGAGGAGAAGCCTACTGCTGAGGTTCCTGTCCCTGAGAAGCCCACTGGCGAGGCTCCCGTTCCCGAGAAGCCTACCGCTGGATACCTTACTCCTGAGAAGCCCACCGGCGGCAAGCCCATCGCCCCTCCCGCTCACAGCGTCCCTTACCCTCCCAGCAACGGAACCGTCTCCACCCACGTTCCCGTTTACCCAGCTCCTGTTCCTACTACCGCCGTTCCTGTGGTCCCTGCTCCCGTCCCTACCGCTGGATACGCCCCACCTCCCGCCGTGTCTCAGCCTGGAGTTGTTCCTCCTCCCGCTGCTGAGACTCCTGTCGCCACTCCCGTCGGAACCACCCCTGTTCCCGTCAGTGGTGCCAGCGTGGTTCGCACTGGCTTCATGCTGGCTCTCCCAGCTGCCCTTGCTTTCTTCATGTAGATGATAAACGGTTAAGATTACAGGATCTATGTATAACACTTAGGTAACGGGACTTGGATTAGCAATAGTTCATGGTTTCTTTAATTTTTAATATTACTAAATCAACCTATTGGAGTCTCCCTAAGTGATTTAGTACTTTCTACTTTCTACATTTTAACTATGTGCCTGCACTGCTTTCGTATGAAGCTTATCACAGCCCTACCTATTGACGCTGGCCCGATTGAACGAATGCCCTTTACATTTGAACATCAAAAGGCTATCAGATATAAATTAAAGCCTCCAATTGCTGCTGACCTGTTGACGGCTGTTCCTACATGGGAAAGGTACCCAGACACCTTCAGGCCAAGCCCCACTGAAACTTTGAGTGCGAGCGCATGGCTCGTTTGCACTTACAGATGTATTCATCCCAGCATTCAACAAAAGCTCTATACTAGACTTCGTGCTCCCCGCAGAATGACTAATAAGCCTGAATCATCAAAAGCAGACGTCTGATGTCAATATCTGACGTTTGTCTTTATTTTTGACGGCATCACGTATTTTAATATGGTTGTGGTGTGATGACGAATATCCTGTAGAAATTGTTAAAAGGCCACGTACTCATTTGCCAACAAGAAGCATAAGCTCACCTTTAATAACAGCTGAATTCTAGTGGTATAACGTCTAAAGCATGAGCTGTATGTCTTATTTGTAGTTGAGGCCTGTGGCTTGGAGCCTATAATCGCGACATAGAGGCTAGCAACTTCCAACTGTGTTCGTAACTCAGTTTACTGCAAAAGGCTATCCCAAACTCACCCATGCGGAGACAAAAGTCTAATGATATGCTGTAGAGACACGCGTTCCTCGTCTGAACGAAGAGACTCTGAGCCATTCAATTTAGAAAGTCAAATAGACCTCATGATCCCCTCACTCGAGATTGATGATAAACTTCCAGCCACAAATTCCGGCTGCAAATGACACACATTTAGACTGAAATTTAAGTATAAGTACCCCGAGTCCTCCTCTCTTGAGTTCTTCATGCCAAATTCTGCCCACCAATAACTTCTTTGACTTCTCAACCTTATCGAAGCACCATACCACATTTCCACCATCTTGGACTTACTAAAGTCCAACCACCATAACACACCATGGATTGGGAAAAAGCAGTCTCGTGTGTCATCGGATTAGTCGTAGTGACTGTGAACCTCCTTATGTTTTTAAAGGTTTTCGGCTACATCTGATGCAACACCTGATGTGAGAATCTCCCTCTTTGCTCAGTCAACGTATGTCACTACGCTTTATTCTGTTTATGGAGGCTTTGAGTACTGACTTGATACTTAGTGGTCGACATATGAGGACAGCAAGCAACACCAAAACGATTGGAAGCTGTCCCTCTCGATGTCAATCCTGGCGGTCAATTTGGATACCGGTGGTCAACAGTACAGGAATCGATTCGGCTTCCCATGAGGGTGACGATGGAGTTATCGCGAGCGTTTACCGTGCGGAAAACAATACACTTTATCTTTTATGCTGCCGTGGACTGTACAACAATGTGCTATTTTGATGGGGTAAACTGGTGTAATCACTGAGATATCAATAAGAGTGGCATTTACAACTCAGTTCCAAGGTGTTGAAAGCAATTGGGGACATGATTATCTCTTATTGGTCCTTATCCTTTCCATGCTTTCTAACCGTTACCACAGTACTCTTCAAACTCGGTGATCAATAACAAGCTTCTCACGGCTCACTTTCCCATTCCAAACATCACGAATACCTTGAAGCCCCTCCTCCACTCCCTTCAAGATCCTAGTCCTTGGCGCCTCCCAATACTGTTCATGATTCTCAACCAACCAGTGAAAACCCCGTTCAATGCGCTTCTGCCACTCGATGATCCTATTCTCCTCTCTCCTTCTCTCCTCATCGCTTCGATCTTGAGCTTCAACCGCAAAGTCAACTTGTTCAACAACCCTGACACTCAAAGTAAACTTCCACGTCGGGTCCTTCTTTACAAGAAGAGATGATACCAGACGGAGTTCTTCTGAGGGTACGTTGGGATCACAGCACTGCCGGGAAAGCCCGGGTGAGCTTTGATCGTATTTATCCTCCAACGCCTTTTCTTCTTCAGGCGCAAGACCTTCAAAGACACCAAGACCAGCGCAAACTGTGTCAAAGACAGTCTTCAGTGACTTGCCATACTTTTCTAGATATGCACGTACATCCTGCACAACTGTTGCACTGCGATAGTCAAAGACCTCATCAGCACCAAGCTTCTTCAAAGCTTCATGGTTCTGTGGTGAAGCTGTCGTGATAATGGGACTGAAACCGGCTGCCTTGGCGATCTGTATAGCAGCTTGGCCTACCGCGCCCGCACCGCCCCAAATAAGAATCGGCTCATTCTTCGGATCGTCGCCAGTGATGTTAGCGAGCGGGAAGCCGTACCCGGCTACATTGAACAGAGCATCAAAGGTGGTCGCACTGCCAACGACAAGTGTCACGGCGGTGATGGGATCAAGATGCGTAGGCCGCACAAAAGCCATGAGAGGTTCCGCTAAGAGGAAGCTCTGGTGGGCGCCGAGATAATTAGGTCGATGATCATAAGGTAGCGATTGGCCAAAGATTTCTTGGCCAACTATGAAAGGAGACGCGGGCCCAACGGCGCGGACGGTCCCGGTGTATTCGTAGCCAGCGACGTATTCTGACATATTCATGTATGAGTGTCGAGTATCAGCTGGATTGATGGCTGAGTACTGCACTTCCACAAGAGATTGTGCCTTTTGCGGGATGTATGGCTCTTCGATTGTGCGGATTTCATGTTTGCCGTTTGCAAGCATGTAGATAGCTTTGTTTGGACGAGACATATTGATGATGTGATAGACAAGGTATGTGTTGAATGACTTTATTAAACTAAAGAACCCAAGTTCATCAGTTGCTATTAAATACTTTGCCATAACGTTGTTTGATGGGTCAACCTCGACCAATCAGCTCGCCGATTATGAGGGTGAAACCAGAATGCTTGACGACCGGAAATTCCGTTCGCATTCGCTTGGCGATAACGTTATGCGTTTTAACGTGTCTAACCCAAAAGAGCTTTAACAGCCCTCGAATTGACGCAAGATACGTGAGAAATTGCGATAGGTGATATTAACGGGACATTCAATTAATAATTCATCCAACCAAGTCTATGATCAGGGTATCTCATCATTAAATTATGATTAGACCGGTTCGCTTAAAGTACCTCTGTTATAAGAGCACTGTTCTTAGATGTTTGTACTTATTCTTTCCTAATAAGTTGCATAATATATCATTAAATACACTTATTTATCTTTCATACTTAGCTATCAAGTCCCGTAAACGGCAGCCACCATAGCCGTACTGTCCAGCAACATCACTCTCTGAACAAAAGGGCCATCTAAGCCCTTGTCCTTCATCCATAGCGGAGGACCCATTGCTTCACCAATGGCATCGGTGAGGGTAGACCATCGACTCGAACTTGTGGAGCTCGTCTGTGCAGTAACTGCAGCCTCGGTTGAATCAGTAGTGGAAGTAGTCGCTGTACTACTGAATCTCCGTTGAGTTACTGCAAATCCAGAAAGAATCTCACTCGTTGTTACGGAGAGACTCCCATGTGGACCGCCGCCTCTGTATTTTTGGCTTATTCCGCTCAGATCGATCTTAAAACTCCAATTGTTCCAAAAAGACGCGCTGGTTTCGGTGCGTGGTCCAGAGCTTTCGTCCCTATCTGCTTGGGGGTCGCCGTCGACTTGCTGAAGCGATCGCGGTGTAGCTTCATTCGTGATAACAGGACTGAAATGGTGGGGGATATCTCGGAGAAGTACTTGCCCTGAAGCAGTATTTGGAATCTCAATTCGGCTCTTGATTTCCTCAATGATCCGAGGCCTGGTACCAGTAAAACCACGGGAACGTCGTATCATTATATCCCTCGTTTGACACATCGATTCTGTCCGGCCCACATCATTCCAAGGGATAATATCACAGGTTTCGAGATTATTTTAGTACATTCTTCCGTGCCTGTAGATGACTGCACCACCTTTGAGGAGGTCTTTGAACTTCTCCATTCTTTGTTCAGAACGTCGTTCGAGTTCCTGCAAAGATATGCATGTGCTGCAATGCGTTGTCACGATGGTAACATTAGGTAAGAATGGTTCCCCACAGAACTCATGTAACCTCGATCGTTAAGGTATCTACTGCTGTATATCGTTTTGTGTTATCAATGACATAGCACACCCCAACAAGAACGGCGCTGTCTTGAAATGTGTGGAATAGCACAACGATTTGGCTGAGCGTTCTCAGCGCAGATAGGTTGTCATCAAACCCTGGAGTGTCGATAAAAACGTACTGAGTTCCGTTGAAGGAACTCCGCAGTACATCACACGCGGTTGTAACTGAGCTAACTGCGTTAGGAAGGATGGTCAATATAAATATGGCGGTTTTCTTACCGGGATCTATGCCGTTACCAGAACAACCTGTCTCGTCTGTGGTATGCTCGACCACTGAAGATTTGCCTGAGCCTGATCGACCGATAACAAGCACGACTCTTGCAGGGTTCTTCAGAGATCTGTAAGACTGCTATTAGACGTTTCTTTGCTAAAAATTACCAAAAGACGGCACATCTCCGTACTGCTTGACTATGAGGTCCACATTAATCCGCGTCGCTTCCTTGATTCGAAATAGCTCCAAGGGGTTCCTTGACTCTGACATTGCTACCGAAGGCAAAGAGTTTGCTATAAATGCGAGAGTGATAAACGTCTTGAGAGTAGCTTAAAACAGACGGAGGTCTGATTTCATTTGTGCCTTGTTGGCAGGTTGAATTTCTTCTAGTGCAAGGGAGCGCCCCCCAAACAAGAACAGTTGGGAAATTGATCAGAATTATTGACTACTGCACGCGCCTCTAGGAATTCGCATCCAGATTTACGTGTGAGAGTGTAGGTTCTGAAGGGAATGAAACGATATTGATGCACAGATGGCTTGGCTCGGTATACATAAGAGTACAGATGTGTTACCCAGCCTGGACTGTGTCGAGCTGGAAGCCGAAGGCGCGAGCTTGAATTAGTGGATTTGAATTCGCGGTGGTTTCTTCTTTTGTCTTGTTACTGCAGCATCAACCAGCCTGCCTAATTACCAACCTACCAAAGTACAAGCTGGTAGAAGGCCTCAAAACCGGCATGAGACTGTGGCTAAGGCAGAGGCGCTATCACATGTGCCAGACTACCCTTGCTTGGCATAAGCCGCATAACACCATCTTCGGACACTAGCACAGACTCGTAGCCGTGGCAAGCCTTTCTGCTGGATGGGTTTCTGCTATCACCTGGATTAGTGATGGCTAGAAAGAAGATAGCTGGACTATTGCGATGAACCTAGCCGCAAGGCACAGTTAGCTTCAAGGGGAGGGGCGCGTTTAGAGACAGCAATTCATGATACACTGCTGCTCGAGAATTGCTTGTATTATTGATAACTCATTTTTTTTTTTTCATATTAGCTTGAAAAGCCGTTCTCGGAATTTTGGATCCTGAGAATCCTTCTGCTCCTCCCAAGTAGTAATAGCCTCCCCATCCATAATTCCATGCACATATGCATTCCCAAGAAATAGGCCCTCATCGCTGGTAGATGATCTTGGGCAGACAATGTACGGGGTGTCACCCCCGAAAAGAATACATACGGAGTCTCCGGGCTTGACCGAACGAGGACCAGTGCCAATATAGCCCTTTTCTGTAATGAAGAGATTTCTGCGGTAAGTATATGCAGTATTCTGCACAAAGTTCACAGAGTCCTTTTCAATATCGCAAGATACCCTGCGCAGAACTTCCAAGTAGGACGATGCAATTTCCATGTCGTGTGGGTATAGGTGATCAAGCCTGTCTTTGAAGAACTCCCATGTCTCGGGTTCTTTCCAGATCAGCTCACATGGTGTTGCTGAAGGGCTAGAATCTACTGCCATTTTGATCAGCTGGATCATTGCTCTCTGATTACTTCCGCCATCATCGCCGTCTTTGACAAAAGACGTCAAAAGTGATCGAAGAGCAAACGCCGTGAACAACTGGAGATAAGAATCATCTTTTGGGCGGTCATAGTGTACTTCAAGAAGAATAGACCGGACTCGACCATTCAGCATTGTTAAAACAATTGGCCTGATAATATCCAGTCCGTATTGATCCTTCAAAAGGCTTTCATGCTCGATAATCATCCTGCTGATAGCCATGGCATTTTGGTCCATCTGCAGGGTCTGGCTGTGAGTCTCTTTGACTCTGTCGATATGCAGACCCTTCAACTGCAAGACCTTTGTGTTAGTCGATGTATGAAATGCAATCTCCATATCGTTCGAAGACTTAAAGCCGTAGCCAGTCATATTGTAATAATGACGCGTGACCTCGTGATGCCACCTCGGCGCCCAGAGAGGAAGTCGTTCTTCGACAGTTGGATCTTCCACGTCGCAGTAGTTGAGGATTTCGAGGTTCCTTGTTTCTGATATAACCTTCAAGGCAAATTCTGTAAAGACTTCTGGTTTAGTCTTAGTGTAGTCTGGCACAATACCATACGTCTTCTCGCCTGCGAGTCCGATTAAAGCAAAGATCTTATCGGCCGGGTCAGTCGCATGACAGCGTTTCGTTAAACAAACAAGCTCCAATAAGTCTTGACCCTGTTTCCAGGCATCATCCGTGAAACCCATAGGAATTGACCACTCAATCTTTGGACAAACACCTTTCGATGGTCCTCTCCCTCTTGACAAGTCTAAGCAATTCGGATCTGGATATAACATACAGAGAAAGAGCGTGGCTGTTTTAAAAGCCTCGAAGTCAACCTTGGGTATGAGGAGATCTCCCCACAGCAGATCATAGGTGGGTGCGACTGCAAGTTCTTGTATGATCCAAACCCTTGAGAAATAAGGGGCTTGTAACATAGAGTTTAAAGCGCCCCAAGCTGGTGACTCTCTAGTAGGGAGTCCAAGTTCCTGTAAACGTTCGTTCTCGGGGAAATACTGCTGCTTGCTAACCACATGAAACCTGATGGCTGCAAGAGCTGAGATTATCATCCGTGTATCGGCTGCCTCTCCCGGGTCTGCCGGGCCAAGCCATGCAGTAACGAGCACTGATCCAGAGTAAATGTCTCTCATGATGCAAACTTGCTCAGAGCGTTCATTCGGAGACTCTTGATTAATGCAAATCTGGTCAATCCATAGATAACGAGACTCCCTAGCCAGCCTCAGACGCCTCAATGCAGAATCGAGGCTACTAGTTATCATGAACTCGTGATCATTGCACTCCATGTGCTTGACACGATCAGGAGAGCCCCACATGTAACTGAGAGCTTCATATTTAGGGGCCTCCTTGCGCACATGTGTTCGAAGATTGCCTTGAAGGGGCTCGTCATCCTTTCCACACTTGAGCTCAAAGATGCGGAAGAAATCATTGTTTGGTAGCTCGTCGTATTTAAATGGCATGATGGCTTTTGCTGGGATAAAATGCACCTTGTGGTGAGAGTGTTTGATGGGAAATCGAATGATGGGTCAATCTACCTGTCTTTGTGTAGAGGAGATGGTCAGTGCCTGATATGGATTCAGTTCCTGCAAACATTCAGTTACTGAGAGGCTGGAGAATAATTGAGGAGAATAGTGCAAGTTCAAATGTAGGTTAGAAAAGATGAAACACTCCCAGTTTAATAATTTATAATTGACATCACGCCACGCATTTGTATCTCGCAACCTAACCCCGCGCCTTGGCAGCAATGTACATAGCGGTAACGGGCAAGTCAGCCAATGCAGCAATATGCAAGCCGCTGAATAGGGATTGGATTTCAACGCCCACTGTACACCAAACAAATATGCAGAACCGGGCCGTGTATGCAGACGCCCCTTAGCACAGCTCACCAAAGAACCCTTCAAGATCTACACCGGGCCGGGCTGATCTTAGCTAAGAGCGAAGTTGCCTTTTCCGCTCCTCATCGTTGACTTCTAGGTTCATCATCGCTGATAGGTGCCATGGTAGCTTGCATACAGCCGCACTTATCCGACCCTATGATCGAGCTGATTATATATTACCAGTCCTGCACATTTTACTACCCCGCTATGCCCAACCAAGATCTTGACCAAGAAGTTATAGGTAGCTTCCAAGGCTTCGGTAGCACATTTCAGGTATAGCTGCGGGTCTCAGGTTCTACTGGTTGGTCGAGGTCCATCGCTTCGTTGTCGATGTTGAAGGGTGATATGCAATCGCGTCCCTTTCTAGAAGCCTGTGAAATGTTTTCCCTACTCACGAGAGAAGGGAAAGGAGACAACACAGATAGCATATCGACCCTATGCAAGAGATGGTGTTACTACTGTAAAGCGACTTGTGTTATTGTTTAACTCCACCACTTGTCGCGCCTGAAGTGCCTTTCCTCGAAATTGAGGATAGATTGTTGGTTACTGGGTATGCTCTGAAATATAGTTGTGATACTCCTACTAATTACTGCTTAATCTTTACATCTATAATCATGGAGTTAAATACAGCTTCATTGGATCCCATAACCTATCCATTCATCATCAGGTTCTTCCGCACCTGGCCCACTCTCAAAAGAAACTGGCCAACGCTCGTATGTGAACTCAATACCAGCCTCAAGCATGGCATGATGAACCGTTTCATCTAGCCTCTCCTCGTAGTCAAGACCAACAAGCTTCAGATGTTGAAAGCGATCAGTCGTTGCATCAACAAGTCCCATCAATCCTTGTTCGAGGCGGTCAATATCAAGACCGTCCCAGACCAAGTGCAGCGATACTATCGACGGTGCTAATAGCCGGGTAATTGCATGACGATCCTCCACCGTCGGGCCATCAATACCCTCGAGATCGCGTAAAGTGTGAAAAACAAGCCGCTTGTTCAAAAAGACATGTTCAAGCTTCTCAAAGTCATGAAACGTGCAGTCGGGAGGGTAGGAGGGAGAGCTTTCAATCACGTCGCGAAGGTCCAAGTGTAACGTCTCCAAACTGTGCCGATAATCGCGTATCTTTTCAATAACATCCGCAGAGAACCCGGGCATTGAGAACTCAGAGAATCTCATTGTAAACTTCTCACAAGATTCAATAACGAGCGACCGAAGGTCCTTGGCTGCGAATGATAGTGGTTCGCTGAGCGCTGAAGGGGATGATATGTTTTCCAATCGGAGAGTTCTGATCTTAGACCGTTCGCCGAGTGAGTCTCCAGCCTTCCCAAAAAAGGGAGAGGTGATAATGTCAAGCCGTTCCAAATCCGGTGCCCTTTTGAGAATGGAAAATAGATCCTTGTCTATTTCCAATGTCCGAAGATGTGGGAGCTCTGTCACTCCTAGAGCTTCAAGAGCGGTATTTTTAAAGCTGTCAAATATGGAGTTGGATTTGTAAATGATGTGACCCAGCTTGGGGAGTAATGCAATCAGCATTGGGATGAGCTCATGGTGCAAAACCTTGTAGAAATTATTCGTTCCCACATGATAACTTAGTGCTGGATACTCTAAGATTTCATCGGTGAAGGCTGAATTGAGCATGAATAGATACTCTTCCTCTCCCCATCTTGTTCTCCGCGCAGGCCTCCAAGGGTTCATAAAGTGTTTTGCCCGGTACCGCCAAGCTTTCACAATATCGATGCCCAGATCAGCGGCACCCTGCTTCAAAGACAGTACGATTTGTTTCACATCCAGGTTGGAGTGCTTTGGATGAACGAAGATCATGCGGACCTTCTCAGCGAGGTCTTTGCGTCTTCCAACGTTGCGCATGAATTGGTTCAGTCTGTGGCCATAGGTATAAAGCTCGGACAGTTCAGAGTCGCCATAACCGGGTGCAAAGTCATGGTACAGGATATCCTCTGCAATGGGATGAAGCGCTTTGCGAGAGGCAGCGAGCGAGAATAAGGCATATTTATCGATCTAATACCACGACTTTTGGTCGAGTTGCTGAGGCTCACGACGTTGCTTATGCTGATGCGGGGTTCCGACGCCTTTAACAGGTCGTAGGTCGCCTCGACAGTGCAGGCAAAAGTAAGAGAAGATTTCAACTAGAATATCACCAGAGAGATAGACGAGACCGGTTGTCTCAGGATTTATTAGCGTCATGATGGTAGGTAATTTTATTATCATAAGATCTGTGAGAAAGAAAGAGTTTGTGGAAATGGTGCGGTGTTTTGATGAGCGGGGTTAGAGGAGATGTCGCTGGTAGGACTTGCTAGGACTTCTGTGACTACATAACCTTGGTTGGCAGGTTCGCATAAACGTATGCTTTATCTATGAGCTTTTATTACTTCCAGATAGCAGGAAGATAACCAATTACATCCACGACTTTGCCGCGAATTTCACAAGTGGAAGTCTATTAATATATATTTGGTTAATACTAACACAAAATGTTAAGAGGAAATCGCCCTTCTAATTAAGGAAAAGGCTTATAGCTGGTTAGGAACTGCGCCTTGTATTTATGTACTATCTTTAAACACCCGAGTTATACCCCTTTTCTCGCTATTAGCTGTTAAAATACCCTTCTCCTGTAAGCCACTAACAAGTCGATAAATAGCCTGGCAAGCAAGCCTGGCTACTGTATCTCCTCCTTCTAAGCGCGGATTAAAGGAGCAAACGACTAGCGAAGTTGGGTTAATCTTGGTGGGTATCATATCCATCAAACCCATAACATCCTTGGGTAGAAAGCCGCCAGGCGAAGGGAACTCATTAACACGGCCCAGAGAGTCATCGAGAACATCCAAGTCGAAGTGGATGTGTGCTTCCTGAATGTCATCCCTTCTGTCTAAAGTCTCAGCCAGAGCAGATGTAAAATCCACCTTCTTATTCGCATCACCCCAAATGACATCAATTCCAGCATCTTTGACTGTCTCGCGTTGGATCTCCGAAACGTCTCGCAGCCCACAATATATCATGCGTTTCACATCAACGGGTTGGTGACCGGGCACAGTCTTCATCAAAGTATGCCAGCTGGTGCCGGTCATCATCGAAGCGGCCATGGCATCGAGGTAGCCATTTTCGTGTGTTGAGGGAGTGTCAAGGTCGTCGTGGGCGTCGAGCCATAATACCCCAGTCTTAGCGGTGGATGAGGTAGGTCTTGCTTGGTTAAGGCCAGCCATTGTCGCGGTGCTGGCGTAGCAGTTTCCGGAAAGAACCAAGGGGAACGAGTTATTTGAGACGGCTTTAGACACGGCGTTCGAAATACGGCGGAGGATCTCAAATGTTCGACCAATCTCACCCTCGAATTCGTCAACGGGGCCAATGTTGATGAAGGATACAGGCGCCAATTTAGAGAGCTCTTTATCAATACCGTGGGACATGATGCGGAGAGGGCCGCCGCCAACACGGTGGTCGTAAAGTCCTACATGGTAGGGAGCGATGATAATGGTAATAGAAGTGAGCGGCATAATGGTTCGGCGCGCCGAGTAGTGGTCGATCGTATTAGCAAAGGCTGGTTAATATTGGCTTTGTGAGAAAAACAGGACAAGTTGGAGGAGACAAACCTTAAATACGTCACAAACGAGCTCATCAGTGAGTGGATTCTATTTTGGCCCCGCAGATAACGTTATGACTGACATTTGAGAAATCAGTCTTGAAAGAAGAACTATTTACTATCTAGACAGCATAGTAAACGTTTGAAGAGTTTATTGTCTATATTGCGGCCTTTGTTAGTTACAATTGAGGGCAGGCTCAGCCGTTGGCATACATGGGGAGTGAATGTTGTGTTGGTTGTGAAGTTAGGTTATAGACTTGCGAGTCGGATAAACCTTCATCCGAATCTCAATAACATTCAAGTGCTGTCACTTAACGTATTTGATAAGCGAGTGTCCCAGATAAGCGAGTGTCCCAAAAATCCTAACCTTCTCAATTAAATCAGCAATAAAAACACCACAACCTATTAGATCAATTAAAATCAGTCACTATACTCTTCCATATTAACCTCAATTACCTCCTGACAGGTCCTTGCATTATGCCCAGCCTTGCCGCAAGTCCCACAGTGCCAAACCCTCGGTCGACCCGAACTTCCTTGACCACCACTTCTCGACGACTCGGCCGCTACCTGCGTATCAACATCCATCTGATCAATTACTTGTGATGCCTCTTCTATAGTTAAAGGTCCTCCTCTCTGT